CATAGAAATCAAAAGCTATTTCCATGTGAAATGTTATGGGATTTGCACCATTAGTTTTGTTGGTAGGCCTAGTTAAGCTCAAATAGCCACAATAGCCTATTGGCTACTGTCTAAAACTGTATGGGTACAGCCTCAGTGTTCACTGTAAAGGAGCGCAGGAAGTTGCACAAAATTCTCATAAATGTCAAGTTTCCGCTCACAAGACCTAAAATTTGCTCAGTGCCTCAAAAAATCAGAGAGAACATTGCATATAACCTCTCCTGCAGACAGCAATGACCATGGGTCCTGTTTCCTCTGCTGTTATTAACTAAGTTTATCTCCAATAGGCCTAGATGAATGCCCCTTTTATCTTCTCCCAGTAAAATACTAATTAGGCTGAAGATTAGGCTAATTTGTGAAAATGAAACAAATAAGTTTTAAGAATATAGTTATGTTTTACTTATTATTTGCTAAAAGCAGTGGTTTATTAGTCTGATCTTCCGTGAATAATCAAATCATCATCACAAAATAATTTTTCTGACTCTTGATCTGTCTTAATCCAATAGGCATACGCATTTCCTCAAGTGAATTGTTTGTTTTGGCCTATTAAAATTCACATTTTAGGATTAAATCGAATAGAGTTTGATAATTTACAGTTCAATAATTTGTTCATTAGAATGCCCTTGTTTCATTAGGCCTACTTAACTCGATACGCCGCCCAACTTCATGACTTCTAACAAGCGTGTGCCTCTCGTTTCAACTTGGCTCGTGCGTACGGTTTGCGTCTTTTGTCGTTGATGGCAAACACTGAAAATATATATATTTTTGCCCGTTTTACCCTCCACCTTTAATCCCGTCAGTGAAATTTGGTGTCATTTCTTCTTGTCTTGCTCTGACAGGCATGCATGCACCCCAATTTACCCTCGTCACAGGGGGCTCTAATCTACCCATCCGGCGGGGTTTGATCGCAGGCCCGTGTCCTCGGTTCAATGAGACGCTTCATTAATTTTAATATGCGGAGTGTGCCAACAACTGTCAGGACCTCCTAGGCCTATGCCCAACCTCACCACGTGTTCCTGGAGCTCTCCAACTATCCAACTCTTAGACCACTCTACAATATGTATGTAGCCTATTATTCGTTGTTTACTGGTTTTTGGAGAAGCGGTGGTAAGAAAAGCGTGGGTTACCGCAGTTCTAATGTGCGCGGAGAAAACAGGGGTCACATTTCTTTAGTGGACACCACTAAACTGATTAGTTTAAGCACTGCTGTTAATGTAGCTTTTTAGATACATTTATTTATAATTATTTGACCCAAGGTTTTCCTCTCTTTTGTGAGCGTGAGGCTAGACCCTTGATTTCAAATATCAGGACTACAAATCACTTTGTGAAGATATAAAGTTATTGTATTTGTAGTCAGGATATCTCATAAAGGCCTATATTATTTCATACAATTTATAATTTTCCATGGTTGCAATTATCAAAAAGGTATTTTTTGACTGTTATTTTATAGCAGAAATAATAAGACATTAGCCTAAATCTTAATAAAATAATGAATAGACAACGAGCTCTAAAAGTGGCCTGATCGCACTCTTCCCCAGAGCCAAGCCCCATACCCCCAGTGATCACTCAGATGAACCTAATCCACTTTTGATGAACTTGGTTAATAGACTTCCTGCTGACATTATCAAAGGGATCCAACTCTATTCATTGTCATTACGTGCACACGACCCTCGCCACGCCCATAGCATCCTCACAAGCTTTGGCGTTTGTCAATAAATTCTCCCCTCACACCCAAACTTTTTTAAGGGACGGGTCTAGAAGTTCAGTTACACATCTGCACCGTTGAATCTATACCCTATTCAGGACAATGCCACGCCGCAAAAGTCTGTTTGTGCCATTTATCTCCAGAGACGCAGACACTGGTGCTGATTTGAAAGTGCAAGCGAATCGTATAGACGGTCCACATGGAGCTCTTGTGCAGACCAGTTGGATAGAAGAGAGGGCAGAGCGCAGGGGCAAGTGTGACCCGTACGCTATTGTGGAGCTCAGATTGCCAGGGCTCAGATACATCGAGCAGGACCCGAGCACCGTCGATAGAGCGCAAAGGCGGCGGCGTATGGCTGCAAACTCCCGCGAGAGGAGGAGGATGCTCGGGCTCAATGTCGCCTTCGACCGCCTCAGGAGCGTCATCCCCAACCTAGAGAGCGAAAAGAAGCTGTCCAAGTCCGAGACTCTTCAGATGGCGCAGATATACATCTCGACGCTCAGCGAGTTGTTGCAAGACAGGCCCTGCGGCACGGAATTCAGCACCACTGAACTTGAGAGCACGGAGCAAGTGCGCACGGCCCCAACGGGCAGGCCAACAATGAACTATACAGCAGAACACTCAACGGTTGAACTAACTGGGCCAGGCACATACGATACGACGTGTAGAGACAGTGGAAACGAGATGCGCGCGCCCTGCGAAGACCAGAAGACAGAGTTTAGAGGGTTTATGAACCTGTGGGAGAGAACTAGTGGCACAAAATAAGACTGGTTTTATTTGTTTGTGCTTTGTAATGGTTTATATTTTCCATACAAAACATGTTGATTCGTGTTTGAAACCTTATGTAGATTATCTGGGTCAAGTAAAAACTAATTTTTCAACATTTTGGCATCAATAGGACTTTTTTTCCCCTCAAAGTTTAGGCTACTTTTGCATGTCTGAAAGTTATAGGGGCAGTTTATGCTGCATAAAAGAGCAATATATTATTCCAAAACATGACAGAAAGTACAGGTGTACAAAAGTACACAAAAAGTATCAGACACAGTAGATTTACTGAAAGTAGCAATTTTTATTCAAATTAAAATTATATACAAGTAACCAAAGACATTCTTGAAATTGGTACAAAGATCATGTTCCTGCATTTGGCTTTTTACACCTTTTTAAATCTGTCTTTCAAATAACACAACTGAAAATGCTGTATAAAATAAAAATAGGATTGGATTCAGAAAAGTAGTCTACCATTTCTAATTTCCAATAGGCAATATTTACAAAAGTATTTACATTGTTCCATTCATTTCCAGATTTGTGAATAAAGCTCTTGTAAACTGTAAAGTGTTAATTAAGCTTAAAAAACAACAACTAATGGTGTGGCTCATGACTATAGCATACATCAGATTGAAATACAAGAGGCTTAACAGCTTAGAAAGTATTGATGAGGGTGTGTGCATGAAGATGGCTTAAGCTTTAATGTTTGCACGGCTGTGGGTGTGTGTGTGTGTGTGTGTGTCTTATAACAGCAAAGAGAAACGAAAACAAAACATGTAAATATACAAAGGGGAATAAATGCAACTTTAGAAAATAAAATGGGGAAACTTTGCATCTCCAATTCTGTACATTTTAGCTCCAAACAGCCCACAGCCACAGCACCCACCAACCTCTCAGCATCCAAGCTGGGATATTACAGTTTTATAGGAGAAAACTATGGTAAACAGCATAGGACCGATTCATTAGCTGACGTCATGCAGCCGATAGCAGTCCCAACCAAGCCTAAATTAAACAAAACTGAGAACACTGGCTATGAAACAGGTTATATAATGGGCATCACATTATGAAACTCAGAACGGAGTGAGTATGGCTATAGCAACTGCTAAACTGAGAGGCTCAGTTCATGAACAATAGCGCTCTTATCAATTCAAGTGCTTAATTTCAAAAGTTTGAAAAGCTAAAAATACTGCAGTCTTTTAGTCCAGTTGATTTCTTATTGAGAAAAGCTTAAAGGAATTGAAGCATTGCAGAGGGGCAGAATATAACAATACCAGACTGGTTTGTATTTCTTCAGAAACAGAAAACCAACACTGTAAAGTGTTCTACAGCCTTTAACAGCTAGGTGAAGCAGTGTGGTCATTCAGACCCAACAGTCTCTCCAGCACAAATGAAAGACAAACATCCATACTTTCCTGTTGGCCATAACCAATAATGATAGGGGGAAGCATAGACTAAATTATGTAGTTCTCTCACGTTAGTGAAAACTACAGATGTGGACCATTTCAGGTCTGTTATTGAATAACTACAATCTCCGATAGTATTGACTTGGACAGAGGTGAGGTGCTCACCAAACCAGCAATTATTTATTATCCTCACCACTCCATGTACTTTTAAACGGAAATAAACTCTATTCGTTCATTTCTAAACCTTTTACACCCTCCACTCAACGACAGAGGTTTTTAGAACGCACACACAAAAAAAAAGAGGACATTCGTGAAGGCAATAAAAGCGCTTCAGTGCAGTGGGGCTATTGGGCTCTGGGGGTTTTCAGCATTTCAAAGCGGGCTGAGAGCTTGAGCTTTTGCTTTGCGTTCTTATTCCAGTTGTGTGGGTCACTGCTGAAAGCTTTCTATGGATTCAGAGGGGGGGAATTCAGGCACACAGGCACTTTGATGACAATCGGAAATAAACAAAGGAGGGAGGCAGGGAGAGAGCCATCTTTTACAGCAGGCAGAAAACAAAACCCAATACAATGGAGGATGTGGCAGATGTAGTAAGAAGGCAGCATATCGATTTGGGATACAAGGAGTTTTTATATAAATGTACAACCTGAATAGCACAAATTGGGGATATCAAATAAAGAAAAAAGGTGCCCCCAAAAAAAATCCACATTTAATGAATATCAATCTGAGTCAAATCATAAATTACAATTTCGTGAGGGAACAGAAAACAATGTTTGGAACACAGAACGTCTAGAATATAACGGAATGTTATTCTTATTTTATTTTATCTGCTCCGATTTCTCAGGTTATACCAAAAAGACGTCATAATAGGAGAGGTGGAATGCTGAAACAGTGCTTCAGGCCTCACGTGTCTGAGGGGAGGCCATCCCAGTATGTATAGTGAACGTGGTGTTGACGATGATGAAGATGGGTGGTCGTTATTAGCAGGCTGTGTGTGTCTGGAGTTGGGTCCACACAACTGTCCTGGTCTCTGTGTGAGGCGAGCGGTCAGCTCCCAGTGTGGTCCCGCCCCACAAAGCCGGGCCTCTCTAACAGTGCTCCAGATAGTCAATGACCCGAGAGATGGACTTCTGCCCTGCGGTGCCCACATCACACTGTGGAGAGAGGGAGGATGAGAGGGAGGGAGGGAAAGAGCGAGAGAGCAAAGGTCAGTTACCACACAAACACTCTCCACACAACATCCCTATTCAGATATAAGGCTACAGGGACCAGACAGGGATATTATTCATTAGCCTGTACAAGCTCAATGACAGAAAGAGGCCACCACAATAAAGACCTTTAAGCAGACATTTGTAGGCAGACATTTTATATTTTAATGTGCGAGGAACTTACTGTAAGATTCATGAAATTGAGGAACTTCTTGAGCATTTCTGTCATTATTGAGAAATCTCCTTTGGGCAGGTTCTCTCTCACAATAGTCACATTCATCTGAAAGAGAAGACAATGAATCAACACAGAATCCTTTGTTAGTTCTACTCACATTTCCAATCTCTGATGAAATAAACCACAACAGGCAGATGCATAATGTTATGTCAGATAACAGTAATTCTAGTGATAAACGAATTCCTATATCATCTCAGAGGGAAAACAAACCATCACTGTAACCGTAACCATCAAAACAAAGGTTGGTAGTGTGCAGTAGATTACATGCTGGGTGTCAACAAATGGTGGTGATCCATGTAGAATTGTCGGGTAAAATAAAATGATTGCCAATCTTCTGTGTTCAGAGGCGCTAGGACGGCCGGTCCACTGCTTTTAAGTACACTCTGCCGTCCATTGCTCTGGTGTTTCCTCTTAAAAGCAGTATTCAGGCAAGTTTAGGCTAAAACTTCCAAATTCATTTAATTGGAATGTATCCAGTCCTATAGTGAAGTGAAACAGTTTTTGGTTTTATTTTCAAGGAGTGGGGCATCTTACTCCCCACATATTTTTTTGTTTTATTGGAGAGGACAGAGAGTTAAGGTAGAAGAGAGTGCTACAAGAGCAATGAGCCGGATTCGAATCCATGCTGGAAGCGTTCTGCATGTTATAGGCAGCTGCTTAGACCGCTAGACCAGCCAGGCCACAACCATTTTGTTTTAAAGACAAAACAGAAGTCTGAGGTGTGACCTTGCGAGTTAAAACAGAGCCCTGTGTAGATTAAAGCTACAGTCTGGGATCGGTACAGGTTTATCAGAGAGAGAGATAATGACCGTGGGACATCAATCACAACCTAACGGCCCATTGGGAGAGACTGTGAGAGAGTCCATTACTAGAGATGCACTAAGCTCTCAAGGCATCATTGAATCGCTAATAACATCTTCAAAAGAGAAAAGGCCATTAAAGCGGGAATAAAAATCAACTCAGCTTTTATTTTCCTCTCGACAGTCGGCCGTGAAACTTTTAAGACCGCAATTCTGAAGGAAAACATTGACGGTCCCTGAGAGGCTTTAAAATGACGGATGTTTACTACCGATGTTCGAATGAGGCGTCGCTGGCGAGTCTATTTGTCTTAATGACGATGTGGGTATTTGAAGTTTACGTTGGGCACATTGGAAAAGAACAGCATATTCAGAAACATATACATAATGGGTGACCTCAGCACTAGCCAAGTGCATCTGTACACAATGGATTGTTTAGCCTTACCTACCTCTAGATAAGAGCGTCTGCTAAATGACCAAAATGTAACGTAAAATGTAGCCTAAAATCTGTGTCTAGTGAACAATCCCAAACTAGGTCCATGTCGCCCATTATGTAATGTGGCCTTGTCCCATTGCTTCAACATGAAGGCCTAAATAAGTTCAGGGTTAGACAGTGTTATGTCGAGGAGGGATCAATGACAGAACTGTTATTACAGACAACTTTTCATTGCATCTTTTATTCATATTTTATTGCCTTCAGTTTTTTTTATATTATTTTTATCTGCTTCATTTGAATGACTTACTGAAAAATGCATTCCATTTTTAAATGCACTTGATATAAAGTTAGATTTGATTATATAGAGAAGCCATGGTGCTTAGTGTGTCAGGAGTGTGGCCTTACCGGACTCCCCTGGCAGAGACAGCCCAGTAGCAGTGCAGTGTAGGAGGCCACGATGCTGTCCTCCATGTGCTTCCCAGCATGCTGAAGAGCTGCAGGGGGACAAATGAGAAAGTGTGAGTGGCCAATATTATTACAAAAAACAATTCAGCAATGCCTAATTTATAATCCAACCATGGATTCTACTCAATCTCTTTTCAGAGTTATCTAATTTCAGTATGGGTCTATTACAGTTGAAGTGGGAAGTTTACATACACCTTAGCCAAATACATTTAAACTCAGTTTTTCACAATTCCTGACATTTAATCCTAGTAAAAATGTCCTGTCTTAGGTCAGTTAGGATTACCACTTTATTTTAAGAATGTGAAATGTCAGAATAATAGTAGAGAGAATGATTTATTTCAGCTTTTATTTATTTCATCACATTCCCAGTGGGTCAGAAGTTTACATACACTCAATTAGTATTTGGTAGCATTGCCTTTAAATTGTTTAACTTGGGTCAAACGTTTTGGGTAGCCTTCCACAAGTTTCCCACAATAAATTGGGTGAATTCTGGCCCATTCCTCCTGACAGAGCTGGTGTAACTGAGTCAGGTTTGTAGGCCTCCTTATTTGCACACGCTTTTTCAGTTCTGCCCACAAATGTTCTACAGGATTGAGGTCAGGGCTTTGTGATGGCCACTCCAATACCTTGACTTTGTTGTTCTTAAGCCATTTTGCCACAACTTTGGAAGTATGCTTTGGGTCATTGTCCATTTGGAAGACCCATTTGCGACCAAGCTTTAACTTCCTGACTGATATCTTGAGATGTTGCTTCAATATATCCACATAATTTTCCTTCCTCATGATGCCATCTATTTTGTGAAGTGCACCAGTCCCTCCTGCAGCAAATCACCCCCACAGCATGATGCTGCCACCCCCGTGCTTCACGGTTGGGATGGTGTTCTTCGGCTTGCAAGGGACCCCCCCCCTCCCCCCTCCCTAGGAGACAGAACGCGTCTCCTTCCTGAGCGGTATGACGGCTGAGTGGTCCCAAGGTGTTTATACTTGCGTACTATTGTTTGTACAGATGAACGTGGTACCTTCAGGCGTTTGGAAATTGCTCCCAAGAATGAACCAGACTTGTGGAGGTCTACCATTTTTTTTCTGAGGTCTTCGCTGATTTCTTTTGATTTTCCCATGATGTCAAGCAAAGATGCAATGAGTTTGAAGGTAGGCCTTGAAATACATCCACAGGTACACCTCAAATTGATGTCAATTAGCCTATCAGAAGCTTCTAAAGCCATGACATCATTTTCTGTAATTTTCCAAGCTGTTTATAGGAACAGTCAACTTAGTGTATGTAAACTTCTGACCCACTGGAATTGTGATACAGTGAATTATAAGTGAAATAATCTGTCTGTAAACAATTGTTGGAAAAATTACTTGTCATGCACAAAGTAGAATTTTTGGAGTGGTTTAAAAACAAGTTTTAATGACTCCAACCTAAGTGTATGTAAACTTCTGACTTCAACTGTGTATTAGGCTTGGTTAGTTAGTTAACTTTGTTCTTTTATTTAACAAGGTAGGTCATCACCTTTGGTAAGGTCTAGCTCCTCGTTTTCCTCCTCCTTCTTGGCCTTCTCCTTCTCGCTGATGGCGTTGGTGTTGTTGTTCTCCGAGGCCACCCATTGGATCTCGCCACCAGACTCCTGCCACTCGCCGCTCTGGTCCAGCTTGGGTTTGGGCACGTCGTTGATGAAGTCATCCGTCTCCGCCTCCGCCGCTATGGCCGCTTGCTCCCGCTGGAGGAAGAGCTGAGGACACAAACGCATACGGTCAGAAAGGTTTACACTTTCATGTAATCCGTTCATCCATATCTATGCCTATGAGATCGCATAATGCTCACTGAAGTGTACGAGGTCTCTATACAACCTGACCTATGAACACACACACCTTTCACACACATCACATCTGCTTTCTAACCCACCTGCACCAGGGCAGCGATGGCGGTGAGCGATCCTTCCGTCTTGAGCTCCTCTTTGTCAGCCACCAGGACAGAGTTGAAGGGAGCTCCTCCGTCCATCTCCATCTCCACCAGACAGTGGCAGTTCCTGGCACTGTACTCCACCAGGTTGATCAGCAGACCCAGACCCTGCATGGAGAACCATCACACTTGAGACATACACAGACTTTTATATATATATATATATATATACACACATACACACCTAGAGTACCATCATCAAGACCCAGACCCTGCAGACACAGGTTGCGTCCCAAATGACACCCTATTCCCTATAATTGGCCCAGATCAAAAGTAGTGCACTTTAAAGGGAATAGGGTGCCATTTGGGACACAGCGACAATTACGCCTCAAAACGGACACACACACACTCCAATATAGTCCCCTACACTTAGAACCTCATATATCAACTAGGTCGAGCTGAAACATATTTGAGTAAGTTCCTTACAGAGGAATGTTAATGATGCCTGACAAAGAGTGGTTAAGATGCACACGTAATAGAACTGGGGACAAAAATAACAAGAAAAATCATAAAGCGTCTCAGATTGAGTGTTGATCTAGGATCAGTTTTAACTTCCAGATCACAATGAATACAATTACATGGACAGGAAAGACCTGATCCTAGATCTCCTACTCTGAGACGCTTTATAAATATGGGCCCTGGAAAACCATCTAACCAAAGCCATGGCTACAATGTGATACTTGGTTAATGATGATGCTCACCAGTACTCGGATGTCGAACCTCCTCTCCTGATGAAGGTACTGTGGGACCCGGAGCACACAGTTCAACGCTGTCATGATCATGTCCTCCTGCTCGCCTGTCTTCGTGCTTCCCCACTCTACACACACACGGGGGGTAGAACATAGGGCTGTGACCATACCAGTATCGCAATATTTTCTCCACGGCAAAAATGAAGTAAACCAAACATGGTCCTTTAAAAACCTGTTGTATGTAAAATAGTGTGTGCTATAGCTTGGAAAATAAATAAATGTGAATCCGGATGACAACATAATGATGTTTGTTTCGAACATTAGGGCTGTTTTCCTAAAGAAGTTCAATCCGCTTTGTTATGTTTCCTTGCCAAGCTGCTAACAAGTATGGCGATACTGGTATCGTAAAACAAAGTTACTACGGGGCCTCATCAACAGTTATGTGCGTAACACATTTTTTGGAAGCTGAATGTCTTTAGGGGTCATCTTAAAGCACTTCTATGTACGAGCGGTGAGTGCTGCCAAGTGCACAAGATAGTGTAGGTATGCACATTTTCTCAATACCCATAATTTATGACCACCGCAGTGGCATTGGCCCTGTCTGGTCATTCTATGTCCAGATAATACTGTGTGAGACCCCTTTTGGACACAGTGTGTGTGTGTGCGCCTCTCACCATTGTCGTGGGTGAGGTTGAGCAGCACGCCGATGATGGCCCTCATGCAATCCTCCACGGCCTTACCCACATTGCTGTGGCTGGCATATGGCAGGGCGGTGCCCGCCGAGCACAGGGCACTGTTCACCCCAGTCTCCCGGCTGTAGCGCTGGATCATCTCCTCGCAGTGCCACAGGGCCCTGTCAACAACAACACAACACACAGGCAATGGGTTAGCAATGGGTTAGCACGTCCTCATGCAGCCGAAGTCTATGCCCCTTTGTCGGTGATTGGTCAACAGTAAGGATTCTTCAATTAGGTGTTTGTTGTCATTCAACGAGAGACTAATTGTTTTCAGAAACATATTTCACTTGAGAAATACTGCACCAAACATCTTCGATACAAAATTGCGCGACTAAGATCACTCAAAATTAATGACATATTTCTTATCTTCGATCAATTCTGACAATTTTAAGGCTATGGTGTCTCAAGATGGCCAAAGTACTATTGCAGCTTTTTTCAAGTTAAGGTCTTTTAAGGGCGTATGCGCGCACACTCGATCGGTTCGCTTAGCCGACACCTTTATTAATTAGTTTATGTATCAAAGCAAGCACAACATCAGTATGGAACTAGAGGTACTTGGCTATATAGCTCATTTCCATATATGGTCCCTTATGCCAATGTCTATTCAAGCTTGATAGATTCTGATTTCGGCATTGAACTTTTAGCCTGCTGATGTTGTGCTGGGAGAGAATAGTCTTCATATTTCATGGGAGGATTGTTTGATTGACAAAGACTGGACTGAAAGTGTATGGAAGCGGGCTCTGGAGGGACTTCACACAGAATTAAAAACACTACCACAACAGAGTGCGTCTGGAAAATAAGCTTTAAAAAATGTTTAAAAAAGGGCAACGTTTCTTCCTATGAGATTGTTGTATTATTCAGACAATGCGATCGTACAAGGAAATGAAAAACAGGCACGCAAAAGATACAAAAGCAATAATACGTGTTTCTCTTCACATATAGACATAGCCCTACACCATTAGTCAGACAGCATCCCGTCAATACATTTGAAAAAGGCAGTGTGCTGCGGGAGAGAACAGAGCGTGAATTTAACCTATAACAAAAGGTTAGCAACAGCCGCGCACGCCGGCAGCATGGCTAACCAGAAGCAAAACAGCTTCATGCAAAATAGCAAAATAATGAGATTAGAGATAATGGGGGTCATTTATTATTAAGGCAGAGAGGAGAGCGGAGGAAGAGTTCATTCATTAGAGTAAGGGGGGGGGGGGGCTGTTAATGAGGGCATCTGAGCTGCTGTGTGGCTCGACCCCTCTGATTTCTCCCCCCGTAATTGAATTAGCGCGGCCGGGATGAATGCGGCTAGTGAAGCCACTGTGTGAAATGTGAGAGCGGGTCTTTGTTGACCCAGTCGGAGAGGCCTCCTGGCTGGGGGTGCAAGAGCAGTTCACCAAGGGTGAGGCAGGGGTTAGGAACCAGAGCAGGGCGGTCAGGGTCCCGGCTGCAGTCAACGCACCCTGCCTGGGACGGGGCTAATTCAGTTAAAGACGGAAGAGTTTAAACAGATAAGTGGCTGTGGTGGGACGAGGGTGGTGGGGGACTGGGACATTTGGGGGGTGGCTGACCCTTACAAGGGGAGAGAAATGGGGGTATTGATGGAGGGCTGATAGGTCAGGCAGAGGCACAGAAGTGGCAGAGTTTGCTTTACAGAGGGGCACACGGACAGGGCGAGGGGGGATGCTGTCATTGACATAGTGTTCAAATGTGGAAACAAAACAAAACAGAGCCCTGATGAAAATTGACGTTTCCCCATGTTTCCCATAGAGCTCCATACAGAAAACTTTGTGCATGAATTATCCTTGTGATATAATGTGTCAGTGAGGAGTCAAGTGCATTTCAATCAATCTAAAGGCAAAGAAGAGAAGATCTATGTGAATTCTTGGATTTTTGGGTCGCCTAAGTCCAAAAATTGGGATGGAAGTAAGCTGTGTAAACTTAAACGACTAAAGACATATGAAGTATGTAGAAAAGATAATGGAACTATATATTTTTGTATAATATCATCTTTAAGAACTAACAATCACCAACAATGAATTCAGCAATACAGTGGGGAAAAAAAGTCAATTGTGCAAGTTCCACTTAAAAAGATGAGAGAGGCCTGTACTTTTCATCATAGGTACACGTCAACCATGACAGACAAATTGAGAAAAATAAATCCAGAAAATCACATTGTAGGATTTTTTATGAATTTATTTGCAAATTATGGTGGAAAATAAGTATTTGGTCACCTACAAACAAGCAAGATTTCTGGCTCTCACAGACCTGTAACTTCTTTAAGAGGCTCCTCTGTCCTCCACCCGTTACCAGTATTAATGGCACTTGTTTGAACTTGTTATCAGTATAAAAGACACCTGTACACAACCTCAAACAGTCACACTCCAAACTCCACTATGGCCAAGACCAAAGAGCTGTCAAAGGACACCAGAAACAAAATTGTAGACCTGCACCAGGCTGGGAAGACTGAATCTGCAATAGGTAAGCAGCTTGGTTTGAAGAAATCAACTGTGGGAGCAATTATTAGGAAATGGAAGACATACAAGACCACTGATAATCTCCCTCGATCTGGGGCTCCACGCAAGATCTCACCCCGTGGGGTCAAAGTGATCACAAGAACGGTGAGCAAAAATCCCAGAACCACACGGGGGGGACCTAGTGAATGACCTGCAGAGAGCTGGGACCAAAGTAACAAAGCCTACCATCAGTAACACACTACGCCGCCAGGGACTCAAATCCTGCAGTGACAGACGTGTCCCCCTGCTTAAGCCAGTACATGTCCAGGCCCGTCTGAAGTTTGCTAGAGTGCATTTGGATGATCCAGAAGAGGATTGGGAGAATGTCATATGGTCAGATGAAACCAAAATAGAACTTTTTGGTAAAAACTCAACTCGTTGTGTTTGGAGGACAAAGAATGCTGAGTTGCATCCAAAGAACACCATACCTACTGTGAAGCATGGGGGTGGAAACATCATGCTTTGGGGCTGTTTTTCTGCAAGGGACCAGGACGACTGATCCGTGTAAAGGAAAGAATGAATGGGGCCATGTATCGTGAGATTTTGAGTGAAAACCTCCTTCCATCAGCAAGGCATTGAAGATGAAACGTGGCTGGGTCTTTCATCATGACAATGATCCCAAACACACCGCCCGGGCAACGAAGGAGTGCCTTCGTAAGAAGCATTTCAAGGTCCTGGAGTGGCCTAGCCAGTCTCCAGATCTCAACCCCATAGAAAATCTTTGGAGGGAGTTGAAAGTCCATGTTGCCCAGCGACAGCCCCAAAACATCACTGCTCTAGAGGAGATCTGCATGGAGGAATGGGCCAATATACCAGCAACAGTGTGAAAACCTTGTGAAGACTTACAGAAAACGTTTGACCTGTGTCATTGCCAACAAAGGGTATATAACAAAGTATTAAGAAACTTTTGTTATTGACCAAATACTTATTTTCCACCATAATTTGCAAATAAATTCATTAAAAATCCTACAATGTGATTTTCTGGATTTTTTTTTCTCATTTTGTCTGTCATAGTTGACGTGTACCTATGATGAAAATTACAGGCCTCTCTCATCTTTTTAAGTGGGAGAACTTGCACAATTGGTGGCTGACTAAATACTTTTTTCCCCCACTGTATATATTTTGTTATGTTTGAGGAAAAGACCACAGCATTAAACATACCAAATGCATAGAATTTCAGGACATTTGCTTTAAAACTGCAAAAACACCGCCAAGATGGGGGCCTCAAATTCTCTAAAATGCAGGCACGACGACAGGCTGACCGCGCCCCCTGCCACAACGACCACCAAAGCCCCCTTTTGATCCAGACAAACCCCTGATGGCAGCAGTATTCTAAGCCTGTAGCTGTAAAGGCAGATAGGAGTCAGTGGCTCCTGAAGCAGTCAACTGTGGAGAAGGGCGGGGAGTTTCAGCAAACTGATGCATTGGATCAGCACTGCTACCAATCAACCTCAATGATGCCGTCTGGTGATACAGGACTGTGTGTGTGTGTGTGTGTGTGTGTGTGCGCATATATGTACACTACCGGTCAAAAGTTTTAGGACACCTACTCATTCAAGGGTTTTTCTTTATTTTTACTATTTTCTACATTGTAGAATAATAATGAAGACATCAAAACGATGAAATAACACATATGGAATCATGTAGTAACCAAAAAAGTGTTAAACAAATCAAAATATATTTTATATTTGAGATTCTTCAAATAGCCACCCTTGCACACTCTTGGCATTCTCTCAACCAGCTTCACCTGGAATGTTTTCCAACAGTCTTGAAGGAGTTCCCACAAATGCTGAGCACTTGTCGGCTGCTTTTCCTTCACTCTGCGGTCCAACTCATCCCAAACCATCTCAATTTGGTTGAGGTCGGGGGATTGTGGAGGTCAGGTCATCTGATGCAGCAGTCAATCACTCTCCTTCTTGGTCAAATAGCCCTTACACAGCCTGGAGGTGTGTTGTGTCATTGTCCTGTTGAAAAACAAATGATAGTCCCACTAAGCCCAAACCAGATGGGATGGCGTATCGCTGCGGTAGCCATGCTGGTTAAGTGTGCCTTGAATTCTAAATAAATCACTGACAGTGTCACCAGCATAGCACCCCCACACCATAACACCTCCTCCTCCATGCTTTACAGTGGGAACTATACATGCAGAGATCATCCGTTCACCCACACCGCGGTTGGAACCAAAAATCTCCAATTTGGACTCCCAACCAAAGGAAAAATGTCCACCGGTCTAATGTCCATTGCTCGTGTTTCTTGGCCCAAGCAAGTCTCTTCTTCTCATTGGTGTCCTTTAGTAGTGGTTTCTTTGCAGCAATTCGACCATGAAGGTCTGATTCACTGAACAGTTGATGTTGAGATGTGTCTGTTACTTGAACTCTGTGAAGCATTTATTTGGGCTGCAATTTATGAGGCTGGTAACTCTAATGAACTTATCCTCTGCAGCAGAGGTAACTCTGAGTCTTCCATTCCTGTGGCGGTCCTCATGAGTGCCAGTTTCATCATAGCGCTTGATGGTTTTTGCGACTGCACTTGAAGAAACTTTGACATTTTCTTCTTGACATTTTCCATATTGACTGACCTTCATGTCTTAAAGTACTGATGGACTGTTGTTTCTCTTTACTTATTTGAGCTGTTATTGCCATAATATGGACTTGGTCTTTTACCAAATAGGGCTATCTTCTGTATACTTCCCCTACCTTGTCACAATACAACTACAAATTAACTTTTAAGGCACACCTGTTAATTGAAATGCATTCCAGGTGACTACCTCATGAAGCTGGTTGAGAGAATGCCAAGAGCGTGCAAAGCTGTCATCAAGGCAAAGGGTGGCTATTTGAAGAATCTCAAATCTAAAATATATTTTGATTTGTTTAACACTTTTTTGGTTACTACATGATTCCATGTGTTATTTCATAGTTTTGATGTCTTCACTATAATTCTACAATGTAGAAAATAGTAAAAATAAAGAAAAACCCTTGAATGAGTAGGTGTTCTAAAACGTTTGACCGGTAGTGTGTGTGTGTGTGTGTGTGTGTTCACGCTCATACAGTACACTCACTTGGCTGAGGAGCAGATAAGCTGAGAGTCCTTATAAGCGATCAGGTAGCCTTGGTTCTCTGGGTTGTGAACAGTTACCTGCAAAAATCAACAAGACAGAGAAAGTTAATACATTGAATTCTCTGTGTATTAACGGTTAATCTCAAATCAAGAGCACACAACTGCACAAAGAGCCCCTCTAGGAGACTCACATTGGATTCACTTACTGAGTTTATGAATAATCTTGCCTCAGCAACCTGCAATCTAAATTTACACTGTACTCTGGCTGAAAGTAAAACCGAGCACAACTGCAGGCTTAGAGGGGCATGGGCAGCTGTTACTAAGATCAATGTTTCCCATCAATAATTTATAACTGACATTAAAGACATGCTCCGGAACTTTGGCGACTAGTAAGTATTTTTTAAACCTCCGGCTTTGGCCTGGATGTGTCAATGTGTAGTTCATACATGCATAACCTATGAGCAGAATTACTGTCTTACCTCACTTAGCCACAAAACCCCTAGTCTGAAAGCGACTGGTTACTGGAAGCTGTGCGGTGCTATTTTCCCTACATTTCCCTTCGAGGTCCAGCCCCCTAGCAATTCGAGTTCCCGCCAATGAGATTCAGCCGCTCGCCATTTGAGTGACAGCTAGCAAGTTGCACACAGCAGAGCGTGATAGAGAGCAATGACGTGGTGCACATATCTGCACGTGACGTAGTACGCAATTTTCGAGGATCACTTTTGAATCATGAGCGGTACTTTCAGAACTACTGGCTAAAAAGTATACAAAAGTACCAGAGAATATCTTTAAATAAGATATAATAAGTGCTATGACTGGGGCTCCTGACCCGGATTATGAATTTGTCATGTAATTACAGCCTTCTAGTGGTCAGAAGTGTTGTCCAACACAGTAGTGTGTGTGTGTGTGTGTGTGTATGTATGTACACGTTTTCCTACCTCATCAGAACTACAATGTCTTAACAAGTCACCAGAATTAGGGCTGGGCGATATCAAATTAATTTGAATTCATCTTTTAGCACTATGTTCCAAATCTCCTTCTCTCCTTCGGTGCCGTGTGCACTATGCACCTTCCCACTCACACACAGACACCAAGCCCCACCCCCTGCCACTCACAACAACGAGACGAAGAGATCACTTCTTCCTCTCCGACAACAAGCAGTTTCAACTCGCTATTTGAATTTGAGGTTTTGTCCGACATACATTGGTCATATGGACACCCAAACACATTTTACTGTAATAGAGGAGAAGTTAACCTTTGTAACAATGCCCTTTTTATATGTCTCAACTCCCAAAATGTAGAACAGAGCAGACTAAGAGTATAAACAATATAAAAACACACATACAAACGTCAACTACATCACACCTGCCTAGACCCACAAGCACATACCCGCACCACTTTACGCCACATGGCTTGAAACTGCACCTTTTTGTTTCTCTCCGTAGCCCACGCACTTTCAGTATTTAAATAATTTGATTGTTCCAGTGTGTTAATGATTACGGATTGATTGAGTTCCACATTTTTAGTATAAGTTAAGACGGGAATATCAATTAACATGATTGTGGAAAATGTATGATCAGTTTGTCGTACACGGCATTGCAGTACCACTTACCGCTAGCAGCATTTTAGCCACAGACTTACGTGCTAGCTATCTAGTCTGTTTTATAAATGTGAAATGAGCATTAAAAGATGCATTTGTATAAGGAATTGGCAACTCGTTCTCATTCTGAGAAGTAAGCATCTGATCCAGGTAGATAGGCCACTTGATTTGAACATATAAACAAAGTGAACTGGCTGTTGTTGTTCAAACTTTTGGAGATGGACAGGAGAGTGTATTCATAAAAGTTCAACTGTTCTACCTCGTTAGCAAGCAAATAGATCCAAGTTGGCTAGACTTTAAATATAAAAATTAGTAGGCTACTGACTAGCAGTGGGCTTGTGTTTATGAGACTGTTTATGAGACCTGTGTTCATTTGCTATAATGCCTGCTACCAGAAGTTGGTCATTATTAGTGGATGTGCATTATGCATGGTTCTTGTTACAAGGGAATTTTCATACAGACTTGAAAGCCAAATCAGTGATTATTGCAAAAAAGCAGGTTCAAGTATTTTGATAAAATAACTGAATTATTAGTCGGTCTTATGGTTGAAGGCTTATATTTAGCCTAGGTATAATTTTACAAGCCCTGAATTCATTTGATTATTCCCAACTTTTTGAAACGCAGTGTATTGACATTTAACTATGAAACAAAGATTATTTAGAAGAAAAAAAAGGCCATGTCGCCCAGTCCTAACCAGAATGCCATGACATGGTAGGAAAACAAGACATTTATTTTTTCCATGTCCTGAATTTGTTAAAATGCTTTTTTATGCTTAAGGGTTAGGTTTGGGGTTTGGTGTTAAGGTTTGGGTTTAAGGTTAGGGAAAATAGGTTTTGAATCGGAATACATTTTTACTCCCCAAAAAGTCCTGAAAATTCACAAAAACAAAGATCTGTGTGTACACTCACGCTCTCCAGCACCCGTAGACACCTCTCAGCTCCCCACAGCGATGCCACCAGCTTCTCCTTGTCATCCTCGTGGCTCAGGTTCTCCACACATTCTTTCACTACAGGAAACAAGACACGTCGGTTCAACCATTCAACCCCATCGATCAGGTAAGAGTTTAACTAATACAATGGAAACGATGTGCACAGATCCCTGACCTCAACCCCATCGAACACATTTGGGATGAATTGGAACGCCGACTGCGAGCAAGGCCTAATCGCCCAACATCAGTGCCCGACCTCACTAATGCGCTTGTGGCGGAATGGAAGCAAGTCCCCGCAGCAATGTTCCAACATCTAGTCGAAAGCCTTCCCAGAAGAGTAGAGGCTGTTATAGCAGCAAAGGGGGACCAACTTCATATTAATGCCCATGATTTTGGAATGAGATGTTCGATGAGCAGGTGTCCACATACACTACATGACCAAAAGTATATTTTTCTCAATCCACTGCATCCGCTGATGTCGGCCATCCACATATGCGGTGAAAGGTGGCAGAGCTACACCGGTTAGTCAGACCATGAGACATCCCGAAAATCGTTCTACTCACGAAAACATCTGTAGCGTGTGAACGGTTTGGCCTACAACTAATATGTCCACTATGGAAAGATGACTCACAAACACGATGGTGTTCACCGTTTTGCTCTATGACCCCCACATGCATCACAGGACTAGTCTGAAGTCGGTACCACCGATCTACCAACTTCTGTCTGTAGCATCCGAACTGTTTGGCTCTTGGACGCCCACAAGCCTCGTCTGAAGGTAGCCTGGAACCAGTTAAAACATTTTATGTTTGTACACACAGTGTACAAAACATTAGGAACACCTGCTCTTTCCATGACAGACTGACCAGGTGAAAGCTATGATCCCTTATTGATGTCACCTTTTAAATCCACTTCAAATCATTGTAGATGAAGGGGAGGAGACAGGTTAAAGACATATTTTTAAGCCTTGAGACAACTGAGACATAGTGTATGTGTGCCATTCAGAGGGTGAATGGGCAAGACAAAATACTTAAGTGCCTTTGAACAGGGTATGGTAGTAGGTTCCAGGCGCACCTTTGAGTGTGTTAAGAACTGCAACGCTGCTGGATTTTTCATGCTCAACAGTTTCCCCTGTGTATCAAGAATGGTCCACCACGCAAAGGACATCCAGCCAACTTGACACAACTGTGGGAAACAGGGCATTAGAGTCAACATGGGCCAGCATCCCTGTGGAATGCTTTCGACACCTTGTAGTCCATGCCACAACAAATTCAGGCTGTTCTGAGGGCAAAAGGGGGTGCAACTCAAAATTAGGAAGGTGTTCCTAATGTTTTGTACACTCAGTGGAAGTAGTTTAGTGCCTAAAAAAGGGGTTCAATATGTGTTTAAAATAAAAACTATTTCCTGACCTTTCTTATCTCTCAAAGATATAGGACAGACACTTCTTTGACTGTTTTTCCATGTATGAATCTGTTATTCAATGTGTTTCTATGGGCAAGCCAAATTCAGAGAGAAAAAATAAAATGAATATTTGATTTTTTTTTTTTTTATACCTTAAGGCAGTGGTGTCAAACTCATTCCTTGGAGCGCCTAGTGCCTGCAGGTTTTTGGTTTTTCCTTTCAATTAAGCACTAAACAACCAGGAGTGGGGGAGTTCCTTAATAATTAATAACCTAATTTATCAATCACGTACAAGGGAGGAGTGAAAACCCACAGACACCCGACCCTCCATGGAATGAGTTTGACACCTGTGCCTTAAGGGGTCCTAAAATTCGAAATCAAATGATCCTTGGTATGACCGTCTTAAAATAATTCCATATGTTAGCTTAGTAGAACCCCCCCCCCCCCCGGCTTAGCCTCTAGGGGGTAAACCATAAGTGCTCCAGTAATAAGATTGCCTGCTAAATGACTAAAATGTAAATATCTAGGTCTAGCTTACCTTTATCCACTATGTGGTCCAGGCCTCCCAGAAGCCTAAGCTCCTCTTTAAACCAGTCTCCGGCCCGCTTGGAGGTCAGCGATAATAAGGTCTCCATGGCTAAATGCCCTGTCTGCGCGCACACACACAGGGAGTAATGAAAATCAATTTACTTCACACACATACAGGGTATAAATAGACATGACTCGGTGTGTTGTGATTCAAAGATGCTAACTATGACAGATGATAACAGGGTGAAGAATTGGAAGAAAAAAATATTTCCTTCCAGTGATGGAGGGAGTCAGGAGAAATCTATATTTCATGCAGGTGGAATTCGTGTCCAACCACAACAATACTGCCATCTCGAATTTCACTGTCGATAGATAGATATTAATTAATTCTGAAAGTGTTAGCTTCTAACATTAAATATTTAAAAACAAACTGTGGCGATCAAACAATAAGCGAACATTCAGTTTTTCAGATTCTCTAATGATTAATTCAACATGGAAGCTAACAGAAATATAAAGAGATTGAGCCCCTGTGATTATTCTGAATCTAAATGAGTTGGGGGGCCTTGAGGCGAATGGTCAGTCTGCTCTCTGAAGAATAGGACTGCATCCCAAATAGCACCCTATTTCCTACATAGGGCTCTGGTCAAAAGTAGTGCACTATGGGTGACATTTGGGATTCTGACTAGAACATCAGTGGAGAGGATATTTATAGAGGGAATCGAAAACAAAAGGCTAAAACCCAGACATCAAAGGCCCTGTCATCAGATCAAACTTGGTTTTAAATGCTGTGCAGTTTGCCAGCCCCAATTCAAATACATTCTTTCCATTGGCTAACGTGCAAAGCCATTGTGTGTCAGAGGCGACTGTTCATCTCTCTCTACAAGGGGATATGTTCATATTTCATGTTTTTTTGATAACTGTCACCGAGACCTCTCAACGCATCAATCAAGCAGTGTTTTTTCCCCAACAATGCTGAAACAATTTTATCCAAAACATGGCTTATAGTGGCGACGGCCATTAGAGGGGCCAAAGCAGGACGATTATTTATGTAAATCCAAGATTACATCTACACAACACCTGCTAATCCATACTGATTTAAGGCCTACATTTAAACCTCTAGTAGTCCATCTGCCGCCAACCTTTACGTCAGGGGTATCGGACCAAGAGACAGGACAGAGGGGGAGGAGAAGAGTTAAAGAGAGACACGGGGAGACAAACAAAGAGGAGGAAAGAGACAGTCTCAGGCTCTGAGCTGCAGCTAGTCTCAAACTGGCCTGAAACAGGGAAGAACTACCTGAACTTGTCCAATAGGAAACACTAATTTTTGTTTACCGTTGCATGCCCTAATGAATATGACTCAAGGTAGACTATCTCTAGGGAACCCGTACCGTGATGTTCTCCAGGTCCAGGTGCTTGTTGTGCACCGTGTCGCACAGCTTGCGGATCTTCTCCTTGACCTTTGACATCTCCTTGGCAGTGAGCTGGTTGTCCTTGGCCACAGAGTGGTCCCCCTCCAGCTCCAGCAGGCGGATCATCAGGTCTAGACTGGCCCGGTCCAGGTCCATGTTGAGTCTGTCTCGGCTCAGGATGTACATCAGACTGGCCGTACACAGGGAGAGGTTCTAGGGGGAGGGAGGTGGACGGAGGGAGAGAGGGGAAAAGGGGAAGGAAGAGGGAGGAGAGAGCAAGGATACGTGAACCTGATATCGGGATTTTAAATTGAGTCACTAACGCAGGTTGTGTTACTAATCACCAAGGCCTTTTGTCCCTTGGCAGGCTTCAGTTAAAGGGTTGAGCTTCAACACTGATCTGACAGAAACCAAGTCAAGTTAGCCACAATCTTTGGAGGAGCAGCCTTAACTTACTGGGTGCTGTGGGGAATCATTGAGCGTCTTGAAGACTTGGGCCACCTTCCCTCTGGCCCGCAGGTGCATTCTGAAGCTGGGCATGGCACATCTGGTGGCCAGGCTAATGATACTGCAGGAGAGGAGAGATGAATCAAGTTTTACTGAATTGAACAGAGGGGAGAGGAGGGAGGAGGGTGGTGCATGGGCAAAACCGTGCTCTTAACCACAGACCTAGGATCAGATTAACCTTCCCTTAATCATTATTTTAAAAGCTGGAATCCTTAAAGTGGAACTCTAGTCCATTTCACCTCATTCACCTGATTTACCTAAAAGGCACATCTCAATAGGTGGTCCAGGTATGTCATGACAGTAAAAGTTCAACAATCGTTGGAGGATGTCTTTAATGGTGAAACTGCCACGTCAGTTTGCAATATTACAACAAAGTTACTGCAAACAAACACTTTTTTCCCCTGACATCATTGCACGCGCGATAGAACAGCAGAATATACACTCCAATTTTTATAACCAAGTTGGGCGACGCTCCTCACCTCCACTTTGTCTGCAAAACAAAAACACTAAAAACGTGGTGCCGTTTCCCCTACTGCGGATTCCATCTTTAACCATAAATGAGATGCCAAAGAACCTGACACTATCAGTAGCTAGGGCATTTATTAGCAGCTAGTCAGCTGGTCTTACCTAAGGCAGCGTGTGTTGAGGGGCTGGCCACTCTTCAAGCCAGTGGCCAGGTACTCAAAGTCATCGGTGAACTCCTGGTTCTCGCCAAACTCCACCACGTCGTTGAAGTGCTTGACATGCTGGACTACTGTGTATAGCTGGAACAAAGAGTTGATACCACGTTAATGCTTGTTGGGTTCATTAAATCACATGGTACAGTGCAGTCAGAAAGTATTCAGACCCCTTGACTTTTTCCACATTTTGTTACGTTACAGCCTTATTCTAAAATGGATTAAAAAAATTCCTCATCAATCTACACAATACCCTGTGAAAACAGGTTTAGACATTTTAGCAAATGTATTACAATTAAAAAACTGAAAAACCTTATTTACATAAGTATTCAGACCCTTTGCTATGAGACTCGAAATGGAGCTCATGTGCATCCTGTTTCCATTGATCATCCTTGAGATTATTCTACAACTTGATTGTAGTCCACCTGTGGTAAATCCTATTGATTGGACATGATTTGGAAAGGGTCACATCTGTCTATATAAGGTCCCACAGTTGACAGTGCATGTCAGAGCAAAAACCAGGCCATGAGGGCGAAGGAATTGTACGTAGAGCTCCGAGACAGGATTATGTCGAGGCACAGATCTGGGGAAGGGTACCAAAACATTTCTGCAGCATTGAAGGTCCCCAAGAACACAGTGGTCTCCATCATTCTTAAATGGAAGCAGTTTGGAAACACCAAGACTCTTCGTAGAGCTGGCCGCCCGGCCAAACTGAGCAATCAGGGGAGAAGGGCCTTGGTCAGGGAGGTGACCAAGAACCCGATGGTCACTCTGACAGAGCTTTAGAGTTCCTCTGTGGAGATGGGAGAACCTTCCAGAAAGACAACCATCTCTGCAGCACTCCACCAATCAGGCCTTTATGGTAGAGTGGCCAGACAGAAGCCACTCCTCAGTAAAAGGCACATGACAGCCCCCTTGGAGTTTGCCTAAAGGACTCTCAGACCATGGTCTGATGGAATCAAGATTGAACTCTTTGGCCTGAATGCCAAGCATCATATCTGGAGGAAACCTGGTACCATCCCTACAGTGAAGCATGGTGGTGGCAGCATCATGCTGTGGTGATGTTTTTCAGCGGCAGGGCTTGTAGCGTCATACCCAAGAACACTCGAGGCTGTAATCGCTGCCAAAGGTGCTTCAACAAAGTACTGAGTAAATGGTCTGAATACTTATGTAAATGTGATATTTCAATTTTTATTACATTTGCTAACTTTTCTAAAAACCTGTTTTAGCTTTGTCATTATGGGGTATTGTGTGTAGATTGATGAAGAAAAAAACTATGTAATCAATTTTAGAATAAGGCTGTAACTTAACAAAATGTGGTAAAAGTCAAGGGGTCTGAATACTTTCTGAATGCACTGTATATGCCCCAAATGGCACTCTATTCACTATATAGTGAATAGGTCAAAAGTTGTGCACCCTATAGGGAATAGGGTGCCAATTGGGATGCAACCATGATAAATCTCCTATAGACTTCATTGTGCAGCAAATGGTAGTGCCCTGGTTCAAGTACTATATAGTATAGTGAATAGAGCGCAATTTCAAACACAGCCCAAGTCCCCCTGATAGTGTACAAACAATAAGGAACCATGCCATCATCACCATATTTCTCGCACATTCTAATCGCATAACACATATCCCTTAATAGTTACGCGACACACTTAAATTGTTAGCACGCTAATGACCAATTCTGATGTGGGGGAGTAGGGTAATAGTTAGTGGATTCGCAGCGAGTGTGGAGCAGGGATGAGGTAGATACTAGATCGAGCTATATAGCTCAATCCTGCTATTCTTAGCATGAGAGCTATGCGCCCGCAGCCTGCCTTTTCGGTCGGAAGCCAAGCGCACAAAAACAAAACAGCAAATGTTAACTTTTGGTGGAGTTTAAGGATGTGGGATGCCCATTACGCTGCTCCTGCTTCTGTGACTGCCCACACTGCAGTTCCTATCGGGGCTAATACTGCTTAGCATGTAAGACACCACACAAATAACTACAGATGGTTACATGAACCATTGTTTAGGAAGGTAGAGTAATCACTTCACGGAGTCTATTTCTAAATAAGATGATTTACACCTGACCAAACCAGGTAAGTATGATCAGGACTAAACTGATTGATCATCCATGAATTTGTTCAAATCCATTTTTAACATTGTAGACCAGGGCCCATATTAAGAAATTGTAAAATTAACTCTGTCCATAAGGTGTAGATAGTAAGTATAGACCGGAAGTAGAGGCCTGGGCGTTGTTGTTCACTAATTTACTCCAAGTAGGGAAAGGATGGTGGGGTTGAAAAGTAATAAAGGGGAATATATATATAAAAAATAAAAATAAACATGGGGGATTGGAAGTGATGCAGACAATTACATTGATAGAAGATACAATCTATCTGCAATATTAAGCTGATCCATTCCCCCGAGAGAGAAAAAATAAAATAAAAAAAATAAAAGAAAGTGTTCAAGGATCAGGTCCCCCTGTCCATAAACATATTCATTTTTATCCGGAAGGGAAAACTCTTCCTAAAATCAGCACACCTACTCTGAGACTTGATAGACAGCCCCAGGGCAATTTCTTGTGTTTTCATTTTATTCAACCTTTATTTAAGCAGGGAGTCACTTATAGGCTGTGCTTTACAGATACCGAGTTCCAGACCACAATGATGGTTTGATGGGTAGAACAGAGTGTTGTTGTGTTGGTGCTCACCTCCTTGTGCTCTTTCCTACATTTCAGTGCAGTGACGATGTCCTGGTAGGGCTCGGTGGGGAACGACACAGACTTGATGACTTTGGGCGGTGGGCATGGCGGCGCTTTGAACAGGCCGTCGTCTTTGTGCGAGTTGGCCTCTTTGCTGCTCCCGCTCGACTGGCTGGCCTGGTAGAGAGAGAGAGAGAGAGGGGAAGATAGAGTGGGGAAGGGGTTTAAAGGGAGGAAGGGGGGAGAGAGGCAGAGTCGGAGAGAGAGAGGGAATGGGCAGAAATAGAGATAGTGTGTCAGAGGGAGAAAAGCAGAACCAAACACCCGCTCAGCACACGGCCCTGCTGCTGCTGCTGGCGATTCATGCTGTTGAACACCAGCCAACGGCCTCCTGCCCCTTACATAAGACCAGATAAGGCGCAGTAAAAACACTCACATGTGCCCACACACACACAGGCTCTGAGTCCCTTCTAGCAGTCCGAGGGAGGAGGGCATTATAGGGCTAACATTATCTTTAAGACTCTGAAGCGTTCAGAGCAGCGCATTCTTAACAGGCTAATTAATTCCAGGGTTGGCAAGGTGCCACAAAGTGTTAAGAATGTATTTACTAAAATAAACTGAAGTAAAAAAAAAATAATAATAATAAATAAATAACAAATAATGAGAGAGCAAGAATAAAATAACAGTAGTGAGGCTATACACAGGTTGTACCAGTACAGAGTCAATGTGCGGGGGCACAGGTTAGTCTTGGTAATTGAGGTAATATGTACATGTAGGTAGAGGTAAAGTGACTATGCATAGATAATAAACAGAGATTAGCTGTTCAGGAGTCATATGGCTTGGGGGTAGAAGCTATTAAGAAGCCTTTTGGACCTAGACTTGGCGATCCGGTATCGCTTGCCGTGCGGTAGCAGAGAGAACAGTCTATGACTAGGGTGGCTGGAGTCTTTGGCAATTTTTTGCACATACGTAGCACAGATTGCTAGCTAGATACCTTGCTGGCTAGATTGCTAAACTAACTAACATGCTGGCTAGATAGCCAGCCAACGTTAACTAAGTGAGAATGTGATGAGGACAGGGCTGCTTGCTTGGTGAAGTGTACTTCTGATTATTTACTTATTCAAATACGCCTGCTGTTTTTTATTTATTTTTTTCCACCTTTATTTAACCAGGTAAGCCAGTTGAGAACAAGTTCTCATTTACAACTGCGACCTGGCCAAGATAAAGCAAAGCAGTGCGATAAAAACAACAGAGTTACATATGGAATAAACAAAACGTACAGTCAATAACACAATAGAAAATCTATATACAGTGTGTGCAAATGTAGTAAGTTATGGAGGTAAGGCAATAAATAGGCCATAGTGCAAAATAATTACAATTTAGTATTAACACTGGAGTGATAGATGTTCAGAAGATGATGTGCAAATAGAGATACTGGGGTGCAAATGAGCAAAATAAATAATGTAAATAACAATATGAGGATGAGGTAGTTGGGTGGGCTAATTACAGATGGGCTGTGTACAGGTGCAGTAATCAGTAAGGTGCTCTGACAACTGATGCTTGAAGTTAGTGAGGGAGATAAGTGTCTCCAGCTTCAGAGATTTTTGTAGTTCGTTCCAGTCATTTGCAGCAGAGAACTGGAAGGAATGGCGGCCAAAGGAGGTGTTGGCTTTGGGGATGACCAGTGAGATAAAGCTGCTGGAACGCATACTACGGGTGGGTGTTGCTATGGTGACCAATGATCTAAGATAAGGCGGGGATTTGCCTAGAAGTGATTTATAGATGGCCTGGAGCCAGTGGGTTTGGCGACAAATATGTAGTGAGGGCCAGCCAACAAGAACGTACAGGTCACAATGGTGGGTAGTATATGGGGCTTTGGTGACAAAACGGATGGCACTGTGATAGACTACATCCAATTTGCTGAGTAGAGTGTTGGAAGCTATTTTGTAAATGACATCGCCGAAGTCAAGGATCGGTAGGATAGTCAGTTTTACGAGGGCATGTTTGGCAGCATGAGTGAAGGAGGATTTGTTGCGAAATAGGAAGCAGATTCTGGATTTAACTTTGGATTGGAGATGCTTAATGTGAGTCTGGAAGGAGAGTTTACGGTCTAACCAGACACCTAGGTATTTGTAGTTGTCCACATATTCTAAGTCAGACCCGCCGAGAGTAGTGATTCTAGTCGGGCGGGCGGGTGCAAGCAGCGTTCAATTGAAGAGCATGCATTTAGTTTTACTAGCGTTTAAGAGCAGTTGGAGGCCACGGAAGGAGTGTTGTATGGCATTGAAGCTCATTTGGAGGTTTGTTAACAGTGTCCAGTGAAGGGCCAGATGTATACAAAATGGTGTCGTCTGCGTAGAGGTGGATCTGAGAGTCATCAGCAGCAAGAGCGACATCATTGATATACACAGAGAATAGAGTTGGCCCGAGAATTGAACCCTGTGGCACCCCCATAGAGACTGCCAGAGGTCCAAACAACAGGCCCTCCGATTTGATACATTGAACTCTATCTGAGAAGTAGTTGGTGAACCAGGCGAGGCAGTCATTTGAGAAACCAAGGCTATTTAGTCTGCCAATAAGAATGCTGTGATTGACAGAGTCCAAAGCCTTGGCCAGGTCGATGAAGACGGCTGCACAGTACTGTCTTTTATCGATCGTGGTTATTATGTCGTTTAGGACCTTGAGCGTGGCTGAGGTGCACCCATGACCAGCTCGGAAACCAGATTGCATAGCAGAGAAGGTACGGTGGGATTCGATATGGTCGGTGATCTGTTTGCTAACTTGGCTTTCAAATACTTTCGAAAGGCAGGGCAGGATGGATATAGGTCTGTAACAAGCTTCTCACCGTCAAACCACCATGCCTACTCTCTCCCTCACGTTGTGACCTAGGGCTGAATGATTTTCAATGAGCAGCTCATCAACATCGTCAAAAAATGACCGCAAATGAGCAGACGTATTTGTTTATTCTATGTTTATAATATCAGCACTTTATCTGTGGAATAAAGACCGATACAAATATTTCTGAGAACGATTATTATAAGAATCGGCCGATATTAGCCTGTCAACCGATTAAATCGGTAGGGCTCTACAGTTAATTATTACAATAATTCAGGCTTTCGTTATTTAGACCATACACGCAGGCCATATAAAGTGTAAACCAGTGTGGCTGGTAAAAGTGTGAGTAGCCTACTAAATAAATGTAGCCTGTTTATGCAGCCTACAGTGGGGAAAAAAAGTATTTAGTCAGCCACCAATTGTGCAAGTTCTCCCACTTAAAGATGAGAGAGGCCTGTAATTTTCATCATAGGTACACGTCAACTATGACAGACAAAATGAGAAAAAAAAATCCAGAAAATCAGATTGTAGGATTTTTAATGAAATTATTTGCAAAAAAAATAAGTATTTGGTCAATAACAAAAGTTTCTCAATACTTTGTTATATACCCTTTGTTGGCAATGACACAGGTCAAACGTTTTCTGTAAGTCTTCACAAGGTTTTCACACACTGTTGCTGGTATTTTGGCCCATTCCTCCATGCAGATCTCCTCTAGAGCAGTGATGTTTTGGGGCTGTCGCTGGGCAACACGGACTTTCAACTCCCTCCAAAGATTTTCTATGGGGTTGAGATCTGGAGACTGGCTAGGCCACTCCAGGACATTGAAATGCTTCTTACGAAGCCACTCCTTCGTTGCCCGGGCGGTGTGTTTGGGATCATTGTCATGCTGAAAGACCCAGCCACGTTTCATCTTCAATGCCCTTGCTGATGGGGCGGCAGTTAGCTTAGTGGTTAAGAGCGTTGTGCCAGTAACCGAAAGGTCGCTGGTTCTAATCCCCGAGCCGACTAGGTGAAAAATCTGTCGATGTGCCCTTGAGCAAGGCACTTAACCCTAATTGCTCCTGTAAGTCGCTCTGGATAAGAGCGTCTGCTAAATGACTAAAATGTAAAAATGTAAAATGTTCACTCAAAATCTCACGATACATGGCCCCATTCATTCTTTCCTTTACACGGATCAGTCGTCCTGGTCCCTTTGCAGAAAAACAGCCCCAAAGCATGATGTTTCCACCCCCATGCTTCACAGTAGGTATGGTGTGTTCTTTGGATGCAACTCAGCATTCTTTGTCCTCCAAACACGACGAGTTGAGTTTTTACCAAAAAGTTCTATTTTGGTTTCATCTGACCATATGACATTCTCCCAATCCTCTTCTGGATCATCCAAATGCACTCTACCAAACTTCAGACGGGCCTGGACATGTACTGGCTTAAGCAGGGGGACACATCTGGCACTGCAGGATTTGAGTCCCTGGCGGCGTAGTGTGTTACTGATGGTAGGCTTTGTTACTTTGGTCCCAGCTCTCTGCAGGTCATTCACTAGGTCCCCCCGTGTGGTTCTGGGATTTTTGCTCACCGTTCTTGTGATCATTTTGACCCCACGGGGTGAGATCTTGCGTGGAGCCCCAGATCGAGGGAGATTATCAGTGGTCTTGTATGTCTTCCATTTCCTTATAATTGCTCCCACAGTTGATTTCTTCAAACCAAGCTGCTTACCTATTGCAGATTCAGTCTTCCCAGCCTGGTGCAGGTCTACAATTTTGTTTCTGGTGTCCTTTGACAGCTCTTTGGTCTTGGCCATAGTGGAGTTTGGAGTGTGACTGTTTGAGGTTGTAGACAGGTGTCTTTTATACTGATAACAAGTTCAAACAGGTGCCATTAATACAGGTAACGAGTGGAGGACAGAGGAGCCTCTTAAAGAAGAAGTTACAGGTCTGTGAGAGCCAGAAATCTTGCTTGTTTGTAGGTGACCAAATACTTATTTTCCACCATAATTTGCAAATAAAATCATAAAAAATCCTACAATGTGATTTTCTGGAGAAAAAAATGCTCAATTTGTCTGTCATAGGTGACGTGTACCTATGATGAAAATTACAGGCCTCTCTCATCTTTTTAAGTGGGAGAACTTGCACAATTGGTGGCTGACTAAATACTTTTTTCCCCCACTGTATATTAGATTTTGGGAAATCCCTCCCTATCGCACTCTTTATTGGAATGCACCGAGTGGAATTCTTCTCTCCATAGAATACACAAGCGGACTATGTAAATAGCTAACCCCATAGTAGAATAGTTTCAGATTTTTCTATTCATTACTCGTTTTGTTTGCAGAGGAAAAGTAATTGTGGACTGTTCCAGCATCTTCAAAGTGCGTCTCGGCAGAAATATTTGTTTCATGTTCCATATTTTGGGGCCGTGGCGGCAATGATTTTGCTGTGGCGCAGCGCCCCAGCTAACACTGACGAGCATCATTGGTGGTGGAGGGAGGTTGTGAGTGAGTGAGGCTGAGGAGAATGGGAAGGGTGCAGTGTCCACGAGCTGCAGAAATCTCATACCTCTAGCTAGCTGGGGGTATAGTCTGTGGTGGGCGACACCCCTTGGTGTTGACTAGGAGGTAACTTACGGTTGCAGTGGTTGATCGGGGTACGGGTGGCGGGGGCAGCTCCTCTGGCTCTCTGTTCCAGTGTCTGGCGTTGTACACAGCTTTAGTGGGAGACTGCAGGGGGAACAGGAAAACAACTAAACTTACACCATGATGAGTTAAGTACATGAAGTTACGTCACATTTAAATCACACAAAAACCCACATCAGCCCTTTCTACTAGAACAGTGTTAGAACACCTCAAATGAGAACCATTGATCAACACATACTCCAACCATCTGCAACAGTACCCTGTCTAAAAACAAACAAGCCAATTTAAAGTTTAGTCAATTTCTCCTAATTCAAGGTGATTTCTGATACTGGGAGTGATCAGTGTCTTGGAATATAGCACCTCTTCTTTCATTAGTCAGAGTAGAGTGAGATGATACAGAGAGATAGAGTGTGGGTGGGATAGAAGACATTGGTCTTTCTTGGTTCCCGTAACAAACAAGCCCTGTGGGGAGAGCGCGTCTAAATGAATGCCTATTAAACCACGAGCCAGGACAGCTCAAACAGCAGGAATGATTGGAGACAACAGCCAGCACCGTGTACACACACACACACAGGAGTGCACACAAAAACCTTGGCTCCTCTCCTTTCTGCTTAAAAGAAGCCCATTGGCTGAACCTGTTGCTGGGATATTAATAATGAACAAAATAAAATAATAAAGAGAGAGAAAAAACATCGCTGGCTCAGGATAGAGCACTGCAGGAAACAATGAACTGAGTGTACCTCAACTTTCAACCATGATCCTACTCTAAATCAAGTGGACACAGACCGGCAGGTTCACCGCGCCCACGGCAGTATGAGTCTTGAGAAGCAAGGCATTTTCTGTAAACATGGGCACTATCTGTCACGCAAAAACACACTGTGCACACCAAGGTTTCAAACTCATTCCATGGAGGGCCTAGTGTCTGCAGGTTTTTGTTTTTTCCTTTCAATTAAGACCTAGACAACCAGGTGAGGGGAGTTCTTTACTAATTAGTGACCTTAATTCAATCAATCAAGTACAAGGGAGGAGCGGAAACCCGCAGACACTTTGCCCTGCGTGGAATGAGTTTGACACGTGCGTTAGCCGGTAAATACAGGCTTTTGGCCGATAAAACTAATGAAAAGCTGATAAATAGAATTGTTACCGGCCAAATTTTCAGGGAGAAAAGAAAACCATCCATTGCAAAATAACGCTTTTTATTCATTGATGGAAATACCAGTCGTTGTGCTCCGACTTCAAAGGCAAATATACTTCATAGGCTAATAAATCCTCAAGCTGCTGGGAAATTAGTGTTGGACGTGTGTTTCTATTATTACTCACACAAAAGACGCAAGGTCCTCATAAGGGACTTCAGCTAAGTGTACCCCAACTGGGCAAAATTGGCAAAGATTGTGTTGATTATCCCCATTGTGTTGATTATCCCCCAGTGTGCCCGCCGAGAGGGGATTCTTTCTCCACAACAGAGTGGACAAAGTAACGAGGCTGACTGGCATCGCAAGCTGCTCCTAGGAGTTGGACAGTTTTGACTTCCCAACAGTAGCGGCTCAAATGCAAGTAAATTAGAAGCAAATTGTGTTAGTCAGGCCCGGTCCTAGCAGTTCTGCTGCCGCCCTAGGCAAGCTCAACATATGCCGCCCCTTTGTCATGTATTGTATAAAGATTTGGAATGGATTAATAGACTATAGTACATTAATGATGTGTATTATGCGTAATTGGTGCATTTCAGTTGAGTTTATGCAGTAGCACTTGTAAACCAAAAACTGTTGCCAACTATTCACATCGGAGAGTACTATGTTGCAATCACAAGGCAGCCAACTGCCTATAGTAGGAAACAGTTATCAATAAGCTTTGGAAACAAGTGCTTTCATAAAAGTATGGTGCGCGCCTCGTTTCACAGAAGCATCGTAAAATAAGCTCCCTCAATGAACCAGCCTTAACGAATTGTTTATTTACATATCGAATTTGATTGTCCAACATCAGTTTAATAATTCCTTCATTTTGTGGTCACCTAGTGTCCTCTTTCCACTGCTGTGATTCTGAATCGCAGCAGGAGTGTGGCGGGCCGGAAAGGTCATGGCTAGAAGGGATCCAGCTTGTCAAATTAATGTAAAAAGTATATATTTTTTTGCATTTTAGCTAAACTTAACCTTTTTATTTATTAAGCCTAACTAAAATGTTCATGCCTAGGCTAAATTAAATTAGAGGCCTAGATTGCATTTGAAAACAGCAGTTTTTTGTTATTTATTAATTAAAATGTTCATACAAATAGCCTTTAGGACAGGTTGTTCACAAATTATATTATACAAATATTATATTTTGAAGTTGTGTTTTATTCCTGTGTAGGCAGGTGACTTGTTCTTCTAGGATAAATGTTTAAAAAATATATTATATTAATTTATGAAAACTGTCATGTTGGTATAAGAACATCATTCTACTTTATTAGAAATATACAGGCTAATTTCTATTCTTTTAAAATGAATTACAATAATCTAAATGTGATTTTGAGCACCGTGGGTGGTGCCCTAATGCATTACGCACCCAATGCATATGGATGTCCGGTAAATAAAAATCTTGCCGGTCACATTGCCTGGCGCCAAATTTTCAAAACGGAAACCCTGATGCGCACACACACGAGGATTGTTTGTGTGTGTGTGGGACAGATACAAGGCAATGAGCCCTAAGTACACTACTTGAGCTCCCCCTCCCCAACACGTTAATGTTTACCCAAGGCCCTCTTCATACGTCTGAGATGAGTACAAGCAAGAACGTACACACACACAACAAACTACTGTCTTGGACAACAATTCTGACCACCAGAAGGCTGAAAGAGAAAGAGGCTGAGAGCGAGAGAGACAGACACTTAGCAGAAGACTGAGGAGTAATAATTTACAGCTACAGGCAGGGGACTCATGAAAACACACTGGTGAAACCAAGCCATCAGCTGTTGTGGTCCAACACCACACAAGACGGTAACAGGAGCCCTGCTCTGGCTTTATTAGACAAGCAAACATACTTGTATGACGCATGTCTACACCATCTTACACACACACACACACACACACACACACACACACACACACACACACACACACCAGGGTTTCCTTTAGCCAGTACTTGCTGGCTTTTGTCCTATCACTCCGTGTGCACACTTGTGCCTGCTGCTGAAGAGAGAGAGCGAGAGAGAGGGGCCTAGGCTACCGATGATTGCAAAGATGGAGGCCTTGTGGCACAAAATAATCAAAGGTCTGACTGCACGGAGATGCTTGGAAAAATGGTTACAACGGTGAATAGGCGACTCCGGGATGCTGACCTAGGCAGACTTACAAAGAAAAAGCCATATCTCAGACTGGCCAATAAAAATAAAAGATTAAGATGGGCAAAAGAACACAGACACTGGACATTTTCTTTGCAACTCTGCATAGGTCAGCATCCCGGAGTCGCCCATTCACCGTTGACGTTGAGACTGATATTTTGCAGGTACTATTTAATGAAGCTGCCAGTTGAGGACCTGTGAGGCATCTTTCTCAAACTAGACACTAATGTATTTGTCCTCTTGCTCAGTTGTGCACCGGGGAACTCCCACTCCTCTTTCTATTCTGGTTAGAGCCTGTTTGCACTGTTCTGTGAAAGGAGTAGTACATAGCGTTGTACGAGATCTTCAGTTTCTTGGCAATTTCTCGCATGGAATAGCCTTCATTTCTCAGAACAAGAATACACTGACGAGTTTCAGAAGAAAGTTTTGTTTCTGGCCATTTTGAGCCTGTAATCGAATCCACAATTGCTGATGCTCCAGATACTAAACTAGTCTCAAGAAGGCCAGTTTTATTGCTTGTTTAAAATCAGCACAACAGTTTTCAGCTATGCTAACATAATTGCAAAAGGGTTTTCTAATGATCAATTAGCCTTTTAAAATGATAAACTTGGAACACAGGACTGATGATTGCTGATAATGGGCCTCTGTACGCCTATGTAGATATTCCGTTTTTTTTCTCCTTTTTTATGAGCCGTTTCCAGCTACAATAGCCATTTACAACATTAACAATGTCTACACTGTATTTCTGATCAATTTGATGTTATTTTCATGGAAACAAGGAAATTAAGTGACCCAAAACTTTTGAACGGTAGTGTGTGTGTGTGTGTGTGTGTGTGTGTGTGTGTGTGTGTGTGTGTATATATATATATATATATATATATATATTATTTTTTTTTGCAGGTTTTCCTACTTACAAAGCATGTAGAGGTCTGTAATTTTTAATATATTTTTTAAAAATCCAGAATATCACATGGTATGATTTTTAAGTAATTAATTTGTATTTTATTGCATGACATAAGTATTTGATCACCTACCAACCAGTAAGAATTCAGGCTCTCACAGACCTGTTAGTTTTTCTTTAAGAAGCCCTCCTGTTCTCCACTCATTACCTGTATTAACTGCACCTGTTTGAACTCGTTACCTCTATAAAAGACACCTGTCCACACACTCAATCAAACAGACTCCAACCTCTCCACAATGGCCAAGACCAGAGAGCTGTGTAAGGACATCAGGGATAAAATTGTAGACCTGCACAAGGCTGGGATGGGCTACAGGACAATAGGTGAGAAGGCAACAACTGTTGGCGCAATTATTAGAAAATGGAAGAAGTTCAAGATGATGGTCAATCACCCTCGGTCTGGGGCTCCATGCAAGATCTCACCTCGTGGGGCATCAATGATCATGAGGAAGGTGAGGGATCAGCCCAGAACTACACGGCAGGACCTGGTTAATGACCTGAAGAGAGCTGGGACCACAGTCTCAAAGAAAACCATTAGTAACACACTACGCCGTCATGGATTAAAATCCTGCAGCGCACGCAAGGTCCCCCTGCTCAAGCCAGCGCATGTCCAGGCCTGTCTGAAGTTTGCCAATGACCATCTGGATGATCCAGAGGAGGAATGGGAGAAGGTAATGTGGTCTGATGAGACAAAAATAGAGCTTTTTGGTCTAAACTCCACTTGCCGTGTTTGGAGGAAGAAGAAGGATGAGTACAACCCCAAGAACACCATCCCAACGGTGAAGCATGGAGGTGGAAACATCATTATTTGGGGATGCTTTTCTGCAAAGGGGACAGGACGACTGCACCGTATTGAGGGGAGGATGGATGGGGCCATGTATCGCGAGATCTTGGCCAAAAACCTCCTTCCCTCAGTAAGAGCATTGAAGATGGGTCGTGGCTGGGTCTTCCAGCATGACAACGACCCGAAACACACAGCCAGGGCAACTAAGGAGTGGCTCGATAAGAAGCATCTCAAGGTCCTGGAGTGGCCTAGCCAGTCTCCAGACCTGAACCCAATAGAAAATCTTTGGAGGGAGCTGAAAGTCCGTATTGCCCAGTGACAGCCCCGAAACCTGAAGGATCTGAAGGTCTGTATGGAGGAGTGGGCCAAAATTCCTGCTGCAGTGTGTGCAAACCTGGTCAAGACCTACAGGAAACGTATGATCTCTGTAATTGCAAACAAAGGTTTCTGTACCAAATATTAAGTTCTGCTTTTCTGATGTATCAAATACCTATGGCATGCAATAAAATGCAAATGAATTACTTAAAAATCATACAATGTGATTTTCTGGATTTTTGTTTTAGATTCCGTCTCTCACAGTTGAAGTGTACCTATGATAAAAATTACAGACCTCTACATGCTTTGTAAGTAGGAAAACCTGCAAAATCTGCAGTGTATCAAATACTTGTTCTCCCCACTGTATATACAGTGGGGGAAAAAAGTATTTAGTCAGCCACCAATTGTGCAAGTTCTCCCACTTAAAAAGATGAGAGGCCTGTAATTTTCATCATAGGTACACGTCAACTATGACAGACAAATTGAGAAAAATAAATCCAGAAAACCACATTGTAGGATTTTTTATGAATTTATTTGCAAATTATGGTGGAAAATAAGTATTTGGTCACCTACAAACATGCAAGATTTCTGGCTCTCACAGACCTGTAACTTCTTCTTTAAGAGGCTCCTCTGTCCTCCACTCGTTACCTGTATTAATGGCACCTGTTTGAACTTGTTATCAGTATAAAAGACACCTGTCCACAACCTCAAACAGTCACACTCCAAACTCCACTATGGCCAAGACCAAAGAGCTGTCAAAGGACACCAGAAACAAAATTGTAGACTTGCATCAGGCTGGGAAGACTGAATCTGCAATAGGTAAGCAGCTTGGTTTGAAGAAATCAACTGTGGGAGCAATTATTAGGAAATGGAAGACATACAAGACCACTGATAATCTCCCTCGATCTGGGGCTCCACGCAAGATCTCACCCCGTGGGGTCAAAATGATCACAAGAACGGTGAGCAAAAATCCCAGAACCACACGGGGGGACCTAGTGAATGACCTGCAGAGAGCTGGGACCAAAGTAACAAAGCCTACCATCAGTAACACACTACGCCGCCAGGGACTCAAATCCTGCAGTGCCAGACGTGTCCCCCTGCTTAAGCCAGTACATGTCTAGGCCCGTCTGAAGTTTGCTAGAGTGCATTTGGATGATCCAGAAGAGGATTGGGAGAATGTCATATGGTCAGATGAAACCAAAATATAACTTTTTGGTAAAAACTCAACTCGTCGTGTTTGGAGGACAAAGAATGTTGAGTTGCATCCAAAGAACACCATACCTACTGTGAAGCATGGGGGTGGAAACATCATGCTTTGGGGCTGTTTTTCTGCAAAGGGACCAGGACGACTGATCCGTGTAAAGGAAAGAATGAATGGGGCCATGTATCGTGAGATTTTGAGTGAAAACCTCCTTCCATCAGCAAGGGCATTGAAGATGAAACATGGCTGGGTCTTTCAGCATGACAATGATCCCAAACACACCGCCCGGGCAACGAAGGAGTGGCTTCGTAAGAAGCATTTCAAGGTCCTGGAGTGGCCTAGCCAGTCTCCAGATCTCAACCCCATAGAAAATTATTTGGAGGGAGTTGAAAGTCTGTTGCCCAGCGACAGCCCCAAAACATCACTGCTCTAGAGGAGATCTGCATGGAGGAATGGGCCAAAATATCAGCAACAGTGTGAAAACCTTGTGAAGACTTACAGAAAACGTTTGACCTGTGTCATTGCCAACAAAGGGTATATAACAAAGTATTGAGAAACTTTTGTTATTGACCAAATACTTATTGTTTCTGCAAATAAATTCATAAAAAATCCTACAATGTGATTTTCTGGAGAGACAATTACATTGATGGAAGTTACAATCTATCTGCAATATTAAAGCTGATCTACCCCCTAAAAAAATAAAGAGCACGCGAGCAAGAGAGCGAGAGAGCACGCAAGAGCGAGAGAGCATGCAAGAGTGTGAGTAAGAGAGCGCGCGAGAGAGCGAGCACGTGAGAAATAATGCATGAAGCACAACTGGTTATAGAGAATGAAAAAATACAGGGAATTGTTGGATTATTATGCAAAACAGCCACTTTTTTAAAGCAATTTATAAACAAACTGCGATAGAAGAATATTCATTGCTAAGAATCAAATGTTTTTGGTTTTTTGGAGGTTTCTTACAGGCTGCTTCCCAAATGGCACCATATTTCCTACAGCACATAGTACACTACAGGCCCTGGTCAAAAGTAGGAACTATATAGGGAATAGAGAGCACCTTTGGCAGCGATTACAGCATCGAGTCTTCTTGGGTATGACGCTACAAGCTTGGCACACCTGTGTTTGGGGAGTTTCTCCCATTCTTCTCTGCAGATCCTCTCAAGCTCTGTCAGGTTGGATGGGGAGCGTCACAGCTATTTTCAGGTCTCTCCAGAGATGTTCGATCGGGTTCAAGTCCGGGCTCTGGCTGGGCCACTCAAGGACATTCAGAGACTTGTCCCGAAGCAACTCCTGCGTTGTCTTGGCTGTGTGCTTAGTGTCGTTGTCCTGTTGGAAGGTGAATCTTCGCCCCATTCTGAGGACCTGAGCTCTCTGGAGGAGGTTTTCATCAAGGATCTCTCCGTACATTGCTTCATTCATCTTTCCTGACTAGTCTCCCAGTCCCTGCCGCTGAAAAATATCCCCACCGCATGATGCTGCCACTAACATGCTTCACCGTAGGGATGGAGCCAGGTTTCCTCCAGATGTGACGCTTGGCATTCAGGCCAAAGAGTTCAATATTGGTTTCATCAGACCAGAGAATCTTGTTTCACATGGTCAGAGTCCTTTAGGTGCCTTTTGGCAAACTCCAAGCGGGCTGTCATGTGCCTTTTACTGAGGAGTGGCTTCCGTCTGGCCACTCTACCATAAAGGCCTGATTGGTGGTGTGCTGTAGAGATGGTCGTTCTTCTGGAAGGTTCTCCCATCTCCACAGAGGAACTCTGGAGCTCTGTCAGAGTGACCATTGGGTTCTTGGTCACCTCCCTGACAAAGGCCCTTCTCCCCCGATTGTTCAGTTTGGCCAGGCAGCCAGCTCTAGGAAGAGTCTTGGTGGTTCCAAACTTCTTCCATTTAATAATGATGGAGGCCACTGTGTTCTTGGGGATTTTCAATGCTGCAGACATTTTTTGGTACCCTTCCCCAGATCTGTGCCTCGACACAATCCTGTCTCTGAGCTCTACGGACAATTCCTTCGACCTCATGGCTTGGTCTTTGCTCTGACATGCACGGTCAACTGTGGGACCTTATATAGACTGGTGTGTGCCTTTCCATATCAATTGAATATACCACAGGTGGACTCCAATCAAGTTGTAAAAATATCAAGGATGATCAATGGAAACAGGATGCACCTGAGCTCAATTTCGAGTCTCATAGCTAAGGGTCTGAATACTTATTTAAATAAGGTAACTGTTTTTTATTTTCAATACATTTACAAAATAAATAAATAAATAACTGATTTCGCTTTGTCATTATGGGGTATTGTTTGTAGATTGATGAGGATTTCTTTAAAAAGCCATTTTAGAATAAAGCTGTAACGTAACAAACTGTGGAAAAAGTGAAGGGGTCTGAATACTTTCCGAATGCACTGTACACTTCCATAAAAAAATTTAACTGGTACCAGGGACCTTCAGACAAGTCTTGTGAGGATTGTGGGCGTCCTGGAGCAAAACAACCGACATAGACATGTTCGTGAGAGACTCACCTTTGCACAGAGGGGTCAGTTTGTAGGCCAAACTGTTCGGACACTGCAGACATTTTGTGAGAATACCGATTTTCAGGATGTCTCATGGTCTGACAAACACCGCTCTAGCTCTGCCACCTTTCACCGCAGATGCGGAACTGCGATATTGGCAATGGATTGCAAAGAAAACAGATATCTCTAGCTTAAAGAGACGGATTTTGATAGGGATTATCTTTATTATGTTAATACAATTTCAGCGGGCCGTGGATATTGTAGAAGGGTTAAAGATCAGTAGTGGAGCTCTTACAGATCAAGTCCATCTAAGCGATTGGAGAACGGGCATTACTGGTTCTCTTGATAAATAAAAGAGAACCATCTCAGAGACTTCAATGACCGTGCTCATCCCTTCATTCATCCACATATAAAATAATCCAACAAGCCGTTTTGGCCTGGCATCTCTGCAATGCATACAGAGTGTAGTCTACTGATTATCTGCTGAATGTTCTGAGTCTAGTTCATTATTACACTACCTGAACGTGTCCAATGAAAAGTGCACTTTTTTTGTTTTCTGTTGCAAAGCGTTTCGCTACGATGTGCCGTTGTGGCCTGATTAACACGACCCTGGACTAGTGTTCTATAGGAACTCTCTCCGCACTCTTACCTTTTTGGGGCCACTGAAGATCTTCCTATTGGTCTCCCTTCTCTCCTTTGATTTCTCCACCGGTTTTGCCTGAGGTCTCCTGGGCATCTCTAGGCCCACAGAGGCAGAGTTGTCCTCTGGGAAGTCCATCACATCTACAGGGGACATGCCAAATGTAGACGTGTTACACTAGGGCAGGAACATCACAGTTCATTACCAAGTCCATATACTTACAGATAGAATAGTGAATCTCTGTGACCAAGTCATTATTAGACTAAAGTATTTAATTAGAATAGATTATGGAAAATCTATATTCAGATCTATACCGGCATGTATAAATGCATGCGGCGAGATATATATATATCACACACACACACATTCGGAAGTTTACATACACTTAGGTTGGAGTCATTAAAACTAGTTTTTCACCCACTCCACACATTTCTTGTTAACAAACTATAGTTTTGGCAAGTCAGTTAGGACATCTACTTTGTCCATGACAAGTAATTTTTTCAACAATTGTTTACAGACAGATTATTTCACTTATAATTCACTGTATCACAATTCCAGTGGGTCAGAAGTTTACATACACTAAGTTGACTGTGTATTTAAACAGCTTGGAAAATTCCAGAAAATGATGTCATGGCTTCAGAAGCTTCTGATAGGCTAATTGTCATCATTTGAGTCAATTGGAGGTGTACCTGTGGATGTATTTCAAGGCCTACCTCCAAACTCAGTGCCTCTTTGCTTGACATCATGGGAAAATCAAAAGAAATCAGCCAAGACCTCAGAAAAAAAGTTGTAGACCTCCACAAGTCTGGTTCATCCTTGGGAGCAATTTCCAAACGCCTGAAGGTACCACATTCATCTGTACAAACATTAGTATAAACACCATGGGACCATGCAGCCGTCATACCGCTCAGGAAGGAGATGTGTTCTGTCTCCTAGAGATGAACGTACTTTGGTGCGAAAAGTGCAAATCAATCCCAGAACAACAGCAAAGGACCTTGTGAAGATGCTGGAGGAAACAGGTACAAAAGTATCTATATCCACAGTAAAATGAGTCCTATATCGACATAACCTGAAAGGCTGCTCAGCAAGAAATAAAAAAGCCAGACTACGGTTTGCAACTGCACATGAGGACAAAGATCGTACTTTTTGGAGAAATGCCCTCTGGTCTGATGAAACAAAAATAGAACTGTTTGGCCATAATGACCATCGTTATGTTTGTAGGAACAAGGGGGTACCTTGCAAGCTGAAGAACACCATCCCAACCGTGAAGCACGGGGGTGGCAGCATCATGCTGTGGGGGTGCTTTGCTGCAGGAAGGACTGGTGCACTTCACAAAATAGATGGCATCATGAGGAAGGAAAATTATGTGGATATATTGAAGCAACATCTCAAGACATCAGTCAGGAAGTTAAAGCTTGGTCGCAAATGGGTCTTCCAAACGGACAATGACCCCAAGCATACTTCCAAAGTTGTGGCAAAATGGCTTAAGGACAACAAAGTCAAGGTATTGGAGTGGCCATCACAAAGCCCTGACCTCAATCCTATAGAAAATGTGTGGGCAGAACTGAAAAAGCGTGTGCAAGCAAGGAGGCCTACAAACCTGACTCAGTTACACCAGCTGTCAGGAGGTTGGGCCAAAATTCACCCAACTTATTGTGGGAAGCTTGTGGAAGGCTACCCAAAACGTTTGACCCAAGTTAAACAATTTAAAGGCAATGCTACCAAACACTTATAGAGTGTATGTAAACTTCTGACCAACTGGGAATGTGATGAAAGAAATAAAATCTGAAATAAATCACTCTACTATTATTCTGACATTCTACATTCTTAAAAATAAAGTGGTGATCCTAACTGACTTAAGACAGGGAATTTTTACTAGGATTAAATGTCAGGAATTGTGAAAAACTGAATTTAAATGTATTTGGCTAAGGTGTACTTCAGACTTCAACTGTATAAATATGAGATGTCTGTCCTCTACGGAAGCACAGTTCCCGCTCAGCCCAGTCAAAGCTATTTGCTGCTCTGGCACCCCAATGGTGGAACAAGCTCCCCCACAACGCCAGGACAGCGGAGTCACTGACCACCTTCCGGAGGCACTTGAAACCCTACCTCTTTAAGGAATACCTGGAATAGTATAAAGTAATCCTTCTACCCCCCCCCCCCCCCCCCCTCCCCTCCCATTAAATAAAAAAATTAAAAAAGTGGTTGTCCCACTGGCTATCATAAGTTGAATGCACCAATTTGTAAGTCGCTCTGGATAAGAGCGTCTGCTAAATGATGTAAATGTAAATGAAAGATCTGTGAGTGGGTGAGTATGAGTAAGAGTCTTTCTCAGTTTTCTTATCAGGACTGTCTGGTTTTGTTTGTTTGTGCTGATCCCAAATACTGCCAAAAAAGTAATAATTGACCCCGCTAATGGCCTTACAGACCTGGCATGAAGGTTGAAACAAAACGTTCCTCGCTTTCCTAATTAGCTTTTGACATAACATTAACATTTAGTGAGGCTCGTGTGTAAAGATCTCGATGTTCATGTTATTGACCTTGCCTGAGGCCTAAGTATGCCCTGCAGGTCTGTGTAATCCCGAGGGGGGTTGGTAGTACTGACCTCGGCTGAGGCCCTGTCCCTGACCTGTGTTGCTGCTGGTTTGACTGTCCAGCTCCTCACTGCCTGACAGGGGGATGTCCACCCTCATCTCCATGGCAGCAAAGGAGGCTGCGGCTGCAGCAGCGGTGGCTACAGCCCTCTTAGCCTTCCTCTCTTTGGCGTGGGAGCCCTCGTCTTCGTCGCTGTCGCTGCCGCTCATATCGTCAAAGCCAAAGTACTTAATCTTGTAGTTGGAGCTGCCGGATGCCACGGGGTCAGAACTGCCCTCATCCTGGGTGGCACCACGGCCCGCCTCGTTTTCCTCGAAGCCAAAGAAGTCCAGCTTGGTGTCTTTCTTTGCCTTGCTCTGTGTAGGTCTGAACCTGGGAGAGAGATGCAGAGAAAGAGAGAGAGAAGAATATAATATCATTCAAAATAATATTGTGATATGTAACTATTGATTCCCCTCTCCCCCCATCACTAATAGGTAGAAGGTCGTCACCTGGTGGGCTTGGCCGGTGCTGGTTCCGTCTTCTTTTGCAGTCGGCCAGCCTCTCCCAGGTCTGTCAGCGGGGCAGCCACAGCAGAAGCGGGGTTGTATTCCTCCATGACCCGGTCTTGAATGGTGACGTTAAACATCGACAGGCAGGACGGGTGCAGCACTGTGTAGTCTCTCGTCCTCCCGCGGCCCACTGGCTTGCTGCTGTTCTCTGTATTGTTGGTCTTGAGTGGGCCAGATCCGGGCCCACTACTGAAGGATGTGCTAGTACTGGTGCTAGTACTACTGGTGCTGTCAGAGTCCCCGGCCTGCTTGCCTTTGTTGGGCCGGCGGTAGGTCCGGCAGTTGGTGCTGGCCCTGAGGAGAGACTGGGAGTGGTCCTGGGACTCGGAGGGCTCGATGGGGACTTCAAAGTCCCCCTGGCCCACCTCGTAACTGGGGGTCGGCTCTGGTGATGGCTTGTCCTCCCTGGCCAGACCCAGGCCAAGGCCGTAGCCGCCCGCGCCACCCCACATTGATGAGGGGTTTCTAGGGGGCTCTGGGGTGGGTGAGGTGGGCCCCAGAAGCATCACTGCATCCCAGTTGTCGTAAGAGTCCTTGGCCTCACTCTTTAGGGTGGTGGTCTGAGCGATGGGCTTCTTGTCGCTCTCTGAGGCGTTGCTGTACCATGAGTAGCTGTGTTTCTCTGCAGTCGCACCATCGTTAGACCAGCTCGGTTGGCTTGGCTTGGCTGGAGGAGAAAAAGCAATGTATTAGCACCACATAAGTCTTGGCAGTTACCGTCTCTGACAGAGATGTAGAATACAGCAGCTGAAGTACTCTAAAGCAGTCGACGCCTGCCACAATGCGGCATGGGTGCCATTTTCACAGCAGAAAGTGGAGATAACATGTATTAGAGAGTGTTTAGTGCTAGGGCTGTGAGAGGAGCAGCACACCCTTGTAAAGCTTTCAGCAAAGCTGGAAAAAATCTAAATGCTGAGTCAGATAAACATCTCCAACTCCATTGGTCTTAGTTACCACAAACGCAGCAGACTGGGTTAGTCTACGTGTGAAGATAGGGTTGGAACATTGAAACCACTGGCACCTGTAATTATTTGTGCGCACTTAATGTGGGACTGGGTGGGACAGCAATGGCTTCCAAAACAACTATACTTGCAGTTGAGTTCCAATAGGCTGCTACATACCACTTTCATGCAGGCATGCACATTCTGGTGAATCCCCCTCAAAAGGAATAATACACACCAAAAAAAAAAACATTCCTATGATTTACGGTGTTAAATAACACTAAATATGTGCTAACAATAATTGTTTGTGATTGACTTAATTTTTTGGTCGGTATAATAAGGTTGGGAGTAACATGTGAAAACCGTTTAGGAAATATTTTGCAGCTCATGTCAGATACCAAACTCACAATGCAATGTGCTCTCTGGGCAGACTGGCTAGCTAGCTAGAAAGCAAACGTAGCTACACACGATAATACCAAAGTCAATATCAGCATGTGATGTAGCTAGCTAGCTGTAAAATCACCTAAATAAATGGCACTATCCATTTAGGAGTGTATAATCTATAATGTTCAACCTGGTACAGGTAACTGCCAAAATAAAAGGAAACCCATTGAGTAAATGATGGATACAAAGTATATTGAAAGCAAGTGCTTCCACATAGGTGTGGTTCCTGAGTTAATTAAGCAATTAACATCACGTTTGCGCTCATGTATAAAAATGCCCAGTTGCCCATTACTTTGGCTACCATGGCTAGAAGAGATCTCAATGACTTTGAAAAAGGTGTCTCAAAGGAGCATAGGGGGTTTAAAGTGTGTGTCTTAGTCACCAAATCTCAACCGAATTGAATACTTATGGGAGATTCTGGAGCGGTGCCTGACAGCGTTTGCCACCGTTGCAAAAAATTGTGTCATATTTATTTCTGCAGAGACGCGTTTTTAAATGGATAGTTGTTGGCTCAATGACTGGAAGTCTATGGGAACAGCTAGTATGTAATTGTGTGTTGCACAGATAGTGTTGCACGGTATACCGAAACCTCTGTACTTTTTCGATACTAGAACATTAAAAAACGGTTCGGTACTAGAATGTGTTACTTTCGGTACATCCGTCAAATTAGTCTGGATCTCTCAAGTGAGGTGTAAAATGGGCATTCCTAATTCACAGAAAAGACGTAAAGAAATACTGTCTATAACATAAAATGGGGGCTTGCCTGATAAGTAGTCTACCGTAGATTTTTTTTAAAATATAAATAAAGATAATAGCAATGTCATTTAACAACATTATCATTGAACCAGAAATTGCAGAGTTTTCTGATGAAAGTGATGGGAAAGAAACGGAGATCAACAGTGTTGTCAAGGAAGAAGTGGACTGAGTTTTGAACTGGAATGCCCGGTAGAAGCAGAGTATGAGAAGGAGATGAATTCAGAAGTTTGATTGCAAATGCGGAGAGAGTTGAAGAGAACTCAGAAGGCTAAGCATAAATCAACTCTCACTGGATTACATCTACAAGGAGTTCATCTGCCGTGAAGCATTCATCCATGTATACAGGTAAGAGCCTAACGTTAGCTTCAATTAGTATCTAATTTTGTTATAAAGTCATTTGCATTGCTAGTTAAAGCCTACTGTTAGCTAGCAAGCTAACATGAAAACTAACTAGCTAGCTAATGTTAGTTGCTTGGCCAGTTAACATTATAAATCGTATCTAATTTAGTCAGAAAAATCCATTTGCATTGCTAGTTATAACCTACTGTTAGCTAGCTGGTTGGTTAGCTTTACCTGCAGATTAATACTGCATCATTTTATGCATGGTGGATGGCTAGCTAAGTGTATGACAAACCGTTTGTATTGCTAAACTGTATGGGTTGGAATCATGGTTCATGAACTTGATTAGCTAGCTAGCTACATGTCTAAACAAAATACTACACTTAGCCAGATGATTACCTGACCCATAAACTTAGCCAGGTGTATATGGGGGCTGGTTTGATATACAGTGTGTTTACCAGTGAATTTGTGAAGATCATGTTAGGATATAGGCCAAGGACTAGATAGTGTATTTTTACCTGGAGATGTTCCTTATTGTAGGCTACTACATTCACCCCTTGTTTACTACACTACCTTAAAATCACTAAGTTAAGCAAATGGCCTCATCTGAATACTAAAAGGGATGGGTGGGGCTGAGGCTTAAGAGGGTGTGAACGATGATGAATGGGCATACTCAAAAAAGATGCAAGTGTGAAAAACATTAAAAATAAGCATAACTTTCCCATGTTTCCCCAACTGCAGTGTATGATAGAGCTTCAAAATGGTATGAGTCTATACTTTTATAAAAAGTACAAAAAAGGCAATCTTGGAAATGGTACATAAGACTCAATTGGGAAATGTAGTCACAAATGTGTCTCACGGATCAAGCCTGTATCAGCGCAGACTACACCTTATCACAGCACGCACCGTACTTGCTCCATTTACTCATTGCTAGCCTGCACTGGGAGTCTGGGCTGCATCATGTTAGCTGCCCACTCATGCTGCACAGAAGTTAACACACTTGAATAATCTGACATGGCATGTAGAAATGTTTAAACTTAATTCCTAGTTGCAAAACAATGTCTGTCCATACAGGCTAGAACACTTTACAATGCATGCATACACTCCGATTATTCTAATTAATAGGTCTCTTTATGTGGATAGTCTAGTGAAAATGTAAACTGGCGGCTTCTTCTGAATAATTCAATCACTGGATGCAATGTAGTAGTCTAGTTTACTGTAGGCTATTTGGAATATGAAACAACTGAACTAGGCCTATATGAGCTTGTTTCAGATCTCCATCCCTGACCTAATCCACCAGGACTGACATTTAGGCTACTATTCATTCAACATGCCTTGTTGTCAAGGGTGAACTGACTATTATCACATCATTAGCAGCCTACTGTTGACATAGAGCTACAGTGAGGGAAAAAAGTATTTGATCCTCTGCTGATTTTGTAAGTTTGCCCACTGACAAAGAAATGATCAGTCTAATTTTAATGGTAGATTTATTTGAACAGTGAGAGACAGAATAACAACAACAAAATTCAAAAAAACGCATGTCAAAAATGTTATAAATTGATTTGCATTTTAATGAGGGAAATAAATATTTGACCTCTCTGCAAAACATTACTTAGTACTTGGTGGCAAAACCATTGTTGGCAATCACAGAGGTCAGACGTTTCTTGTAGTTGGCCACCAGGTTTGCACACATCTCAGGAGGGATTTTGTCCCATTCCTCTTTGCTGATCTTCTCCAAGTCATTAAGGTTTCGAGGCTGACGTTTGGCAACTCGAACCTTAAGCTCCCTCCACAGATTTTCTATGGGATTAAGGTCTGGAGACTGGCTAGGCCACTCCAGGACCTTAATGTGCTTCTTCTTGAGCCACTCCTTTGTTGCCTTGGCCGTGTGTTTTGGGTCATTGTCATGCTGGAATACCCATCCACGACCCATTTTCAATGCCCAGGCTGAGGGAAGGAGGTTCTCACCCAAGATTTGACGGTACATGGCCCCGTCCATCGTCCCTTTTAGATGGGATGAATTCGTACTGTCCCCTTACCAGAAAAACACCCCCAGAGCATAATGTTTCCACCTCCATGTTTGACGGTGGGGATGGTGTTCTTGGGGTCATAGGCAGCATTCCTCCTCCTCCAAACACAGTGAGTTGAGTTGATGCCAAAGAGCTCCATTTTGGTCTCATCTGACCACAGCACTTTCACCCAGTTCTCCTCTGAATCATTCAGATGTTCATTGGCAAACTTCAGACGGGCATGTATATGTGCTTTCTTGAGCAGGGGGACCTTGCGGGCGCTGCAGGATTTCAGTCCTTCACAGCGTAGTGTGTTAGCAATTGTTTTCTTGGTGACTATGGTCCCAGCTGCCTTGAGATCATTGACAAGATCCTCCCGTGTAGTTCTGGGCTGATTCCTCACCGTTATCATGATCATTGCAACTCCACGAGGTGAGATCTTGCATGGAGCCCCAGGCCGAGGGAGATTGACAGTTATTTTGTGTTTCTTCCATTTGCGAATAATCGCACCAACTGTTGTCACCTTCTCACCAAGCTGCTTGGCGATGGTCTTGTAGCCCATTCCAGCCTTGTGTAGGTCTACAATCTTGTCCCTGACATCCTTGGAGAGCTCTTTGGTCTTGGCCATGGTGGAGAGTTTGGAATCTGATTGATTGCTTCTGTGGACAGATGTCTTTTATACAGGTAACAAGCTGAGATTAGGAGCACTCCCTTTAAGAGTCTGCTCCTAATCTCAGCTCATTACCTGTATAAAAGACACCTGGGAGCCAGAAATCTTTCTGATTGAGAGGGGGTCAAATACTTATTTCCCTCATTAAAATGCAAAATCAATTTATAACATTTTGGACATGCTTTTCTCTGGATTGTTTTGTTGTTATTCTGTCTCTCACTTTTCAAATAAACCTACCATTAAAATTATAGACTGATCATTTCTTTGTCAGTGGGCAAACGTACAAAATCAGCAGGGGATGAAATACTTTTTTTCCCCTCACTGTATATCAAGAGGACAAATCAATAACTGATTAATTAACATAGGCCTACTAATATTTAACAGTCTAACAACTTTCTGTGAAGGATGGTATTAGCGAAACATCTCTCTGCCATGTGTGATCTATGCAGTGCACGTTTCCTTGCTCGTCAATGCGCTCGCGCCTACTACCGGTGCGAAGATCAACGCATGTGGGGGGGGGGGGGGGGGGGGGGTCGTGTCATTTACATAATCTGGATATTTTTTGACGATATAGCGTATCGTATTGACAATGTCGCTATATTATTTTGCTTCATAGTTTGTTCGCCATCTTTTTAAAATAGGGAGCCAATTTGTTTACAGCACTTTTATTTACCTGACTGATCAAAGCTTGTTTTCTCATGGCTTGCTTTTCCCTCTGCAGCAGACATATGGTGAGCAATATGTTCGGAACATCGAATCACAATAAATTCACAGTGCTCTGCAGCTAAATTAATATAGGGGAAACACTGTTGGCTGATATTAGGGTTGGGTGGTATACCGTATTCTGGGGTATTCAAAATACCCTTAGTATGATTACTTTTATAAAATGTACTTACTTTTTAAATAAATACCTGCAGTCAACTTGTGCACAAGGCAATAGATAAAGCAGATCAAGTTCTTCATCCTGCCTGTTAAATTGTTTTTCATTATAAAGCTTACTGGTATTAGTTTCCCAAAACAGCTGTTTGTAAATAAACATGTGCCTGCCTCAAAGAAGCACAATGAACAAAACGGGAGCGTTGTGAGGTGAGTCACTCCTGCAGCGCAGCTATACATTTACATTTTAGTCATTTAGTAGACGCTCTTATCCAGAGCGACTTACAGTTAGTGAGTGCATAATTATTTTTTTCTTCATACTGGTCCCCCGTGGGAATCGAACCCACAACCCTGGCGTTGCAAGCACCATGCTCTACCAACTGAGCTACACAGGACTATAGTGAGGTGATCTGCGTTTTGAGATACTTGCATAACTTTATGAGCTCGGTTGTTTATATTAGTAGTTAATCCGCTATGGAAATTCCTTAGTACTTGTTAGCATTCTGGTAAGTGACGTTTGGGGCTTTATGTAAAGAATAAAAATAAAAATACACTACATCTCGGGAATGGAAATCTGGATACCGTCCAACCCTAGCTGACTTGGCGATAGGGAGTGCAGGTAATGTTTCAAAAAGCGTTATGAAGTGTGATAGGGAATACATTTATCTCCAGTGATTTCATAGACTACCTAGAAGTTAAATCATGGTGAAAATCGATGTTTTACCAACTCATAGAACGTAGACCTGTCACCACCAACCGATCGTCTGGTCGATCTCCCAGGCATTCCTAGTCGATCTCCAAACATTTCTGTAAAAAACCCAACGATAAATCCTATTTTTATTTATTTGTCTCGCGCTGTTGGCTGTAGGTGCACCCGATTCAGCTGCCCTGCGCGCTAGGTAGGCGAAGTGTTGCCATTTCATGTGTCTGAAAGTACAAACTGCCTTCCCGGCGGGCCCGGAGAGCAAATCAAGTGCACTATAGGCCTACTACTGGCCAATCGGATGGCTCAGATTACCATGTCTGCAGTAATGTAGCAAGCGTAAAAGCAAGCTAAAGGAAAGTTGATACTGTGAAATTTCAAAACCATGACTAGAGAGAACTGTCAACGAATACAGCAAAGAGCTGCTGTTTTTATGCGTGAGTTCATGTTTAAGTTCTTACTCAGCACTGTCAACACATTTTAGTCAACATTTTAAAAACCATAAAATACAGTCTTCCTACACTCATGCTACAACCAGCAATGAAGCTGTAATGAATGAGAAGGAAAGTGTATCGATAGGCTTGCGTTGGTATTATTAGCGGCTTGGGTATTTCTAAATATCGAGCAATATTTCACTTTCTCTGTTCATAGGAGTAACATGAATTCGTGCATGAGGCAGAAATAATGCGGTGCGACAAGTTGTCATCCGCTGAAAGACTGTGTCCCTTTTTGGTCAGTGGAGGAAAGGGAGAGCGGAGGGACGTTGAGCGGCGTACCCTCAGTCTGCTGCTCTCTCCCTCCGCAGAGACTGACCATCAGATGAGGGCAAAATAAAATAAAAATGCAAAGCAAATTATTTAAAATGTATGCTCACTCAGCTGTGCCCCACAAGTACTCCAACAGATGCTCAATTACCAGTGTGATTATATAGCCTACCTCAACATATTTAATATACATTTATTTTTATTTTTTTAATGGTCTGAACATGTGCATTGGCAGGGCATTTCAAGCAAAGCCAATGTGGTGATATTGTATTGGGCCTATAGCCTACTGCACAAACCTCATTGCTAAGGTACTGTTTTTAATAGGTTAATGTTGCAAAGGCTTAAATTTTTTAAGTCAAGCATTTTCACTCAGAAAGTAATTGTGACAGAGAAAAGGTTGGTGACCACTGACGCAGACTATCACCAAATTGACAGGAGTTTTATTCTGGAGTGGATTATCCCTTACAGACTGAAAAATTGCAGATTTGGAAACTGTTAAGAGCCTAAATTGGAATGCAGTGGCTGTACAGTAACATGATATAAATGACATCAGAGCTCAGGCTCTGCGCTTCTAAGCGCTGACTGGATTTTCACTGACAGCTATTCTGAGCACCACATGCAACAAGTTGCCCCCATCCCTCCCGCTAATTGGGCAACTTTTGTGAAATTGTTGTTGTCCGAATGAGGCAAATGCTGTAAATTACGAGGATTCCATGTATTTTGAAAGATGAGACGTTGAGGATTATAATAAAATACTGCTTTGATGTCATACTACAAGCCAAACACCCGTTAGCCCAAATGTGCACTTCACATTTCCATATTTCCGTGTCAACGTTCTTGATCACTATGTTTGATGTAGTTACAAGATGGCAATGCGTCATATCCTGGGTTGTTCTGAACAGAATGAGCCCGTTTAACCATTGAAGGAAATTCACCGTGGAACACCCATCACAGTCATAACTCCTTTCTATGCGCTCCACTTTGAAGAGGTGTGGCCATGTGAAGACACCAGTTAGTCCTCTCCCTCAAACACTTATCATACCCCACATTTTCCAGGAATATTCTTATCATGTTACTGAAAGTATCCAAAGTTTTTTTCAGATTTCATTATCAACAAATAAAAGCGAAATGGCTAGCTAGGCAAGGGCTCTCCAACCCTGTTCCTGGTGAGTTACCCTCTTCTAGGTTTTCGCTCCAGCCCCAGTTGTTGCTAACCTGAATCGTTTCATCAACCAGCTAATTATTAGAATCAGGTGTGCTAGATTAGGGTTGGAGTGCAAACCTACAGGACGGTAGCTCTTCAGGAACAGGGTTGGAGAACACTGGGCTAGGCTATATGAACACTGAATAGTTGTGCAGAGAATAAAGCGTACCTTAGGCACTCTCCTCCCCCTGATCATCTCTGACAACACCTAGACGTTTCATCACTGACAAGCGCCATGAAGCCCAAGTCCAAAACGTCCCAAGGAATTTAAAGCTCTTCATCCAAGGGAATTAAGAGAAGTTTAGATGGATATCATACAAAGAAACTAGTCATTTATATTTCTGACATAATTGCTTATTTTTGTGGAACTGACCTTAACTGAGCTCAGTTAGGCCTACTCCATGATTAAGACCATATCACAAGAGAGATGGTACATCCTCGCTCTTTACATCTATGCCTTCAAAATAACTAGTTTGTTCATGGTGTTGTGGTTTTTGCTGTGAATGCCAAGACATTTAATGAATGGGCTGCGTTTGGCATTTCCCTTCCTTCTGTGTAAATTATTTTAATGAGAATGTTTTATTATTTCCAAATCCTTTGCGCTTGAAAAATCATCTGACTGAGAAAATGCCTGATTAGAATCCATCCAGAGCTGTAACAGGCCTGGTTTATTATGCAGTCGGTCCTTTGGAGGGATTTTGAGACTACCCTCTCTCTCCGTGTCTGGGAACTCTCTGACCGCAGAGACGATCACACCGTCGTCACCATCACCGAGCACCTCGGAGTCAACGTTTTTTTTGGGTCCAATTAAGCTTTTAAATAATTAACCACATAAAAAAGGGCTGGGTAGAATGCTATGCTTGATGAGTCCTTAATGGATCTCAATAAGTATTACCATCATTACCAAGTTCTGGCTCTGAAAAGTTTACTTTAATCTCCGGGCTGCTCTGATTAAATTCTCCGCCAGCCAAACAATTAGAGTTTCTACGGGTGAACAAGTGAACACTGGGCCTTGGAGGATATCCTGGGTTTGTGTAGGAACGTGGCAGTGCTGTTGCTAAATGTGCAAATTATTGATAATTTCAGTTCAGTTTGACCGGAGAATATACACAGTGGTACCGTTCACGAAAATGGTTCGCTCCAACAGAGTGAGTCATGTGGCCCGTGGCTTGCTACATAAAGCAGGCAGACATCGAGGTATTCAGTTACTGTTTGATTGAACGTTGAAATGGGCAATACTAGTGACCTAAGAGACTGAGTGTGCTGTTAGTCGGTGCCAGGTGCATCGGTTCCAGCATCTCAGAAATGGACAGCCTCCTGAACTTCTCACACATGACAGTGTCTTGGGTTTACAGAGAATGTGGCAACAAACAAAAAACATCCAGTCAGCGGTAGTCATGTGGGCGAAAACAGCTTGTTGATGAGAGAAGTCAAAGGACAATTGCAAGAATCGTGTAAGCTAACAGGCGGGCCACAAGCAGGCAAATAACAGCGCAGTACAACAGTGGTGTGCAGAACAGCATCTCGGTATGCACAACTCGTCGGCCCTCGTCACGGATGGGCTTTGCAGAAGACGACCACACCGGGTTCCACTACTATCAGCTAAAAATAAGAAGAGGCGGCTCCAGTGGGCACGCTATCACCAACACTGGACAATTGAGGAGTGTTAAAACATTGCCTGGATTTGCTTGTGGCTATTGTTCCATACCTGAGCCTTATGCTTCAATGCCTATAGAAATTTGTCAAACAAGCCCTTTCTCTAAGTGTCTAAAAGCTTACGCACAACACATTGTCCAGTGCCACTGATTTCAATGACATGGAATCGGTGACTGAGTTTCATCAGGAAGTGCATAGAGGACGTTGTTCCTACTGTGACGATTAGAACTTATCCAAACCAGAAACCGTGACTAGACAGCAGCATTCGCGCAAAACTGAAACGAGAACCACCGCATCTAACCACGGCAAGGTGACTGGGAACATGGATGTGTACAAACAGACCAACTATGACATCCGTAAGGCAATCAGAGGCAAAACGTCAGTACACAGACAAAGTTAAGTCGCAATTCAACGGCTCAGACGAGACGCATGTAGCAGGGACTCCAGACAATCACAGATTATAAAGGGAAAGCCAGCCACGTAGCAGACCCCAACGCCTTGCTTCCTGACAGGCTGAACACCTTCACCTGTTTCAAGGAAAACACAGAGCAGCCAACATGGGCCCACGCCACTCATGGGAACTGTGCGCTCCCGATCTCCGTGGTCAACGTGAGGAAGATATTTAAGCGTGTTAACGCTCGCAAGGCTGCGTCCTCTGAGCATGCGCAGACCAGCTGGCTGGAGTGTTTACGGACGTATTCAATCTCTCACTATCCTAGTCTGTTGTTAACACTTGCTTCAAGATGTCCACCATTGTTCCTGTACACAAGAAAGCGAAGGTAACTGAACTAAACTTATCAAGGACGTCAGCCACACGAGCCACGGCCTGTTCACCCCACTACCATCTAGAAAGCGGAGACAGTACAGGTGCATCAAAGCTGGGACCGAGAGACTGAAAAACAGCTTCTATCCCCAGGCCATCATACTGTTAAAACAGCCACCACTAGACTGCCTCCGCCCAGTCGTCCACTCTGCCCCTCAGTCACTGTCAACAGCCGGCTACCACTGGGTACGCTACCCTGCACCTTAGGTACTGCTGCCATATACAGTGCATTCGGAAAGTATTCAGACCCCTTGACTTTTCCCACACTATTTTACGTTACAGCCTTATTCTAAACTGGAAAAATAATTGTTCTTTCCACCTCAATCTACACACAATACCCCATAATGACGAAACAAGACATTTTTGCACATTTATAAAAACAGAAATATTACATTTAAATAAGTATTCAGACCCTTTACTCAGTACTTTGTTGAAACACCTTTGGCAGCGATTACAGCCTTGAGTGTTCTTGGGTATAATGCTACAAGCTTGGCACACCTGTATTTGGGGAGTTTCTCCCATTATTCTCTGCAGATCCTCTCAAGCTCTGTCAGGTTGGATGGGGAGCGTCACTGCACAGCTATTTTCAGGTCTCTTCAGAGATGTTGGATGGGGTTCAAGTCCGGGCTCTGGCTGGGCTACAAGGACATTGAGACTTGTCCCGAAGCCACTCCTGCGTTGTCTTGGCTGTGTGCTTTGGGTCGTTGTCCTGTTGGAAGGTATATCTTCGCCCCAGTCTGAGGTCCTGAGCGCTCTGGAGCAGGTTTTCATCAAGGAGCTCTCTGTACTTTGCTCCGCTCGTCTTTCCCTCGATCCTGACTAGTCTCCCAGTCCCTGCCGCTGAAAAACATCCCCACAGCATGATGCTGCTACCACCATGCTTCACCGAAGGGATGGTGCCAGGTTTCTTCCAGACGTGACGCTTGGCCAAAGAGTTCAATCTTGGTTTCATCAGACCAGAGAATCTTGTTTCTCATGGTCTGAGAGTCTTTAGGTGCCTTTTGGCAAACTCCAAGCGGGCTGTCATGTTCCTTTTACTGAGGAGTACCTTCCGTCTAGCCACTCTACCATAAAGGCCTGATTGGTGGAGTGCTGCAGAGATAGTTGTCCTTCTGGAAGGTTCTCCCATCTCCACAGAGGAACTCTAGAGCTCTGTCAGAGTGACCATCGGGTTCTTGGCCACATCCCTGACCAAGGCCCTTTTCCCTTGATTGCTCAGTTTGGCAGGCCAGCCAGCTCTAGGAAGAGTCTTGGTGGTTCCAAACTTCTTCCATTTAAGAATGATGGATGCCACTGTGTTCTTGGGGACATTCAATGCTGCCGAAATTTTTTGGTACCCTTCCCCAGATATGTGCCTCGACAATTACTTCAACCTCATACCTTGGTTTTTGCTCTGACATGCACTGTCAACTGTGGGATCTTATATAGACAGGTGTGTGCCTTTCCAAATCATGTCCAATCAATTGAATTTACCACAGGTGGACTCCAATCAAGTTGTAGAAACATCTCAAGGATGATCAATGGAAACAGAATGCACCTGAGCTCAATTTCAAGTCTCATAGCAAATACATACTTATGTAAATAAGGCATTTTTGTTTTTTTATTTGTAATACATTTGCAGAAATTTCTAAAAACCTGTTTTCGCTTTGTCATTATTGAGTATTGTGTGTAGATCGATGATTTAATCCATTTTAGAATAAGTCTGTAACGTAATAAAAATGTGGAAAAATTCAAGGTCTGAATACTTTCCAAATGCACTGTAGTATGTACATAGTCATTGAACACTGGTCACTTTAATAATGCTCACAATTTATACATTACTACGGTACTATTTTTTAAAGTTTGGATTGTGTGCTCAACATTTACTGCATTGATTGATAGGAATTAGGAACATAAGCATTTCGCTGCACCTGCCATAAAACCTGCTAAACTGTGTACCTGACCAATACAATTTCATATGATACAGGTAACTGCCAAAATAAAAGGAAACAAACAACGCGTATATACAATTAAAACGTTAGTGTAACAGTTATATTAGTAATAGGCTATAGTCCAGTTACAACTTCTGACAAAGTAGAAAAAAAAAAAGTGGTGTGGGTGGGTGTGCGCATGGGACAGAGGAAGAGCAGTTCTTACACCATTGTTCTAAATTCAATCACCTTCTTCATCCTCATCATTCAGTTCATTCAAATTCAATTGTGAAATCAAGTGCACAATTATCAGTTTCTATCTGGTTTCAATTACCCATTCACGTCATTAATTTAGTGAGGAAAGAAACATTAGCGCCTGGGTACCAACGCTTAACACCGAACCCAAAAGCATTATCAGCGTTCTAACTCCTCCTTGCGGTGACGCAATGTACCATACTATACCAAAATCTACCTTAATGCGATATAAACTCTAAACGTTTAATTGAGGAACCACTGTACATCGTTTTCATGCTCATCAAACCATTCAGTGACCCCTCGTGCCATGTGGATTAGGGCATTGGCTATGCCGCCATAGGATGACAAGGTAGACAAAATAATGGCCTGCCCAGCATTTTTATACATGACCCCTAAGCATGATGGGATGTTAATTGCTTAATCAACACAGAAACCACACCTGGGTCATTCTCACAAAACTGTCCCCCAAAATATTTTTCTCAAGTGTCATTTTTCACTGAGATAAGAATCTATACTTTTCTATATAATAAATTTTTCTAAAGTTGTTTTTTAAAATCAGATATTATGCATTTTACCAACATTCACAAAATGCTCATTACAAAGTAACAGTTTTCAAAGTCAAAAAAAGTAATAAACAAATCATTATTTATATTTTTTAACATTGATCCCCTAATGAAAAGGCCTGAGTTAAACATAACACTGAAAATTTAAATATAAAATGAAATTATAAAATAAAACAGTGACTTTTCCCCCAATTTGAGCTCTTTAGCCATGTCGTAATGAGATGGCCAAGTGGTGTAAAGGGAGTGTTGGAGAACGAAGAACCTCATTCTGAAGGCATATAAGCGAATAAATTAACGTAACATCATCCTCTACATTACGCATCATGGGTGAATAAACCTATTTTTAAAAACTGACTGGAGTTTTACAGGAACGTGAACGTCCACAAACACCAAGTAATTAATATTATAGTTTAATGTAAACTTCAACTAGTATACTATTTTTATGATTTATGGACAAACTACAGTAACATATTTGGTGTTTAATTCAAAAGTTGTTTTGCTGAATATTTTTTTTTTTAATAAAAATGACCAGAAGATTTTATCTGGACGCATTTCTGTAATGAGAATTTGGGGTGAAAATATACAACATTCAGGTGTAAAATGTCTAAGTCCTCAGAATGACAGTTGATTTTTGCAGATTCATCATGGTTTTGTAACTCAATTTGACAAGGACATTTTAAAAACTGGTTTCATGAGAATCACCCACCTGTGTGGAAGCACCCGCTTTCAATATACAGTACCAGTCAAAAGTTTGGACACACCTACTCATTCAACGGTTTTTCTTTATTTTTACTATTTTCTACATTGTAGAATAATAGTGAAGACATCAAAACAATGAAATAACACATATGGAGTCATGTAGATACCAAAAAAGTGTTAAACAAATCAAAATATATTTGAGATTTTTCAAATAGCCACCCTTTACCTTCACGACAGCTTTGCACACTCTTGGCATTCTCTCAACCAGCTTCACCTGGAATGCTTTTCCAACAGCCTTGAAGGAGTTCCCACATATGCTGAGCACTTGTTGGCTGCTTTTCCTTCACTCTGCTGTACGACTCATCCCTAACCATCTCAATTGGGTTGAGGTCGGGGGATTGTGGAGGCCAGGTCATCTGATGAAGCATTCCATCACTCTCCTTCTTGGTAAAATAGCCCTTACACAGCCTTGAAGTGTATTGGGTCATTGTCCTGTTGAAAACAAATGATTGTCCCACTAAGCCCAAACCAGATGTGATGGCGTATTGCTGGAGAATGCTGTGGTAGCCATGCTGGTTAAGTGTGCCTTGAATTCTAAATCAATTACAGACAGTGTCACCAGCAAAGCACCCCACACCATAACACCTCCTCCTCCATGCTTTATGGTGGGAAATACACATGCGGAGATAATCCGTTCACCCACACCGCGTCTCACAAAGACACAGCGGTTGGAACCAAAAATCTCAAATTTGGACTCCAGACCAAAGAACACATTTTCACCGGTCTAATGTCCATTGCTCGTGTTTCTTGGCACAAGCAGGTCTCTTCTTATTGGTGTCCTTTAGTAGTGGTTTCTTTGCAGCAATTCAACCATGAAGGCCTGATTCACACAGTCTCCTTTGAACAGTTGATGTTGAGATGTGTCTGTTACTTGAACTCTGTGAAGCATTTATTTTGGCTGCAATTTCTGAGGCTGGTAACTATTGAGCTTAACCTCTGCAGCAGAGTTAACTCTGGGTCTTCCATTCCTGTGGCGTTCCTTATGAGAGCCAGTTTCATCATAGCGCTTGATGGTTTTTGCGACTGTACTAGAAGAAACTTTCAACATTTCTGAAAATTTCCGGATTGACTGACCTTCATGTCTTAAAGTAATGATGGACTGTCGTTTCTCTTTGCTTATTTGAGCTGTTCTTGCCATAATATGGACTTGGTCTTTTACCAAATAGGGATATCTTCTGTATACCAACCCTACCTTGTCACAACACAACGGATTAGCTAAAACGCATTAAGAAGGAAAGAAATTCCACAAATTCACTTTTAAGAAGGCACACCTGTTAATTGAAATGCATTCCAGGTGACTACCTCATGAAGCTGGTTGAGAGAATGCCAAGAGTGTGCAAAGCTGTCATCAACGCAAAGGGTGGCTATTTGAAGAATCTCAATTATAAAATATATTTTGATTTGTTTAACACTTTTTTGAATGAGTAGGTGTCCAAACTTGACTGGTAGTGTACTTTGGATCCCTTATTTACTGAAGGGTTTCCATTATTTGGGGAGTTAACTGTAGGGCATACAGCAATATGCAGGGATGTAAAATGATGCGATACTGTTTTGTGGTGGACAAGGGCACACACCAGCAAGCAGCATTGCATTGAAACGGGCCCGTAACTAGAGCAACAAGTTGCTGCCTTGATGCAGTAAATTACACTCAGCATGTCTTACTTAAGCCTGTCGCATGCTTCAAAGCCGAAACAGTTCGCGCATATATTACAACGAAATTTGACGTTTTTGTCTGATGGTGTTTAGCAGGGTTTATCTCGAAGTTCGGTAGCCGAAGTCTACGCCCCTTCGTCTGTGATTGGTCAACAGTACTACTACGCCTAGTAGGAGTGGAAACTATGGATGGGATTCTTCATTTTTTCACTTGAGAAATACTGTACCAAACATTTACATTACATTTACGTCATTTAGCAGACGCTCTTATCCAGAGCGACTTACAGTTAGTGAGTGCACACTTTTTTTTTTTCCTCAAACATCTTAGGTAGATGTCAAATTGCACGACTAAGACCTCTGCAAAAACGTACAAATTAATTACAGATTTCTTGATTTATCTTGGATTAATTTTGAGGAAGTGTTTCTGGCTATGTTGTTGCTACGGTTGCTCAAGAGGGACAAACAGCAATATTGCAGCTTCTTTCGTTTCTCAAGGGAAAAGTATTTAGGGAGTATGCGAGGCACAGACGTTTGCTTCACCTAGCCGAGATCGGCTAGGAGCAAATAACCTAATATGCGGGCGCCTTTAGCAATGCTGAATACAATCATAACCACCTGCCACAGAGGAGCCGGCCTCCTAAAACGAGGCTACACCTGTCAAGTGGACTGGTTTCATATTACAGAAGAGCATCAACATAAAGAAGACGTGCTTTGGGTTGTAATCCACGAGAGCCTGCCAGGCTGACTGTTTTCCAAAGTCAAAAGCTAACAGTGTTTGGAAAGTGGTAAACTGCCGCAAGGCAGGGAGTTGCATTAAAATGGCCACTCGTCTGAATCATGAGGTCAGCTACCAATCCGATGGCTAAATCAGATGGGTGGATGACATATGCAAGTGCATCCTAACTGAATAATTGTGCATATTCTTTTGTAATCTCATTAGAAGAACGGTCTTCTTTAATGCTCAGGATTGGCTCACTAAGTCTAAGGACAATCAATATTTAGTACCTATAACTACCTTATATTAATTTACATTAAATTAATTAGAAGAAATACATCTGTTTCAATAATTGTAACTAAGGATGGCTGACTTGGCACAACATTTTATCTTAAAGACATGCTCCAGTACTTTGGCAACAACTAAGTATTTTTAAACTTCCCGCTTTGGCCTGGATGTGTCAATGTGTAGTTCATACATGCATAATATGTGAACAGAATTACTGTCTTATCTCAATTAGCCACAAAATCTCTAGTTTGAAAGATACTTTTTCTGGAAGCTGTGCTGTGCCATTTTCCCCCTCGTAGCAATTTGAGGTTCTTGCCAATGAACTTCAGCCCCTCGCCATTTGAGTGACAGCTAGCAAGATGCACACGGCAGCGGGTGAGAGAGCAATGACGTGGCGCACATAGAGTACCAGTCAAAAGCTTGGACACACCTACTCATTCCAGGATTTTTCTTTATTTTTACTATTTTCTACATTGTAGAATAATAGTGAAGGCATCAAAACTATGAAATAACACATGGAATTATGTAGTAACCAAAAAGTGTTAAACAAATCAAAATATTTGTTTTATTTGAGATTCTTCAAAGTAGCCACCCTTTGCCTTGATAACAGCTTTGCACACTCTTGGCATTCTCTCAACCAGCTTCATGAGGTAGTCACCTGGAATCCATTTCAATTAACAGGTGTGCCTTCTTAAAAGTTCATTTGTGGAATTTCTTTCCTACTTAATGCATTTGAGCCAATCAGTTGTGTTGTGACAAGGTAGGTGTGGTATACAGAAGATAGCCCTATTTGGTAAAAGACCAAGTCCAAATTATGGCAAGAACAGCTCAAATAAGCAAAGAGAAACGACAGTCCATCATTACTTTAAGGCATGAAGGTCAGTCAATGCGGAAAATTTCAAGAACTTTGAAAGTTTCTTTACATTCTTCAAGTGCGTGTCTTTGTGAGACACAGAGTAGATGAACGGATGATCTCAGCATGTGTGGTTCACACCGTGAAGCATGGAGGAGGTGGTGTGATGGTGCTTTGCTGGTGACACTGTCTGTGATTGATTTAGAATTCAAGGCATATTTAACCAGCATGGCTACCACAGCATTATGCAGCGATACGCCATCCAATCTGGTTTGCGATTAGTGGGACTATCATTTGTTTTTCAACAGGACAATGACCCAAAACACACCTCCAGGCTGTGTAAGGGATATTTGACCAAGGAGAGTGCTCAGTGCTGCATCAGAGGACCTGGCCTCCACAATCACCTGACCTCAACCCAATTGAGATGGTTTGGGATGAGTTGGACCGCAGAGAGAAGGAAAAGCAGCCAACAAGTGCTCAGCATATGTGGGAACTCTAAGACTGCTGGAAAAGCATTCCTCATGAAGCTGGTTGAGAGAATGCCAAGAGTGTGCAAAGCTGTCATCAAGTCAAAGGGTGGCTACTTTGAAGAATCTAAAATATATTTTGATTTGTTTAACACTTTTTTGGTTACTACATGATTCCATATGTGTTATTTCATAGTTTTGAATTCTTCACTATTATTCTACAATGTAGAAAATAGTAAAAATAATGAAAAACCCTTGAATGAGTAGGTGCGTCCAAACTTTTCACTGGTACTGTATGTGACGTAATACGCAATTTTCGGGGACCACTTTTGGCTCGTGAGCGCTACTTTCAGTACTGGCTAAAAAGTCAAAAGTACCGGAGAATCTCTAACAAATGAAAACAGCCAAATTGCAAGGCAGAGGAAAATTCTATGGATGCACAATATTCAGATCCCTTCGACCCTACACCCTCTGGAAGCCAAGGTCTTCTGGCTCCATCTAACATTCTAAAATGTATTATTAGTCCTACTTTGCAACATGAGTGTCCTCCTACCTGTTGTGGGGGTTGTGTTGAAGAACCTGGCTGTGTCCTCGGTGACCCTCAGTTGGGTTCTGTCAATCCCCAGACTAGAGGTTGCTCTACTGGGAGCAAGGCTGGTTCTGCTGCTGGACTCCAGGGAGAATCCTGGCCTCCCTGCCAGGGTCAGCTCTGTGGATGCCGGCTTGACTGGGGAGGCCTTTGTCTGTGGGACGCGAGAGGTGACCGTCTTGGACTCCTCATCGCTGTCAAACCCAAAGGGGTCCTCTGAGCTCTCGTTGGAGAGTTTGGGCCTCTTGGGCTGCTCTGCCACCTCAGTCTTCTGGCCGGGGCGCTTGGAACTCACCTTGGCCTTGTATGTCGTCTCGCCCCATTTGGTACTGAGCGTGGCTCTCTTGTTGGACAGGACCTCGTCAAACTTGGATGATGAGCCGTCGCCTCCCTTACGGCTGTAGGTTTTACCAAATCTGGACGTCATTGTGACACCTGTTTCATATTCTCTGTGATGGGTACAAAATATGAAATGCATTAGTTGCAGTCATCATAGGCAATTTCTCATCAAACCAATCACAACATTGTGGTTGAAGTTCACTTTTACTGTAATGTTTTGATGTAATAAATCTGGATTATTGAGGTTTTAGTTCATCACTACCCAAATGTTATTTGGAAGGTGTCCTTTCACCACAATGATTTTGGACCGTGTGATCTTCATTATCAGGTTCAGTAAACTGAGACTCCGACTGCTCTGGAAGTGGCTAACTCAATGTGCACAGTTAGCTACAATACATCCCCATTAGCTTAGACACTATAACATTAGGTAACTAGTTAACTAAATCAATCAGCTGACGTTATTGAAGAATAGTATGTCTAACGTTAGCAGTAGGACATATAAACGAAGTTTACTAACGTTAGCTAGGATAATATACTAACTAGTAGTATGTAGCTACTAATTGAGTGTTCAACAACCAAAACAGACCCATATGGCTAGCTAGTTACGACGTTAGCTAGGTAGCTAGATCAAGTAGCTAGATAGCTAACGTTCGCTGGCTAACTAGCCGCTAGCGTCATGTAACACAGTGGGGGTTGACTTCCTAACTAGGTACATAATAATTATTGCGAAAAATCTAAAATAATGCAGCCAGTTACAGTAGCTAGCTTACGTTAACTACTTGGCTAGTAGCTAGCTAACTAGCTAGCTGGCTCAGGCTAACAGACGCAACATGATTGATGACATCACATTTTCACATTGATTTTAAGGTTTCAAGTAGTTTGAAAATCAGTGTATATTTCACAAAATTGCATTGAATATACAACTGCCTCACTTACTTGGTGCGCTAAAAGACCGAACCACTCAACAACACACTCTGAAGAAGGCGGCCGCTTCCCGCACCAGATAGGGCCTCCCTGACCCTGTTCAAAGCTCGCTTGCACAACAATATAAACAAGGCTAAACTGCCTTTAGTAATGACAGATATAGGACAGTCAAAGACTGTAAAAAGTTCCGTGTGTCCTGGGTAACAATGTTATTTTGATAATGTTGGTTTTACGTCTGATATATTCATTTTTTCAAGCTATATCAAACTCGATTGTCTCCTCTGTGTTGCACTGACGGCTTCCAACAGCGTTGAGGGAGTTATTTTACGATGTCCCGGCTTGAACCGGTCAATGGCCCGTCACGTCATCGGGCGAAAACTGGGAAGGAGGAGCGCCCTTCTCAAATCGAATAGTAATCTGCGCCGCTAGGTCATGTTATCAACATGACAGCTATGGTGCATCTTTTCCATAAAATAAATGTTTGAATTTTCCCAAAAAAAAATCATTGGGAAAGCAGATAATGCGTTTTTGTCAAAAACAATATTTTGCATGGGAAAACACAGAATCTTACTAATTAATACACGTGCTTGATTACGTCACTTTTGTTTTGAGCCAAATTCGCCGTTGTACAGAGCGGGGCACCTAGCTCACGGCCGGTAGGCAGCACGGTTCCAAATCGAATGCAATCAACTTTCAGCCGGTGCAAAACACGCTTACACGGGCGCCCGGGCGAGATTAATCGAGTCACCTCGCCGCTAGTACAGTGTGGTCCAATCAGGAAGATCGATCTTTGAATGTGACGATGAACTAGCGCTGCGAAGCACTATTCTTCCTTGTGATTGGTTCGAAAGCCGAGAAGAACTGAACTGCTACTTATTTCATTGGACTGTGGAAAGTGCTATCTGGTATCCGTGGGACGTCCCTACCCTTAACCCTAACTCCTGCCCTAACCCTAACCCCTGCCCTAACCCTAACCATAACCTAACCCGAACCTTAAGTCCTAGTGCAGTCAAAAACGTGATTTTTCTGTGTTTTATATTTCCACACAATGAGTTTGGAATACTAGGCTACTGTGAAAATTATGATAATGCCCTTTGTAGGAGCTGTCTTAAAATACCGACTTCAATTTCAGCCTGTTTTGGTGGGATGGAGTTTTAGCCTGCCTTGTGACATCACAACGGAGTCTCCAACAACTGGATGTTCCGGTTTTCAGGAGACTTCTGCTTTTGGACAAAGGCAAATCTCCATCTTAACTCCTCTTCCACATTTACTGGATTGGTTGAATAGTGCAGAAGAGAACCTCCCACTACAGTTTTTTTCCTTCTTCTAATCAAGACAAGTATGTAGGTGATCTAGTTTCAGACATTTATTTTATGCCTACTACATTAGGTTATTCCCAGACAGTCCCAGCAAAAATCTTACTTGAGAAATTGCTCTTTGCTAAGAAGCTATTTTTGTTTCTTTTTGACAATTTTAATTTAAAACAATCACATTAAGGTACTCAATTGTTACCCAGAAATTATTTGATATTGAGATAAAAACGGCTGCATTGAACTTTTAACCCTTAACTTAACCATTTTAAATTTAAACTTCAATGGGGTAGGGATGTGCCAACGATTCTGGATAGCAAGGACCATTGGACTGTTGGTGAGAGGTGTCCTCTTTGGGGGTGTCGAAGCTAGTGGAATTAAATAAGTATGGTAACTGTAGTGAAATTGGGTTCTGAAATAAATGAATAATAAATCAATCAATCAAATTGCATTTATATGGCACTTTTGACTAGGTGCTGGCCTAGATCCCAAAGTAACAATTAGCCTACAATGACAAGGAGAAAACAAAACATGAAGACCCTATCAATTGACAAAATTAGCCCCAAATAAAGTGCATTCTAAAGTGAAAGACACTATACCATAAAGTAGTTGAAAATGTTTCCACCTGTCCTAGAGAAGTCTATAGGCCTACTATCAAATAAGGGATGGTTTTATGGAAAGGCATAGTTTGACGGACCAGTTCCATGAAATGATGCCTCCCATCAGAACATGCGGACCCAGATACCTCGTCAGAGTATCATTCCTCTGAAAAAACAGTCAGTGTCATTTTTTAAATGTTTGGTTGATGGTCATGTGGGCGGCTGAGTACGTTTTAAACATAAATATTTACTGTTGTAGGTTCCCATTCACCCGGATAGATTTGTAGGCTATATATTCTGTGATTCATACATGTAGCCTACACATGAGATTATTGCTTACATCTTTGATGTGTGAAGTACATTTTGTATACAGTAACTATGTTGTGTTGTAGGCCTATCCACACCCACTATTCATGTGGTTTGAAATGTGAATATATTTGTGTACGTGTGCACTTCTGTTTGACCTGATCAAGTTTCAGCTAGCTAGGCGGTAATTCTGTTATTTTCAAATGGATTGATACCCAGCTGTGATTGACTTGGACATAATATCTCTCACTTAATTTCTGTCCTGACTGGAGTTGTTGGGCCCACATAGTTTGTGACATGAAGTTGAGAGTAAAATAAATTCACTGCTATCTACTGGAAAGGCTTTTTGACGTGGGGCCTAATGTGTAGTCCTAGACATGATCCCTATAATAATATGGTCACACAGATCAATTACATTTCAATGGTCAAGGAATGGAACCGTGCGCTGTTCCTTGCGTGCGTAATAATCACCTGTCACTATTAGAACATCTTGATTCTCTGTCCATATCGGAGAGAGTTTGCCCATTTTATGTCACCCAAGTCACACTTTCTTTTTCTCTGTCTCTGGTGTGAAGGGGAATCCTTAGGGCGAAGACGATGACGCATATATTGCCAATGGGTGGGTGTGGATGCAGCTCGTGCAACTCCATGGGAAAATTCTTCGGAAACCGTTTATCTCATAAGGATGTAATGTATGGCTTTCAGCCCATGTAATGTGGTCAAACGTTTTGAGAATGACACAAGTGTTGGTCTTCGCAAAGTTCGCTGCTTCAGTGTTATGAGATATTTTTGTCAGATGTTACTATGGTATACTGAAGTATAATTACAAGCATTCAATAAGTGTCAAAGGCTTTTATTGTCAATTACATTAAGTTTATGCAAAGAGTCAATATTTGCAGTGTTGACCCTTCTTTTTCAAGACCTCTGCAATCCGCCCTGGCATGCTGTCAATTAACTTCTGGGCCCCATCCTGACTGATGGCAGCCCATTCTTGCATAATCGATGCTTGGAGTTTGTCAGAATTTGTTGGTTTTTGTTTGTCCACCCGCCTCTTGAGGATCGACCACAAGTTCTCAATGGGATTAAGGTCTGGGGAGTTTCCTGGCCATGGACCCAAAATGTTGATGTTTTGTTCCCCAAGCTACTTAGTTATCACTTTTGCCTTATGGCAAGGTGCTCCATCATGCTGGAAAAGGCATTGGTCATCACCAAACTGTTCTTGGATGGTTGGGAGAAGTTGCTCTCGGAGGATGTGTTGGTACCATTCTTTATTCATGGCTGTGTTCTTAGGCAAAATTGTGAGTGAGCCCACTCCCTTGGCTGAGAAGCAAACCCACACATGAATGGTCTCAGGATGCTTTACTGTTGGCATGACACAGGACTGATGGTAGTGCTCACCTTGTCTTCTCCGGACAAGGTGTTTTCCGGATGCCCCAAACAATCGGAAAGAGGATTCATCTGAGAAAATTACTTTACCCCAGTCCTCAGCAGTCCAATCCCTGTACCTTTTGCAGAATATCAGTCTGTCCCTGATGTTTTTCCTGGAGAGAAGTGTCTTCCTCCAAAAGCCTTTGCCTCACTGTGCATGCAGATGCACTCACACCTGCCTTCTGCCATTCCTGAGCAAGCTCTGCACTGGTGGTGCCCTGATCCCGCAGCTGAATCAACTTTAAGAGACGGTCCTAGCGCTTGCTGGACTTTCTTGGGCGCCCTGACGCCTTCTTCACAACAATTGAACCTCTCTCCTTGAAGTTCTTGATGATCCGATAAATGATTGATTTCGGTGCAATCTTACTAGCAGCAATATCCTTGCCTGCGAAGCCCTTTTTGTGCAAAGCAATGATGACGGCACGTGTTTCCTTGCAGGTAACCATGGTTAACAGAGGAAGAACAATGATTTCAAGCACCACCCTCCTTTTAAAGCTTCCAGTCTGTTATTCTAACTCAATCAGCATGACAGAGTGATCTCCAGCCTTGTCCTCGTCAACACTCTCACCTGTGTTAACGAGAGAATCACTGACATGATGTCAGCTGGTCCTTTTGTGGCAGGGCTGAAATGCAGTGGAAATGTTTTTTGGGGATTAAGTTAATTTTCATTGCAAAGAGGGACTTTGCAATTAATTGCAATTCATCTGATCACTCTTCATGACATTCTGGAGTATATGCAAATTGCCATCATCAAAACTGAGGCAGCAGACTTTGTGAAAATTACTATTTGTGTCATTCTCAAAACTTTTGACCACGACTGTAGGAGTGAATAGGGATAAGAAGAGCATGGATGTGCTACCTAACATTTCTATCATAACCATGTGGTCATCATTTTTTTCTCTCTATCTAATCGATTTTGACTGGTTATGTGTGTCCAGCTGTCTGCCTTGTAACATATGGGTCGTCAACAGAGACAAGCAGGCCACACCAACCGAGACAAGCAGGCCACACCAACTGCTGGCAACTGTGTCACCCTCTTGGCAGTGACCTGCTGGGGCAAGCACAAGCTGAGAGAGCCGTGAGAGTGGGCATCAACACATCACTCAGGACCATAAGGACAGGTGTGTGTGTCCGTGGCTGTGACCTATGTCTACTGTGTGACAGAAGTGTTGACATTTATTATCCTAAGATGGTCTTGAAGGGTACAGTATGGAGATTAGTTCAGGTTGGCAGAGGGCCTTGGTTCTTCAAGGTACCACAGAGTTCTTAGCCAGCAGAAATCTGTACGTAGCATGCTGTGTCCGGAGTGCCAAAGTCAGTGTACCCCAGCCAAGAGCCGTGCCTACCAGGAGGGGTGCTAGACCCGATCGGTGCCAACCACGCCAACCTGGTGTTGAGAAACTGGCAAAGTTGTGGGGAGATTGGCACCTGGAGAGATCTGACAGCAGTCTTTTTCCAACGAGACTGGCAGTGCCATCCCAGAGACAGTTAGGCCTTTGACATCTTCCAGATACGCTGTGCGCATCTGTGAGAGCAGAGGAGAGTCACAGGGGGAAATGATCGCAGAGAAATGTAACTATTATGAATACTTTGCGAAGGTTACGATGGGATGCAAAATACTAGATCAAGTTGAAATTATACGTTTTTAAACACTGATCATTTGGGAGCTTTTACATTATCACAACAATTTCAATGCAAATCCAACCTCCACCTCCTTCTGTCTGTTTTCCAGCTGACTCTTCACAGCCCCGCACGCATGATGAGCCCCCCTGCCACAGCTTACCCTCCCAGCGGGCACCAGCCTGCCCAGCAGCCCCAGACACTGGTACGCTGCCAGGCCCTGCCAGGCCCACAGGGGCACACACTGACAACCATAGAGAAACAGAGACAGAGGGAGGACAGTTGATCAGACATTTGGGACACATCTCCCACCACGGGCCAGCTGCCAGCTGCATGCAACCAGTATGGAGCAGGCTGCTTGCCACATTGGAACATGATTATCTTTAATTTGGTCTGCTTTTGTGTGGAGTACAATGGCCACCATAAAGGGGGCTGAGCCACCTGTAGAGTTAGTGAAATGGTCACGCTTGGAGCATTTGGGCTGGACAGGAGGAGTGACATGATGGTTGTGTTCTGAAGTGCTCACCTTGTGTTCGTTTGTTTGCTTTTTCAAGTCACAGACAAGAGTTAAATAAGTGTTTACAGTTTTGAGTTTTCAATATGCATGTGTATGCTTATGATGTTTCTTTGTTTGTATGTGTTATGTAGTGTGACAGGTCATCCCAGCAAGGCTACTCCAGAGGACCTGTTCTACCTCCTGTCATGCAGGGTTGTCCATAACAACCAACCAGGTTTTAATTTGTCCGTCCGTCCGTCTGTCCGTCTGTTCTCTCTTTCTCTTTCTCTCTTTTCCACTCTCTAGCTTTCTCTCTGTCTCCTCTCCATGAATGTTGTTTTCATTTTTTTCCCTCACCTCTTGCTCCTTTTAATTAAGTTAAATATTTACAATGTTGAAAGTAAAGCAACAAAATGCTTGGAAGGTGCTGCCTCACTGAAAGGTTGACGACCCCCAGTGGAAAAATGTGCCATGAAAGGTCATGATACCGTAGCAGTGGGAGCTGTCAGAAAAAGTAACGTAAACAACAACAACAACTCGCCTGGCTCAGTGTGTTGTCTGTCTGTTTGTTGTCAATATGTTGCCAGACGTGGTGTTGGAGTGCCTGGGGAGCCAGTGGGAGCTGCACTGCCCTCATCTCACCAAGTCAGGCACCCTGAGTGACCTCTACATGTCAGCCAGGCAGAAGAGGGCAAGGAGCCTTCAGGACAGTGCAGGTGCACTGCTTAAATGTGTCACCCCATCTGCCAGAGTTTATCTGAGTACAGTATCTCTGCATCTCTTACTGACTTTGCCACAAAATTCAGTTGAGTAAATCATGACAAACTAAATTTAAACATTTGGTCACAGCTGACACAAATTACTCCCATGAATGTGAACCTCTTCCGCACGTGTGCAAAACCTCTTTGCACAATTGTTCAATCAGCAATCAGTCCTTATTCATGCATAAAAGAGGTCACCTCTGAGATTGCTGTTTGCAAGAATGGACCAAGTAAGAGGCATAGGACAAGGACAAAGGAGAGGGAGAGGGGCCCATAGAGGAAGATAGTTCAGCTCTCAGTTAAAATGGAAAAATATCAAATAAAGCCTTTTTGTTTATGGATATGCATGCTCTTGAGTGACATTCTTTCTGCTTTGGTCATCTTTGGTAAAATCATTTTAGGTAAAAAGAATACAGCCGTGATAATATGTTTACTTGCCTTTTATAGTGCATACTATAATTATGCTATCAACAAATGGCACAGACATTGTTAGGGTATATTGATAGTTGTAGTTAGTATTTATTGGGCCATTGTGTAACGATTGATTGAAATAACTCTTCATTAGATAACAAGTTGTATATTTTGATGGACGTAGTTGATTTTGTGTCATGTATTTAATGGTTTGAGAGTCTTCATGCATTTTGCAGTTTGGGGCTGCGTGTTAATTGTTTAGAAAAAGTTTAGAATTCTGTTTGGACAAATGTGCTCAAGCAATCGAGAAAAACTGTATCTGTGCTGAGTGTTGGAGATAACAGTATTAGAGCCCTAATGTCTCTGCATCCTATCATTGGTCCTATCTGGTGTGGGAGACAGACAGGGCCCTAGTCACATAAGTTATTGCCAAATGTTTGTCCTCTGATAACATTTTGAGGAAATGTGTTTTATAGTGACAATCCGGAATTCATTTTCTAGGAGGACAGACAACTGGTTTTCGTCAGTCCCTTCTGCAAGGACAGATGTGATTAGGTTTCTGGCCTTGTTCTCCCCCAGCATATTGGTTTCATTTGTCATTCAGTAAACCAAACTAAGAAGTTGGTCCTTTAAGTGTTGTCTTGTAAAAAATATATATTTTTTTTTTTACTGCCTTATCATTGCAATATTTGTATCTTAGGTGTATCTTTAAGTGTATGTGTTTGTGTGCATTTGTGTGAATATCCATGTCATCTGATTACTTCTGCCATAGTTGTAGCATGTGTTTGTTCTTGCATGGACCAGAAAGTCGTAAGAGTGGGAGAGACAAGTCACACAGCCGACCAGGCAGCAGCAACTCCAGCAGGGACAAACAGAATGGGAAGAAACCCACAGGCCCCCTGGTCCTCCACCTCTCTGTGAAAGATGCTGCCATCACCAAAGAGGGTAGCTACAAGAATCATACACCCATAACATACATTTTTCATTGGGGACATTAAAGTAAATCCTGACTCCCATTGACAAACCGTATATATTTGGTTCAATTACAGTTCATGTACCCATATCGCTCATACAGTATACTGATGGCTGATTAATGAAATGAATGGTCAGACTGTTAAGCTTGTGTTTTCCCCTAGCCCTCTCCTTTGCCCTCGGGAGAGGGGGTGCTCTCTGCCACCGCCCTGCTGGGCCTGCCACACCTCTTCCAGAGATGAGCCGGACTACCACAACACACTAATGGTCTGGGGAACCCATAGGAGTGTATATTTGTAGCACTAACACACCTGATTCAACTAATCAAGTGCGTGATGAGTAGTTGAATCTGACAAGCTAGTACTGGGTAAGAACAAATATGTGCACCCCTGTGGGTCACCAAGTTCCATGTTTGAACTTTACCATACTAGACTGTACAGTCTCTGTACTGTAAAACAATGCTGTGGCTGCAAACACAGCCAAAACCGATTAATCCTACTTTCAACAAAAACAAGGTCAAGGAGGTACAGGGATGAACTTTTCCCTGCTTGTATAAAGTGATGTCAGATTGGATAACTGATTTCGTAACTTATCATACTATGGTGCCTCCAGAATACACCCCATCTCTGTAAGGGTTGGTGTGAGGTGTGACCCAGGTGCGGTGCAGGTTAGACAGTAGGCAGTAGGCAGAGATGGTGAAACAAGGAACTTTACTGATTGTCCCGAAGCCAGGACACAAAATAACGGACTTTACACGAGAAAGAAAGGCGGAGCAAATAAGACTCCAAAAAACAGGCAGACAGCCAAAAATACAAAATACTAACTATGACTGAAATAATAAATAAACAGGGAGAACACTTCTCACGTACCTGTCCACACGTCCCGTGATCAGACACTGATTAGTACTGCTTGGCATAGTGAAACAAGCAGAGAAAACTGAGCAAGGGAACACAGTGAAGTGAGGGCATAAATACACAGGTGAATCAGATAGACACAGGTGACACCAATAGGAAGATGATTAGTCCCGACTGTGAGTGAGGAGGTGCCTAAGGTTTGTTGGAGGATGACACCTAGTGGGTTTCTCCGAAACTGCGACCCCCTCCTGTAACAGTGCCCCCCCCCCCTCCTTGACGAACGGCCCCAGGGGACAGGTGGCGACGGGCTTGAGGAGGGACACATGGAATGTGGGATGCACCTGCATGGTGGGGGGAAGTTGGGGCGGTAGGCCACTGGGTTGACTCGCCAGACCACTCTGAATGGCCCGACGAACCGGGGGGACAGCTTCCTGGACTCCGCGTGGAGAGCCGCACCCTCTGGTTGACCTGATGTTGAGACCTGACGAGGCTCGCTTAAGTGCCGCCCGTACCTGCCTCCATGTGCGGCGACAGCGACTGATGTGGGGCTGGACCGACGGGACCGCAGCCTCCTCCTCTTGCTCGGGGAATAGGGGGGGTTGGTACCCGTATTGGCTCTGGAAGGGGGACAGGCTGGTGGACGAGCAGAGAAGGGTGTTGTGGGAATACTCCGCCCACGCCAGTCGCTGACTCCACGTAGCTGGGTTGCTGGAGGCATAGCACCTCAGCACCCCCTCCAGATCCTGGTTGACGAGCTCCGTCTGCCCGTTCGACTGGGGATGGAAGCCAGAAGACAAGCTGACGGAGGCACCGAGGCAGGTGGCAAACGCCTTCCAGAACTGAGGGCCCCGATCCGACACCACATCTTGGGGAAGGCCATGGACCCGGAAAACGTGCTGCACCACCAACTTAGCCGTCTCCCGGGCCGACGGGAGTTTGGGAAGGAGAATGAAGTGGGCAGCCTTCGAGAACTGGTCCACAACGACCAGGATGACTGTGTATCCATCAGAGGGGGTAGGGAGGAAATGAAATCCAGCGAGATGTGGGACCAGGGGTGCTTGGGGATAGGCAGGGGTCGGAGCAGCCCTGCCGTGGGCTGATATGAGCTCTTCGTGCGCGCGCACACCGGGCAAGCTGCCACGAAGGCGCGCGTACCCCCCTCTGCAGATGGCCACCAGAACAGAACCTCCTACGCAGGAACTCCAATGTCCTGGTGCCCCCCGGATGGGGGGTGAGGTCGGACGCGTGTGCCCACTGAAGCAGTCACGAGAGTGCAGCCTTGGGTACGAACATCCTCCCCGATGGACCTCCGCCCAGATCGGGCTCCCGCCGTAGCGCTGCTCTGACCAGCCTATCGATTCCCCACGAAACTGGGGCAGCAATCAGGGCATTGAGGACAATGGGGTCGTCCCTCTCCACCAGGTCCAATGGGTCGAACTGCCGGGAGAGCGCGTCAGGCTTAGTGTTCTTCGACCCCGGATGATATGAAATGGTGAACCAGAACCTGGTGAAGAACAACGCCCACCTAGCCTGGCGCAAGTTGAGCGTCTTGGCCCCCTGAATGTAGGCTAAGTTCTTGTGGTCAGTCCATACGACAAATGGATGGGCGGCCCCCTCTAGTCAATGTCTCCACTCCCCTAGGGCGAGCTTGACCGCTAGCAGCTCACGGTTCCCCACATCGTAATTCCGCTCCACCGGGGACAGCCGACGGGAGAAAAATGTGCAGGGGTGAGTCTTACCATCCGTGAGGAACCGCTGGGACAACATTACTCCCACCACAACGTCTGAAGCATCCACCTCCACAATGAACGGCAGGGACGGATCAGGATGCCCGAGGACCGGGGCCGATGTAAAGCGCCACTTCAGCACATCAAATGCGTTCCCCGCTTCCGGGGTCCATGCAAAGGAGCGTACACTCGTCTGGTTGAGGGGTGTCAGGGGAGCGGCTAGGGAGCTAAAATTGCAAATGAATCGCCTATAAAAAGTAGCGAACCCTAAAAACCATTGTAGTTGCTTGAGGGATGAGGGCTGGGGCCAGTCCAGTACTGTGCTGACCTTGGCTGGGTCCATCCGTAGGTCCCCCTGGGTGACGATGAACCCCAGGAAGGAGACTGTCTCAGTGTGGAACACACACTTCTCCGCCTTGACATAGAGCTGGTGACGGAAAAGGCGTTGGAGGACCTGCCGAACGTGCTGCTGGTGTTCACTCATGTCCTTCGAAAATATGAGGATATCATCCAAAAACACGAAGACGCTGTAGTTGAGGAGGTCCCGGAGCACGACATTGACCAACGCCTGGAACACCGCAGGCGCGTTGGCTAGACCAAACGGCACGACTTGGTACTCGTAATGCCCACTGGGTGTGTTGAACGTTGTCTTCCACTCGTCCCCCTCCCGAATTCTCACCAGGTTGTAAGCATTACGTAAGTCCAGCTTGGTGAAGACGCGGGCTCCCTGTAATGACTCGAATCGTCATCAGGGGGAGTGGGTAGCGGTTCTTAACCGTGATGTAGTTGAGCGCCCGTTAATCAATGCACGGCCGCTGCCCACCGTCCTTTTTCCCCACGAAGAAGAAGCCTGCGCCCGCGGGTGATGTAGAGGGACGGATGTGACCCTCGACGAGTGCCTCGTCGATATACTCCCTCATGGCCAGCGTCTACGGCCGGGACAAGGAAAACAATCGCCCTCGTGTGGGCATGGCGCCCAGCAGGAGATCGATAGCGCAGTCGTATGGCCTATGAGGAGGTAGGCCCTTGGCACGCCTCTTACTAAACACCTCCCCGCACTCTGAACCACCTCCCAATACTCCAGAGGAATGCCTGCCAGGTCTGGGCCGGTGACGGAGTCTGTAGCTGCCGTCCTCCCGGTGGCAACCGCCGCTAGGGCGGTAGGCGGTTCGGAGTGCGGGACCTGGGGAAGAGGTGAGGACTGGTAGGTGGTCTGGGACGGTGATTTGGGCTGATGAGTGATCGGTGGAAACCGGAACAGGACGGGGGCGGCACCTCCCTCCAGGATGAGCCGCCTCCCTCCAGGATGAGCCGCCCCATGGACCAATCTATCCGGGGTTTGTGGGCGACCAGCCAGGGGTGAACACTCCGGAGAGTCCACAATGAAAAACTGGATATCCTCCCATAGCCCCCCGCCACCCGGACACATACGGGAACAGTGCGCCGGGTGATAAAGCCCGACCCCAACGGCCGGTCGTCCAGACCTATGACCGGAACCGGCTCGGAGAGGGAGCATAACGGAACGCTCCACCCTTGGGCCAGCCCCGCGTCCATCAGGTTTCCCGCGGGCCCACTGAACCCTGTCGGGGAGAAAAGTCTGGGATTCTCTGGAGTTGGGGTTTCGGTTCAGGCTCACTAGCACCCGTTCCGATACTAGCGAGCCCTCCTGTTTCCCAGCTTCTCCGGGCATGATTCGCAGGGGTGACCTGTCTGGCCGCAGTACAGGCAACGCACCCAGCTGCATAGCCTCCTCCTGAGGCGTCTCCTCCCTGAATCGTTGGAAAGCCTCCGGGCTGATAGGGGGACACGGAGGCGCGCCTTGCGTCATGCCTCTCTCGTGCGCCCTCTCACGACGCCGATTGTCTATCCACACCGAGAGGTTGCTCAGGCAGCTCCCTGAAGGAGAGTTCGTCCTTCATCCCCTCCGATAGCCCCTGAGCGTAAAGGACGACCGGGGTGTCCTCCTCCCACCCGAGAGGTGTCGAACACCTTGCGTAGCTCCCGGGTGAATAGGTAGGAATCGGAGCATGCCGGAGTTTGGCTCTCGGAATCAGATAGACACAGGTGACACCAATAGGAAGATGATTAGTCCCGACTGTGAGTGAGGAGGTGTCTAAGGTTTGTCAGAGGATGACACCTAGTGGGTCGCTCCGGAACTGCGACCCCCTCCTGTAACACATCTCTTGTGGGACCGACCTCAGTTGGCCCGATTGAAGTGGTTGATTCATGTCCATGAGACTGGGTGGGGATGGGTTTGAATGAGATGAATCCATGTCAACCTTGGCCATATTTCCTCAGCTTGTCCTGGAATGTACTGTAAGATATTTTAAGCTGAAATCAGAAACGGCATTCAAGAGTCCCACCCAGTCAGTGGTGTAGTGGAGGGTATACGTCTTACACCCACTTATTTTTAGTTAGCATTGCATATACACACTATTTAAATCCCTACGATGCGTATCAAAGTAGTGTAGTGGAGGTACAGTATACGCCGTATCAGTTATTAAGGCTGATGGAATATTTAGCCTCAAATGTTGATGAACTATTTCTAAACATTTCAGGCTCAGCAATGTGCACGCGTATGCGCAAATGTTCCTAAATGCAATTTGCGGGAAAACCCCTTTCTTAGATGCGCACTGCACATGCGAGTGGTTTCATGTACAGAGATAGCAATGTCCGTTAGAAATTCAGAAAGAGGTGAGATTAAAGATGCAACAACTATCATGGGTTGCTAAAATGAATAGGACAATGCCTTTCACAGCTAGACAATGAGAGAAAGAAAACCAATAGAACAGGAGAAAGTATATGAGGAAGTCTTTATAAAATAATTGCCTCCACGTTTCTATGGTGGGATTTTGGCTATAGGCTCCTTTGAAGCAAGGTAAGGCATGCCTCATAATATTATGCAGATTTTAGCATGTAAATCTCGGTGGGGCAAACTCCCAATTTTTAGGGGGATGCATGCCATCAAAGCCACTACACAACACAACATTAAACAATATATTCATTGCACTATAATGGTGACAAAGGGTTCCCACAAACTGCCTACATAAAGCTATCCCAACAGCAGAGCTTTCTTTTCAGCACCATGGAGTGAATCCTTACCACTGCCACACCTGGCTATCAGCGGAGCCTTGTCTGGCAGCGAAACAGTTCATTCAGCCTCATTTACTGCCTTTAAAAAAAAACATAGCTGATATGGCTGACTTGCTTAAACAAATGTGGTTTCTACTGTACAAACTATGGCATAAGGGAACGATGAGTGGATAAGAGGCAATCCGTCATTTCGATTAAGACATTGATGAGCGAGCTAAGACGGATGTAGTCAATATAACTATTTGTTCAGCACTTTTGAAATGTACAGCGACAGAATTCAGAACATGGGCCGTTCTTACAGTATTCTCCCTGTACACCAAGTCAGAACCGTAGGATAAATAAAGGGGGCATATAAGCAGACAATGAAAGCTCTTACAATATTCAATGATTACATTTCCCCAAAACAGGCTATAGGCTACATGTGCACCACCAAGTCAGAACAGTAGGATAAATTATGAGGGGGAAAGGGACCAAATTATTAGGGTGAGGCACATGGGCTACAAACAGCTTACTACACAACATACACTTAGTATTACTTTCTTAGCTACAGTATACATATCTCCCTGGCATATTACATAATTTATGCAGCAGCATACAATACATTTTTGGACACCTTGTTGTGCTGTGCTCATTTGAACAGGAAGGTGACGTGGCGGTCCATGTGGGCAAATTTTGTCATCAAACTTTGTCATCAAATTCTGGCATTCTCTGGATTTATGCTGCTTTCAAGACAACTGGGAACTCTGAAAAAAACAAGGTTCAATCATGACATCAGTGATCTTCAAGGTCGGAGCTCTAGAAAGAGGCCCGAGTTCCCGACTTGGATTCCAAGTTGTGTGACTGTTCAAAAGGTATTTTCCCAATCGGAGCTAGTTTCTTTTTTGAGTTCCCAGCTGTCTTGAACTCACTGAAGTCTGAGATTTCCCAGTTCCGAGTTTCTAGTTGTTTTGAACGCGGCAGAAGTCATACTGGATTGACAGCATGAATGTTCATCCTTTTAAGCTTGGAAAAGAACACCTTAAACCCAGACTTGGGCCACACACCCACTCTACTGAATACCAGGCTAGTGATTGCTTTGCAATGCCTGCAGAGCGCCATTGATTCCTTCCAAACCAATCAATGTTGAATTTGCGATTTCCAACTTGTTGTGTAATGTTTATGTTCAATGGCCGATGAGCACCGATTCATTTTATCTATCATTTATCTTCATATGACAAGGATCGAAAAGGATTTGCCAGTAGATTGTCGACGTGATTCATGATGATGACTGCTTGCTAAGATTTTGAAAGGATGATGTTGACATGATTAGTCCATTAAAAGCTACGGTAGATATAACGTGATTTGACTTCATTTTATCTGTGGCCAATGACCTTGAGCCTTCTTGGATGGGCACTTCTAATTTAACTCTATGGCAGCACCCAAGGAGCTTGAATTTTTGAGCTCTCCCCATAGATTTTGCGGGTACGTAGTGTCTCCATGAGTGACAGAGCACTGAGCCAATCACGGCTCAACTAGAGAACATTACCAACCCCTACTCTCCGTATTTTCCGCTGGCTGCCCCACAACCACAGAAAGCAATGAGCTAGGCTGAAACACCTGCATTTTGGAGCTGCCTTAGTCAAGTAAGCAAAAAAGAGACCATGTTTGTATGCAGCTTTATTAACTCAAAGATTTTTACATTGTTTGCAAACTGATATGTGACACGTGTTAATGCCAAAATAACATGCAAAACAGGCAACAACATTTTTTTTTTTTTGCTACAGGTGGGGCTCAAAACTGAATGACTGGTCGCCACTATAATATTAAGTAAAACACCCAGGTTTCAAACAATTAAGGAACAGGACAAATATAGAGATGCTAATGATAGGCCTAACTGTACTCTGGTAGATAGAAAGGCTTTTCCAAAACCCTTCTCAATTAAATCTTAACTAGCTACAAAGTAGCCTATGCCTACCAGGCAGAATGATATCATGATTATTTGCATCAATCCAGTGACCATATGTTTTGCAAACTCTACCTCATGTGCTACAGAAACACCTCTAACCAAACAACAGTGCTTGGTGCATGAGCGCTTGAATTAAAGGGTAACTACACTAAAAAATATATATATTAGATTTTTGACAGAACTTAAAAGTGATCTCCTGATGTGGTTTAAGCATTGTTATGGACTTACAACATCCAATTTTGTTTTTTTATTAACAAAGTGTGACTTTGAAAACAAAAACCAGAAAAATCTGAAACCTGTGAATTTTTGAGTCAGTTGACAGCCTCGTTTATCTGTTTCAATAGTAGGCCTATTATTAGTCTACTTGCACAGTACAGCTTGGGTTGTCCTGACTGTGAAAGACCAATATGGGATGTATAATTTTAGGTCATTCAGTGTGTCACTGTTTCTCACAGAATTTGTCACACAGGGAGCCTCTCCTTCACCCGGCAGGCCGTTTGGGATTTCTTGGGCAAAATTATAGTATATCCACTTCTCCAGGCACCACTACACAACTGCACCCGGTCACTTAAGTCACCCTGGCCTGTATCGTAAATAAAGCAGACGTTTATTATGGTCTGTAACGGAGGTGACAGACAATACGTTTGTGATTGACAGGTGCCTAACGGAGATGATAAATAAGATCAGCTCCTCCACTGTGTGTGACTTTCGTCGGGTGTCCTGCAAGGTAAGCTGGGGTAAATAGCATCTGCTGTGTGTGTGGGTGGGTAAAAAAGTTACTGCTCAAAAATATACAGTAGGGGGAGCCAAATCTCCTCAAACACATATGCACTGCTTGAAAAGCAAAAAGGAAAGATTATAACCATAAATAGGTTCTAAGTGGCATAGCACCCATTTGTGGTCATCATTTTTGCTTTTCAATTACGATTCCCCTCCAAGAGCAATTGTGGTTGTTGTGGAATACCCGAAGAGCTCCTGCTACTTTTCTTCAACATATGCACTGCTGTCTGAATTGTGTTTCCATGCATGTTTGTCTATGTTGTTGTCTCTGTGACATTTTGTTTGTGTGCATGTTGATATATGTTTTTGTGCACATCTGTGTGTGTGTGTGTTTGCTTATTTTTCTATGTGGTTCAGTATAAGGAAACCAGTCTTCAGAGAGCATGTGAGCGATGGATGGAGCTTTACCTGGTGACTGAGTTGAGATGTTTCATCTACCTTAGAGACCTACAGCTCAGATCCTTCCCTACCATAGGTCCATTATTACCTTTTTCTCCAGGTACAGATCACATAGGGCTCAAGGTGGGAGTCTTCAGGCGTAAGTTTCATTTTGTGTCCATTCAAGTGGAGGGAATTCGTAGGCAACTGTCCATGGATAACATGTTCGTTCTGTTTGTTTGAACATTGATTCTGGTAGACATGTAACTACACTGCCCCACAAGCTTTTCTCTCACTCTCTCACGCTCACCCTCTCTCACTCCAGTTGACCGAGGGCTGGCATCTTCCTTCTTTTGCTCTTGTTAACTATGTGCATTAATTCATGTTCATAAGGCCTTTCATAGTGCAATGTGTTCATCATTACTATGTCGCAATGGTGTAAGGAGAAGGACTAAACTAAAGACAGACCTATTGGCCGCGGCCTCTGTACGTGACTACAACACTCTGGAGCCCGTGTCCGTCCTATCATGCAGCTGGAGACACATGTAATGTGTTGCTACAAGGGCCGCCGGACCAGTGGTCCATAGGCGAGCAGCCAGTTTTAATATCAGTTTGATATTAAAGAACCACACAACGTGACTCTAGCCTCCCAGTGTGATTCTGATAAACAGGCTCCTCTACTGTGAAAATCATGCACAGTAGACACCTTGGCATATGCCTAAGTGGGCAAGGTCCCAGGCAAATAACAAGTTCTCAGCCTCTGCTTAGATTCCTGGAATCATGGTGTGATTCATTCTGAAACTCTGCAGATTTTTATTGACTTGAGGTACTGAATATATTAGTCAACATTAAATGAATCTCAGACCAGTTGCACCAGCCATAGGTTATCATTGGTGGGCTATGATTATGTTTAGGTATTACATGGTAACTGTTAACTGCTTTCACGTAGTTACTTTTGAATTGTTTGGCATTCATCAGAGGTGGTGTTGTGTGTGTGTGTGTGTGCGTGCGTGAAAGGGTAAATGTGAGTGACATTATGGTGAGTGTTTGCTTGACGGTGAACCCTTACCTTTGACCCCTCCAGGAGCCCATCTAGAGGAGATGCAACAGATCCATGTCTTTCCTCAGTCCTGGCTGCTCCTCATCTTCTCCAATCACTACTACACTGTGCATTCATGTACAATGTAGACAGGCACGCCTAAGAGTTCAAGAGGATAATTGGGCAAACATATTGTTTTCCGATATGCTGCTGGACGTAGCCTACAATCCTCTTTCTCCCTCGTTCGATTTTATCCCAGCTCCACAGTGGAGGAGACATGCAAGTAACAGATTTCTCCCGACAAACATTACGCTTCGGCATAGTCATTAAGAGGGTAAGTCTAACTTACTGTAACTTACCTTGTTTGGTAAATTGGTGAAAGGTGAAAATGAATCTGTTTTGTAAGTCATTGGTGCTATTGATTTGGTGTCATCCTACAGGAGCCTCGGTACTGCACGCAAACCATTGAACTGTATGGCTTCTACTTCCTGCTGAAAGCAGCCAACATGAGAGAGCCAGACTCGCATGGCTTCTTACTGCAGGTCAGGGTGCATCAACACTGTGTCTGCATCTCAAATGGCATGTGATTCACTATGGGCCCTGGTCAAAAGTAGTGCACGATCAGTGATGATTTTAGCATGTAAATCTTGGTGGGGCAAACTCCCCAAATGTATTTTTGATGCGTGCCAGGAAAGCCACTACACAACACAACACTAAACAATTGCATTATAACGGTGACAAATGGCGCCCACAAACTGTTAGGGCCTACATAAAGCTGTCCCAACAGCAGAGCTTTCTTTTCAGCACCATAGAGTGAATCCTTACCACTGCCACACCTGGCTATCAGTGGAGCCTTGTCTGGCAGCAAAACAGTTAATTCAGCCTAATTTACTGCCTTTAAAAAAAAAACATAGCTGATATGGCTGACTTGCTTAAACAAATGTGGTTTCTACTGACAATTAAGATGTACAAACTATGGCATAAGGGAACGACGAGAGGATAAGAGGCAATCGGTCACTTCGATTAAGACATTAATGAGCGAGCTAAGACGGACGTAGTTAGTTTAACTATTTGTTCAGCACTTTTGAAATGTACAGCGGCAGAATTCAGAACATGGGCCGCTCTTACAGTATTCTCCCTGTACACCAAGTCAGAACTGTAGGATAAATAAAGGGGGCTGTTACGAACCCCGTGGCTTTGAACGTCTAGGATGATGGACATGAGACCCGTAACATAATTCATGTAAATTATAAGTGTGACATGGAACAGTGAGAAGGAAAAACTACACGACAACCATAAACTACCGTCAAACACAAATGGTTTATTTCTGAACACACGGTAACGGTTTGGGAAAAAAGGGCTGAGCAGGACCCAAGAAATGAAACAATAGTGTAAAACACCCCTAAACTGATCTTGCCTGCCTCAAGAACCGCTAGGCTACTGCTACCATACAAAAATACAGTGGGTGGTCCGCTCAGGTCTAACTAGTGTTTATAGACAGTTCTTTCTACAGGAAATGTATGCCCAAGGGCAGCTAGCTCAAACTCCCCTTTTCCCAGAAACACACAATAGTTGCCAAACAGAGTAACCAACAAATTAATGAGTACTCTAAACACAGGACATCACAGTATCCATTACTCACATACAAAACAGTGGTCTAACAAAATTACCAACCAGAGTAACCGGCAACTTAGTGAGTAAACAAAAACAGGACACCACAGTGTCCATACTCACATACGGAAATATTCTCTCTCTCTACAAACACAAGTGACTGGTTTTTATATAATGGGATGTGTGATTGAAAGAACGAGTAACAGGTGGTGCAATGCACAGGAATGTTCACTGATTGGTCCAATCAGCAGACACCTCAACGACCACCAATCAGGAACATACAGGACACCTGTGATTAGGGCAGAAGGAGTAGAAACACACAAAAACACAGGATACCTGTATCCGTAACACTCCCACCCTTAAAAGAGCAAACCACAATGGTTTGCGACACACGTACCATCACAACACCCAAAATTCAATAATCATCCTGTCGGGATAAAAAAAAAAACCTAGATCATTACACACGAGACAAAGCATCTGCCAACACATTATCCAACCCCTTTTTGTGGCGGATCTCCAAATTATAATTTTGCACGACAAGTGCCCAACGCATAAGGCAGGGGTGTCAAACTCATTCCATGGAGGGCCTAGTGTCTGCAGGTTTTTGGTTTTTCCTTTCAATTAAGCCCTAGACAACCAGGTGTGGGGAGTTCCTTACTAATTAGTGACCTTAATTCATCAATCAAGGACAAGGGAGGAGTGAAAACCCGCAGCCACTAGGCCCTCCGTGGAATGAGTTTGACACATGTGGCATAAGGCGTTGGTTCTGGTTGTACATCCGGTGGAGAAAACTAAGGGGTTATGGTCAGTATACACTATCACTGGTAATGCACTGGAACCAACATAAACTTCAAAGTACTGCAGAGCTAACAACAAAGCTAGAGCTTCTTGTTCAATGGTGGAATAGTTTGTCTGACATTTGTTAAATTTCCGTGAAAAATAACAGACAGGATGGTCCACTCCACTCTGGCCCTGCTGCAGTAGAACAGCACCAGCACCTCTGGCACTTGCATCTACCTCCAGTTTAAACGGTCGTTCAAAATCTGGCGCAGCAAGAACAGGAGTACTACATAAGAGTGCTTTAGCAGTGTTGAAAGCAGTACAACAATCTTCAGACCATACAAATTTTCTCGCCGGACTGAGCAAATCCGTTAATGGAGCAACTACCGCAGAGAAATTTTTACAGAAACTACGGTAGTAGCCAACCATCCCTAAAAAACGGCGTAGCTCTCTTCTGGTGGTAGGTGCGGGAAATGCGTTTATAGCGGAGACCTTGGCATCTACAGGGCGCACCTGACCATGGCCGACCTGTTTACCGAGATAAGTAACAGTGGCCTTCCCAAACTCGCACTTTGCTAAGTTCAGGGTTAGAGAAGCGGTTGCTAGACGTTCACACACTACCCTTAGAGTTTTAACATGATCAGACCACTCAGTTGAATAAATAACCAGATCATCAAGGTAAGCACTACAATTAGGAACTCCAGCCAATACTGTGTTAACCAGGCGTTGGAAAGTGGCTGGTGCGTTCCGCATACCAAATGCCATGACAGCATATTGTAGGAAGTGATCTGGGGTCACAAAGGCAGAAATGTCGGAGGCACGTGGGGTTAACGGCACCTGCCAGTAACCTTTTAGAAGATCTAGTTTGGTTACATAAGTAGCAGCACCAACAGTATCAATACAGTCATCCAGTCTGGGTAACGGGAACGAGTCGGGCACTGTGACAGCATTGACCTTCCGATAGTCCGTACATAATCTGGATGTCCCATCAGGTTTAGGAACCAGAATGCACGGAGAACTCCAAGGACTTGAACTTGGCATAGCCAGGTTATTCTCCAGCAAATAACCGACCTCACCCCTCATTATCTTTCTTTTAGAGACGTTGACACGATAAGCATGTTGCTTGATAGGTGCAGCGTTTCCAACGTTAATGTCATGTTCTAACACATTTGTGCATGTAGGAACATCATTAAAAAGACATGGAAAGCTGTGTAATAGTCTCACAATATCATCTGACTGTCTGTCCGTTAAATGAATCAGGCTTGACGGGAGAGACAGCAGCATCTCTGAATTGGGCAATCTAGCACACTGCTGCTGAGTATTGCGCAACTCCAAACCATCTCCGTCCACATCATTAACATGACCTCCCACTACAGCCGTAGCAGCAATAGAGACAGCCGACTCGGCCAGTTTCTCTGGACTGTCTACCTGAGTGACGGGCCTGGTGTGGTATGTCTTCAACATGTTAACGTGGCACACACGAGATTGGCGTTTTCTATCAGGAGTCTGTATCACGTAGTCAGTTTCACTTAGTTTCTTTTCAATGACATAAGGACCAGAGAAACGTGCTGACAATGACGCTCCTGGCACAGGTAACAATACAAGAACTTGGTCACCTGGCTGCAGTGAACGAGAAACAGCCTGTGTGTCATAGTGTCGTTTCATCCGTTTCTGTGAGGAAGACAGCGCTTCCTTTGCTAGAGCACAGGCAGCATGTAGGCGCTCACGAAAGCGACTAACGTAGTCCAACACATTTTCTTTCACACACAACTCTTGTGACAAAAACTGATCCTTAAGGACTTTCATAGGTCCTCTCATGGTGTGTCCAAACACCAGTTCAGCTGGGCTGAACCCTAGGGATTCCTGTACTGTCTCACGGACAGCAAACAAAACTAGAGGAACTCCCTCATCCCAATCTTTCTCAGATTCCAAGCAATATTTACGGAGCATAGACTTCAGGGTCTGATGCCAACGTTCAAGCGCACCCTGAGACTCTGGGTGATATGCGCTTGTCACACGGTGTGTAACTGACAAGGATTTTAACACTTGTTTGAAAAGTTTAGAAAGGAAATTCGTACCCTGATCAGTTTGTATCACCTTAGGTAATCCAAAAGTTGAGAAGAATTTGATCAACGCTTTACTCACCACTGGAGCCGTAATCCTTCGCAGAGGAATGGCCTCTGGGTACCTGGTGGTCACACACATAATTGTCAACATAAACTGGTTACCAGATTTTGTTTTTGGTAATGGTCCAACACAATCAACCATCACATGTTCGAAGGGTTCACCTATTGCCGGTATGGGACAAAGAGGCGCGGGGGAAATAACCTGGTTCGGTTTCCCAACTACTTGACAGGTGTGGCAAGTCCGACAGAACTGAGCCACATCTTGTTTTAAGCCAGGCCAAAAGAAATGTCGCAAAACTCGATCATAAGTCTTGGTGACTCCCAGATGTCCGGACCACTGGTGATCATGAGCGAGGGATAAAACATTTTGTCGAAAGGCTGTAGGAATCACTATTTGGTAAACAGCATTCCAATCTCCGCCAGCGTCAACATGGGATGTCCATTTACGCATGAGGAGATTACCATCAATGAAGTATGCCATGTTTTTCTTCTTTAGCTCCTCCTCTGAGACAACACTAGAAAAACATTTAGCTAGGCTAATGTCAACCTGTTGGTTAGCGATCAGCTGCTCACGAGTAACTGGTAACTGTATTGCCTCAGCAACAAGTTCCACATCCTTCTTCCTTTCTCTGGGCTGTTGGTCAGACTGCACCAGCTTACCAGAGGTAGAACCCGAACTATCCTCTGGGTCACACTCTCTGAATAGAATCGTGTTCGACAAATCTATCACTTCACCCACTTGTCGTGCTTGAGCACGTGTGACAGCACAAGCGGGGAACACATCTGGATAACCCTGTGCCAGCTCCTCGGAGAGAGACTGGTCACTTTTATCCAATACTTCCAATACGGGTATCACCTTTCCTCCGGCAATATCGTTGCCCATTATAAATGTCACACCTTTTACTGGCAACATAGGACGTACGCCAACTCTGAACAATCCACTGACTAACTCAGAGTGTACGTTCACAAAGTGCAATGGCACTGGGACAAATCCCATTTCAATTCCTTGTACTAACACACTGGAACCACAATATGTATTATTAGACAAGGGCAACACATCAGCTAGTATGAACGACTGCGCCGCACCAGTATCTCTGAGGATTCTAACTGGACGCTGAGACGCTTCGTCATCTGATATAGAAACAAACCCCTCAAAAATGAACGGTTCATAACTGTGATCTGGGACAGGGACTTTCAAACCACATTCACTATGAGGCCTCTGTCTTGATTCCGGCCTTACAACCGTACGAATCAGCCCAACACCCGTTGGCGGCCTGGCGTGCTGAGGCATCCCCTGTTTGCGTTTTAGCAGAAAGCAATCATTAACCATATGTCCCACCTTATGACAATAGAAACAGTGACGCACATATTTTGGGCGTGCTGGATGTACTGCTGGTCGACTAGGACTAAAAGTTAGCAACTCCGCAGCCCTGCTCTCCGTACGAGCCGAAAACACGCTCTTATGCGTCAACACAAACTCGTCTGCCAATACAGACGCTTCCGACAGTGAGGATACTTTCTGTTCGTTCAGATAAACTACACTGCGTTCGGGTAAGCAATTTTTAAACTCTTCTAACAAGATTAACTCCCGTAGAGAGTTAAAATCAGTTACTTTACTAGCACTGTGCCATTTGTCAAACAGATTTCCTTTGTCTCTAGCAAACTCCACATAAGTCTGAGTAGGAGACTTTTTATGAGACCTAAATCTCTGCCGATATGCCTCAGGAACAAGCTCATAGGCACGAAGAACAGTAGCTTTGACCACTTCATAATTCAAACTGTCTTCAAGAGGTAGCGCTGCCTGAAAAAACTCAGTATTCTGTGATTTACCCTCCTGCGCCTGACTCCTTCAAATCACCCATCACAGAATCACCCACCAACTATGGAGTCAGCGGGAGAGGAGCGCATGCCTGGAGTCGTGGCACGGGTCCAGGAGCATTCGACGATGCTAGCCAGCTTGGGAGAAGCGATGGATCGGGTTCTCCAGGTCGTCCAACGCCTGGAGAGGACCCGATCTGTCGAGACCAGCTGGGCGACCATTCCAGCCATCCACACCCCAGCACCCAGAGGGATCCATATATCCCGACCAAGGGATTTCGACGGGACAGCTGCTCTCTGCCAAGGATTCCTCCTCCAACTGGAGTTCTGTTATTCCAGCATCAGCCCGGCCCCATTGGAGCGGGAGAAGGTGTCCGCACTCGTCTCCTGCCTCTCTGGGAAAGCCCTGGAGTTGGCCAATGCGGTCTGGAATGAAGGAGAAGCCGCGTTGGACAACTACGGGGAGTTCGCTCGCCTCTTTTGGGCTGTCTTCGATCACCCACCCGAGGGTCGAGAGGCAGGCGAGCGGCTGGTCCACCTGAAGCAGGGGACGAGGACCACTCAGGACTTCGCCCTGGAGTTACGGACTCTAGCAGCTGGGTCCGGGTGAAACGAGCGGGCCCTCATCGACCACTTCCGGTGCCATCTGTGGGAGGACGTCCGAAGGGAGCTAGCCTACCGGGATACCATGTTGTCCTTCACTCAACTGGTGGACATCCGCTTGGACAACATGCTGGCGGCCAGAGGACGTCCTGGAGGGGGTCTACCCGTTCCAACCCCGCCCGACTCAGATCACGAGCTGATGGAGCTGGGTGGAGCAGCGATCCAAGAGAGCGGATGACGACAGCACCAGTGTCACTCTGGTGGCACGAGAGGACATTTCACCTCACGATGTCGTCAGCGTTCTTTTGGGTCTGGAGGCAGCAGGCAGGGCACTCTCACATCACCCCAGGTATTGAACACTCACACTCGTTCAGAGCCCTCTGCTGTGCACTGTACCCTACCCATCCACTTTCCTGATCACATTGTAGTTCCCCAGTGTAAGGTGCTAGTCGATTCAGGCGCAGCTGGGAACTTTATGGACAGGTCATTCTCACACAGTCTAGGCCAGGGGTGTCAAACTCATTTTAGCTCAGGGGCCACATGGAGGAAAATCTATTCCCAAGTGGGCTGGACCGGAAAAATCATGGTATATATAACTTAAAAACAACAACTTCAGATTGTTTTCTTTGTTTTAATACGATCAACATACAACATAAAGCTGGAGCCTGAGGACAGTGTGTCCAAAATAGTACAAGCACAACATCACTATTAATCATAAAACACGTCAAGTTTATTTGAAAATTCTAAAGAAAAAGAACACACAAACACACAATGCCTCAGTGATTAACAGAACTGTTTCACAGATCACAGAACTATATCAGGTTGTCATTTCTCAGGCAGAAATGTAGATAAAAATAATGAAATCCTGTTCCCCAAACAAGTGCAAGAACCACAGAGTCAAGAATAGGTTAAATATACAAATAAAATAAAATCAATTAACAATAGCACATCAACATAAAAACATATAAACATAAAGCTGGAGCCTGAGGACAGTGTCCAAAAGCACAACATCACTATTAATCATAAAACACCTCAAGTTATTTGAAAGTTCTGAGGACAAAGAACACACAAACACACAATGCCTCAGTGATTAACAGAACTGTTTCACAGATCACAGAACTATATCAGGGTGTCATTTCTCAGGCAGAAATGTAGATAAGAATAATGAAATCCTGTTCCCCAAACAAGTGCAAGAACCACAGAGTCAAGAATAGGTTAAATATACAAATAAAATAAAATCAATTAAAAACAATAGCACATCAACATAAAAACATATAAACATAAAGCTGGAGCCTGAGGACAGTGTCCAAAAGTACAACATCACTATTAATCATAAAACACCTCAAGTTATTTGAAAGTTCTGAGGACAAAGAACACACAAACACACAATGCCTCAGTGATTCACAGAAGTATATCACAGATCACAGAACTATATCAGGGTGTCATTTCTCAGGCAGAAATGTAGATAAAAATAATGAAATCCTGTTCCCCAAACAAGTGCAAGAACCACAGAGTCAAGAATAGGTTAAATATACAAATAAAATAAAATCAATTAAAAACAATAGCACATCAACATAAAAACATATAAACATAAATCTGAAAGCGTTGCTCAAACTCCCGTAACAGTCCCGTTATTTTATCTTTGAACCGCTTCATGTCTGCCACATGTTGGGTTGCGCACACATTTTTCAGACAGGGGAAGTGAGCTGCATCACCACCGGCATGTTGCGTCTCCCACAATGACAGCTTCAACTTGAAAGAACGTATGCTGTCATAATACTGCGTGACAACTTTGTTGCGCCCTTGCAGCTGTTTGTTCAAGTTATTCAGGTGCTCTGTAACATCCACCATAAATTCAAGGTCCTGCATCCATTCTGCGGAATGAAATTCTAACACTGGTTTGCCCTTTTCTTCCATGAACTGTTCAATCTCTTCTCGTAAATCAAAGAAACGCCTCAGCACAGCACCTCGGCTTAACCATCTTACCTCAGTGTGGTATGGCAGGCCATAGATGTGGTCTTTCTCTCTGAGAAGGCTGTCAAACTGACGGTGATTCAGGCTTCTGGATCGGATGAAATTAACAGTTTGGATGACCACCTTCATGACGTTATCCATCTTTAATGACTTGCAACACAAAGCCTCCTGGTGCAAAATACAGTGAAAAGTCAAAAAATCACGTCCTCCATTTGCAGATTGCACTTTCTCTCTGAACTTTGTCACAACGCCTGCTTTTTTCCCGATCATTGAGGGCGCACCATCTGTAGCCAGGCTGACAGTGCGGGACCAGTCCACTCCGACCCTGTCCAGCGCGCCGACGAGTGCGGTAAAAATATCAGCTGCTGTCGTTGTATCTGTCATCGGCACCAACTCCACAAACTCCTCGGTGACGGTCAATGTGTCATCAACTCCGCGGATGAAAATGGCCAGTTGTGCAACATCTGTAATGTCCGTGCTTTCATCAATTGCAACCGAAAACGCAATAAATGACTTTACTTTTTGCTTCAACTGGCTGTCCAAATCCACTGAAAGATCGGAAATCCTGTCTGCAACTGTGTTTCTTGTCAGGCTGATATTTGCAAAAGCCTGCCGCTTTTCAGTGCACACAATCTCCGCTGCCTTCATCATGCATGTTTTTACAAATTCACCCTCACTAAAGGTTTTGAAGCCACTGCGATTTCATTAGCAATGAGGTAGCTAGCTTTCACTGCAGCGTCACTGATGTCTCGGCTGTGAGTAAACACAGACTGCTGTTTCTTCAGACCCGCCAACAGTTCATTCACCTTCTCTCATCTCCGCTGTCCTTGAAAGTTGTCATATCTGTCGGAATGAAGACTCACATAGTGGCGACGAAGGTTATATTCTTTCAGCACTGCAACATGCTCTGAACACACCAAACATACAGATTTCCCATTCAATTCCGTGAATAAATAGGATGACCAGTTTTCTTGGAACACTGCACTCTGCGTCCACTTTTCTCTTTTTTGACAGAGACATATTGGGGCAATGAGGGTGCCAAAACACATCATGTTAAAAGTAGAAGCCGTAATAAATATCGCGGGCAAAACAAAGTAGCTCATTGGCTGCACGTGCTTGACCTACATGCTCTGCCCCGGTATAAACAGTTTGCTTGCTTAACACAATTGCTAGTGCGCCATCCAGTGGACGCAATTGGAACAGCAGTTTATTTAATTGAAAAATTGCAGCGCATTTTTATACTTTACAATTTTATTTTATATATATATATATATATTTTTTTAAATCATCTCGCGGGCCGGATTAAACCCGTTTGCGGGCCTGATCCGGCCCGCGGGCCGGACGTTTGACACCCCTGGTCTAGGCATTTCATTGGTTCCCCTATCCATTCCACTCCCCATCAGAGCACTTGACAGTCGACCATTAGGGTCCAGGTTAGGTAGGGAGGTTACAGCACCAGTCACTATGGTTACCCATGAGACTCATCGCGAGCAAGTAACTTTTTTATTATTGAGTCTCCTGCTTTCCCTGTAGTATTAGGAATTCCTTGGTTAGCACTCCACAACCCCACCTTCTCATGGCCGCAGAGGGTTCTCACGGGGTGGTCGCGAGAGTGTCAGGGTAGGTGTCTCGGTGTTCCGTTGGTGCAACCACGGTGGAAAGTCCAGACAGTTCCTCCACTGTGTGCATTCCCCCCGAATACCTCGATTTGGCGCACGCGTTTTCCAAAACGCAGGCAACCAAGTTACCACCTCATCGGGCGGGGGATTGCGCGATAAACCTCCGGGTATATGCTGTGCCTCCCAGGAGTCATGTGTATCCCCTGTCACAGGCTGAACGGAGGCTATGGAGACATACGTCAAAGAGTCCCTGCGCCAGGGGTTTATATGTCCCTCCACTTCGCCCGCCTCCTCAAGTTTATTTTTTGTGAAGAAGAAAGACGGCGGTCTGCGCCCTTGCATTGATTATCGATCACTGAACAAGGAGACGATACGATTTAGTTATCCTCTCCCCCTCATTTCTTCGGTGATCGAGTCAATGCATGGGGCGCACTTGTTTACCAAATTAGATCTCCGGAGTGCGTACAATCTGGTGTGTGCCCGAGAGGGGGATGAGTGGAAGACAGCATTCAGCACAACCACAGGGCATTATGAATACCTGGTGATGCCTTACGGTTTGATGAATGCTCCATCCGTCTTCCAGTCCTTTGTGAACTAGGTGTTTTGGGACATGCTTGGTCGCAGTGTAGTGGTCTACATCGATGACATTCTGGTGTATTTCCGCTATGCGCGTCGAGCATGTGTCCCTGGTTCGCAAAGTGCTGGCCCGACTGTTGGAAAATGACCTTCATGCCAAGGCAGAAAAGTGTCTGTTTTTCCAACAGTCCGTCTCCTTCCTCAGATACCGCATTACCACCTCAGGTGTGGAGATGGAGGGTGATCGCATTTCAGCCATGCGTATTTTGCCAACTCCAACCACGGTAAAGGAGGTGCAGCGCTTTATTGGCTTTTCCAACTACTATCGGAGGTTTATCCGGGGCTTTGGCAAGGTCGCAGCTCCCATCACATCTCTGTTGAAGGTTGGGCCGTCCTGGCTCCGCTGGTCTGCTGAGGCTGACAGGGCCTTCAGTAACCTGAGGGGTCTGTTCACCTCAGCCCCGGTACTGGCCCACCCCAATCCATCACTACCGTTCATAGTGGAGGTGGATGCGTCCGAGGTAGGGATAGGCACTGTCCTATCTCAATGCTCGGGCACGCCACCCAAGCTCCGCCCCTGTGCCTTCTTCTCCAAGAAGCTCAGCCTGGCAGAGCAGAACTACGACGTTGGTGATCGGGAGCTGTTAGCTGTTGTCCGAGCCCTGACCGTGTGGAGGCACTGTCTCGAAGGGGCGAAACACCCTTTCCTCGTCTGGACGGACCACCGTAACCTGGAGTACATCCGGGCAGCGAGGAGGCTGAACCCTCGCAAGGCCAGGTGGGCCCTATTCTTCACCCGGTTTGATTTCACTCTATCATACATCCCGGGTACGAAGAACGTGAAGGCAGACATATTGTCACAGCTGAACGACACAGAGGAGAGGCCCAGAGACAACACCCCCATACTCACGGCCTCCTGCATTGTGGCGCCGATAGTATGGACGTGGATATAGAGCAGGCGTTACGCACAGAGCCATCTCCACCTCAGTGTCCAGCTGGGCTGCAGTACGTGCCTGCTCTTGTCCGTGACCAGCTGATCTACTGGGCACACACGTCCCCTTTCACTCTATCATACATCCCGGGTATGAAGAACGTGAAGGCAGACATATTGTCACAGCTGTATGACACAGAGGAGAGGCCCAGAGACAACACCCCCATACTCCCGGCCTCCTGCATTGTGGCGCCGATAGTATGGACGTGGATATAGAGCAGGCGTTACGCACAGAGCCATCTCCACCTCAGTGTCCAGCTGGGCTGCAGTACGTGCCTGCACTTGTCCGTGACCAGCTGATCTACTGGGCACACACGTCCCCCTCCTCTGGTCACCCATGTATCGGTCGAACAGTGCGCTGCCTGACTGGAAAGTACTGGTGGCTTACCTTGGCTAAGGACGTGAGGGTGTATGTCTCCTCCTGCTCAGTGTGCACCCAGAGTAAGGCACCTAGGCACCTCCCAGCGGGTAAGTTACAGCCATTACCAGTTCCACAACTAAGTATTGATTTCCTAACTGATCTTCCCCTCTCTCAAGGTAACATCACCATCCTGGTCGTTGTGGACCGCTTTTCCGAGGCCTGCCACCTCCTTCCTCTGCCCAGTCTCCCCACGGCCCTGCAGACTGTGGAGGCCCTGTTTACACACGTCTTCCGGCACTACTGGGTACCAGAGGACATAGTGTCTGACCGGGGTCCCCAGTTCACATCCAAGGCCTGGAAGGCATTCATGGAACGTCTGGGGGTCTCGGTCAGCCTGACCTCTGGTTTCCACCCCGAGTCTAATGGGCAGGTGGAGTGGGTAAATCAGGATGTGGGTAGGTTCCTATGGTCCTACTGCCAGGACCGGCCGGGGGAGTGGTTGGTGTTCTTGCCATGAGCCGAATATGCCCAGAACTCTCTCCGTCACTCCTCCACTAACCTAACGCCATTCCAATGTGTTTTAGGTTACCAACCGGTTCTGGCACCGTGGCACCAGAGCCAGATTGAGGCTCCTGTGGTGGATGACTGGTTTCGGTGCGCGGAGGAGACGTGGAACGCTGCTCACGTCTACCTCCAACGCGCTGTTCGTCGTCAGAAGGCCAATGCTGACCGCCACCGCAGTGAAGCCCCGGACTTCGTACCGGGTGATCAGGTCTGGCTCTCGACCCGGAATCTGCCCCTCCGCCTGCCCTGCTGGAAGCTGACCTCGCGGTTTGTGGGGCCGTTCAAAGTCCTGAGGAGGATGAACGAGGTTACTTATAGGTTATTACTTCCCCATGATTATCGTATTAACCCCTCATTTCATGTGTCTCTCCTCAGGCCGGTTGTGGCTGGTCCGCTCCAGGAGTCTGAGGTGTGGGAGGTCCCTCCGCCTCCTCTGGACATCGAGGGGGCCCCGGCGTACTCCGTCCGTTCCATCCTGGATTTGAGGTGTCGGGTGGGGGGCCATCAGTACCTCGTGGAGTGGGAGGGGTACGGTCTGGAGGAACGGTGCTGGGTCCCGGTGAGGGATATCCTCGATCCCTCCCTGTTGTGGGATTTCCACCGTCGCCATCCGGCTCGCCCTGCTCCGCGTCCTCCTGGCCTTCCCGAGGCCGGTGTCGGCGCGCTGCTGGGGCTGCGCGTCAAGGGGGTGGGTACTGTCATGACTTCCTCTGAAGCTGCCTCCTCTCCTTGTTCGGGCAGGCTTCGGCGTTTGTCATCACCGGCCTTCTAGCCACTGCCGCATCACATCTCATCATTCCATTTGTTTTGTCTTGTCTATTACACACACATGGTTCATATCCCCACATTAGTATGTGTATAAGTGTTCCCTCTGCCCCCTTGTCCTTGTGGGTGATTGTTTATTTTGAGGAGAGAGTAGTTCGGTTGAGCTACGTGTATTTTGTATTGCCGGGGTATATTTTCCCCATGTGCCTGTTTTGTTCCAGTGTGCCTGGACTGTTTGCGCACTGGACTGTTTTGACTCTATCATGCGTAACTCTGTATTCCAGAATAAACTCTGTATTCTGTGATTTACCCTCCTGTGCCTGACTCCTTCAAATCACCCATCACACTTCTATCTATAGCCATAAAAATGACACATCAAATAGCCTAACAATGAGGAAAAAAGTAGTCAGCTTGAGGATAAATTTTGCCACTATTGTTGAACTCAGCATGTTTTGTCTGGCTAATAGCCTACACAAATGGGCTCCAATCTCTAGTAAATTCAATCAAATTAAATTACATCCAATTTGAGAGACTCTCCCCATGTCTTCTGAAGTCCTGTTTTTGCTTCTCTCTCTGTGTCTGTTTTGCTCTTTCTTTCTTTTAGAAAAAAGTCTCTCTGTGCTTGTCTCTCTTTTCTTTTTACCTAGAGGCCTATAGTAGCTACAGTATGCGACTGCGTCGCCTTGCATTTTTGTGTGCAAATGTTTTCACCAAAGCCTGTAGGTCCAGGTTGCGGGCCTGACTGTTTTCTATACTGAGAAGAAACAAATACTTAACTTCCTAGTAAATATGGAAATTAAAAAGGTTATGATTGACTTTTTGGAGAGTTAATGTCAAAATTATTTATAAAATAAAATAGAGCTTGTGGGCCCCCCCACCTTGTGTGGGCTGCGGGGGTGTCCGGTATGCCAGTGATCTCTTAAGTCATTTCTTGTACATTATCTCATTTGTACTATAGATCAGTGGTGGGTAAATGCTTTTCAAACTAACTCCACTAGGTGTCACTAGGACAATCAGAACCGTAAATCCGGATATTTTCTCTCAAGTGCATGTGGCAAGGTTAAAAGCAATAACCAGCAGATAAATTACACCAAGTAAACACAGTGTTGAACGAGGAGTGAATGTCTGTGTACCTGTGTCCACTGCAGAGACTGAGACACTGGGACCATGCCATGTCTGTGCTGGAGTGTGAGAGGCACCCCTTCAGTATGATAACAGAGCGGGCCGTGTCCTATCAGATCAATGTGCAGGCCCGTGTGCACAGCCAGCGGCAGGACTTCAACAGTAGTCCCATCAACCAGGAGATTGGGCTGAGCAAGCGCACCTGCAAGAACCAGGTATGGAGGCATGAGAAGGGATGATGCAGGAAAAGGGAGGGTGGAGTCAGTGTCTGTGTGATTTCAGGACAGGAGATAGGGTCTAGTACTTTCAGGATATGAGCATTGCAATGTTGTGATTTAGTTGGATAAAAGTAAATTGATAATTTTGGGTAGCTTAAACAAATAAACTTCAAGAGGATTGACTCAGATACTAGCTAACAGGGCATTGTATTCCAATTTCTGTTGTATTTAGAGGGTTCTGGTAGCTGAGTACTGAACTGCTGTACATCTTCTTTCCTCTGTGTGCAGGTGTTCAAGGTGAAGGGCCTCAGCTTGCCCATCTTCGTGACCTTTGCCCTCACCTTCCCTGCAGTCTGATCCCCAGCCAGACAGTCTCCATGGTGCTCATTATCACACGTAAACATCACACTTCCTGTCTGATTTAAAGTATCCAGACATATCCAGGAGGACTTTTCTCAGTGGTGTAGCCTTGATAGAAAATAAGATGTGGCAAATCTGTTAGGCAAACAGCCTGTTTTAACCCAAGCCAAGCTCAACCAAGCTACGCCCATTGATTAAACCGGTTAAAAGAGCAGTCTTCCTCTGAGACAGGTCATGGTTTACTCTGTTGAAGTAAAAGGGCCACAATTACAGTAATTATACAAGGAGCAGATTCATGCACTTTCACATCACTTGGCAGTATGAGATTGTGTCCCAAATGGCACCCTATTCGCTATACAGTGCACTACTTTTGACCAGAACCCTATGGGCCCTGGTCAAAAGTAGTGCACTATAAAGGGAATAGGGTGCCACTTGGGATGCAGCCTGTGCCAGCTGTAATGTATCCTAACTACACAACCTGGTCTCAGAGCATTTCGTATTATTATGTATGTAGATCCGATGACATTCCATGTTACGTTTCATACACTGACCTCTACTGGACACCATACTTACAAATATAGTTAGGATTTTGTACAGGGTGTTTCCTGGTAGAGCAGGGGCCCGAACCACATGGAGCAACATTTATGAAGCCTCCAGACAACTGCTCACCACAAGGCCAAGAACTGCCTGTAAAGAGCTATCACCACAGAGAGGGTGTGCAACGCCCCTTGTGGTTCAGCCTGGTCTCATACACTAGACGTAACATAGTAAACGTTAGTGAGGCCATTCATTAGGCCATTCACTGAACCTTCTTCCAGCCAGGACAATGGCAACAATAGATGAAAGAAGATGTACACAAAGCAAACATTTTACTTCATAATTATCAGCTAGATATTGAATCGTAATAATCTAGCTAGTGTGGTTACTAAAAGAAACACTTTTGCTGGTCCATGCTGTAATGATAAGGAAGATCCGCCGACACTGTACTCTGTTTTCAAAGGTTTATTATAACAAAGGTTCCAGCATCAGAATTTGACAGACTCCTGCAGATGTCTGGAAAACAGCCCGAGCCAATCTGATTAGCTATTCTCTCCCCTATTGTCCAAGACATGGCATTTATATCCTTTATGACGTATTATGGTGTGATTCTAGAAAAACCAATCCCTAGTCTTTTCTCCCTCACTCCCCATCTCTTCTCTCCATTAGCATCAGTAATGCTTTCCAGATGTTACAACCAAGTAGAGCAAAGTTCATCTATTACACCATTTTGCCACATCAGCAAAATCTTAGGGCCAAGTTCCCTCTATCACACTTTCCTGCAACAATCAGCATTTGTAGACTGTTTAAGATACTACATATTCCCCCCTTCGAGACTAATTAAGTCTCGAAAACAAAAAGAATAGGATTATGACAAATAACAATTCTTGCTCTTGAGTAACTTTAACAATAAACCAAAATTAATGGAGATTAAACACATGTTTATATAGACACATTTTTGTATGTAGTGTAAATACATTATTATGGAGTGTAAATAAATTTTCATGGAGTGTAAATAAATTGTCATGGAGTGTAAATGAATTGTCATGGAGTGTAAATAAATTGTCATGGAGTGTAAGAGCGAAAAACCTGTCTGGCAGCTTTCATTCCAAATATCCATCAGTCAGTCAAGACAGGAAAATTCTCTCACGGCCCCTCTGCCCTAGGCGACCACCTAAGTACTCCAGATCAATTCACACATCTTCATGAATACATTCTAAGCTATGATGCAATTGAATACATATGAAAACCCCAGCAAACAAAATACAATCAAAATGTCCACATTCAGGCTGGTCGACCCATCGGACCCTCCTGTGGATTCTCTCTGTCCTTGCCTAGACCCCATATCCCTAAACTTCAACGAAATAAACAAAAACATCTGAGGTCCCCACATGTACCCAACACAGAAAACATAATTGTTCAAAGATTAATACAGAAAGAATATAACACTGGAATGTAGTCCACTACACTTCATCTCCTCCACAGTGTCGTCTTTCAATGCGACGTTGATGATGGAATCGGAACATTTCCACTCCTTCCTTGTTCCACTTCCTCCAGTCCATTCATATTGTCCATGTTTGAGTATTTGAGTCCCTCTACATATTCCCCCATATGCTTCTGGAAGAAAAGAAAATACCAAACAGTATCTTTTGCAAAACAACACATGCAAATTAAAACATCAATATCAGCAATAATATAAGAATGTATATTTAAGATTATATATCAAATGAATCACATTCCATCATTTCCCCCCTTTGATTCATATCAAAACACTAAATATCACAATAATATGTAAAGACGTGAAAAATGATCGGATATTTAAAATGGATATCTATCCATCAATACTCCATCTAGCTCCACTTGTTTATCTCCATCCAGTTCAGTAACAGCTAACAAAGGCATCTGAGTGTTGTCCCCAGGCATCACAACTCCAACCCATCTCAATATCATAGCCTTCGCAAAAGTCAACAACAGAGTACAAAAACAAAACATAACACACAGCGCTATAAGAGCTGCTACCAAAATCTGAACTATCACTGCTCCCACTGGGCCCAACTGATCTTGCAACCAAGCCTTCGCTGACCATCCAGCTCCTTCTGACTGACCAAACGCATCCCTTATACTCTTCAATGCATCTATAACACTAGTGATATTATCGGAACTATCGGGGATTAAAGTATAACAATCATCTCCCGTCAGATTCATAGCCACACATAAGCCACCTTGTTTGGCTAAAATATAGTCAAGAGCCATGTCATGTTTCAACAACGTCAGTCTGTGACTTCTCTGAGTATTTGACAGAAGATCAAACCCTCGTATTGTTTCATTTGCAAAACCCTGCAAAGTATAGGTAATATTATCAATGTGATCTGCCAAAAATGTTACACCATACCATGGAAAAAGTCCAAGTCCCCACTTCTCTCCTAGACTTATCCTCCAATGGTAGGACTCCAACTTATTAAATTGTGCCATTTCCCTTTTCACCCTATTTCCAGACCTAGAATCAGATTTAGCAGTGTCCGATGCCTTTCCCTTTTGGATAGTATAGACCTCATATGGAAGTTTCAACGTTGACATGTAACAACATCCTGTCCATCCATAGGGTAAGAATATATATGCTTTATCACCACAAACCCACCAAATATCTCGAAAATTCCCAATAGTCACATTTCCAGGCAAAAGCTGATCTTTTACCATCAAAGTCCTTCTATTCTTACTAGATGGAACATGAAAAGTTACTTTATATGTCTCACCACTAACCTTACGTTCATGCTTATCCAAAGTCATCATATACTCATCACAATCTGATATACCCATAAACATACCTGGTCCATCATATGTTTTATTTGAACAAAAGCAGCTTCTAGCCCTTATTGGTTTTACCTCCAATGCTTCAGGAATCGCTGTTAACTGATTTTCATTCTGATCTAACAAATTGACATAGGGTAATTCATTTAACCAAGAGCAATTAAACTTAGGCCTAAACAAATGTCTCGACAATGACATCATCATATCTGTTACTGATTGTTGCTGATACAACAACCATGATAAAGCATAAGATTGACACGCGGTTGATAGAGGTTGAGCCACTGTCTCTAAGATTGAACCCCACGTGCCTGGTGATGGAATTCTCAGCAGACATGGACCCTCAAGATTCCTCACTGATCTTATAGAATGAGTTAACTGCTGGAACCATAGATTCCTACCTGCCCATCTATCTTTAATTTGCAAAACAGAAGAGTCAAATCCATATGCTTTCCATTTAGTTTCTCTCTTCCCTAACGAGCGGTATTGATCAGATATATGTTCTTGTCTTCCATCAAAATCCAAGAACTCATTCTGTACCCCCGGGATAGTATTCTCCACTATTTCAGATGAATGTACATGATTCACTGCTACCATCTGTTCTCCTGTTTCAACACTATCCTTACTACCATTTACAGCACTCTCCATCTGTGTCACAGACTTCTGAGTCACGTTCACTACATCCTTTAGTTTCAGGAAAGTTGTTGTTGGTGTCTGTGTCACATTTCCGGGGCTTGTTATTGCTGTTGTAACATTCATTTCTTCCAAAGTTATTGTTAAAATAGTGGCTTTAGTTGATGTATTAACACTCTTGATTAGGTCTAGTGGCAAAGTTACAGATGTCTTCTGTGTATTATTCATTGTTGGAGTAGCTACTGTAGTATGCTGCTCCTGAACTCCTTTGGTAACTGTGGAAACTTCAACAGACTTTAAAGTTTCTATCATAAGCGTCACCTTCCGGGTTACATAGCCTTCTAACCAGTAATTCTTAACCGGAACAAATTTGAATGCCGGCTCTAAATAAGTACAAGTATATTCTCCCTGATCTTCCCATGTAATATTACGCAAAATGAGTGAGCAATCACTCATAACCCTTTTCCATTTCATATCGTTGTACAAAATATACTTCCTTTGGCTAGGTGGCACAGCTTCTACTTCTAGTCCTGATAACAACAATTCTTCTCCATAATTATCTCTCCACGTGGGAGGAATATCACCACCCCCACTCCGTCTCTCACATCTACAAGGAAGATGAGCTGTACCACCCATCCTAGCCCTAATGACAATATTTTTGTCTGAAATTGGTGTTGGAACGAGTTTCTGAGGCGCCATTGTAATGAAATGTGATACATTTATAGCTTTAACAGCTGTCAATGTTGAAAGAGTTGAATTGCTTCTTACTGTTGTTGCATTAGGTTGGAGTGTTGATGTAATAGTTGTGGATGCATCTATTTTCCCTATACCTTGGAGCTCTTTACTTATACTTCCATCTATCACCACTAGTGTCACTACATTAACTCTTAGTCCCGACTCTAATCCCTCACTTTCAAACTGTGGATTATAAAAAATACATTTATAATCGCCTTGATCCTCCTGCTGGGAATTGTACACATAGAGAGTACAATCACCCTCAATCTTCATTCTTCTCTTAT